TGACTAGAAAATTAAATTGACTCTGATTTATTCAGAAATGTATTTTTGCATCATACTGTTTTTCTCTGTTCGTTCTGCAGACATTTTTCAATTCTTTAATTTTAATCTTTCCAACTCACTCACTAGTGGCTCAGTATTCCATTCGCCATGACTCATAAAGCAGTGAGCAGCATCACCGAAGATTCCGGCAAATGGGTTGGAGAGATACCTACTGCAAAGATTGGAGTGTGGCTGGACTATGCTATGCTGCTGGTAAGCTTCGTTTCTAATCTTTCACCATCGCCAAATGTTTGACCTAAGTCCGTGATGATGGCAGCGAAAAAAACGACGCCCGTTTTCTCACTCTTCCGGTTTGCACGCCCTCTGGCGTTTTGGTTGTTCATAGATCTCATTTTGATGCTTCGTTTTTCCTGTCCAGATTTGCGGTGGCCTTCCATGGCAAGTGTACTTTCAGCGTGTGTTGTCGTGCAAGACACCAGGAAAGGCTCGTATATTGTCTCTGAACGCTTCCTTTGGATGCATGTTCATGGCTATTCCTGCAATACTCATTGGAGCCATCGGTGCTTCAACAGGTAACCAGATAACACACATGATAGTCTTTCTGGTGTGGGATCAGCCTTCAATTCAGTTACTCCTGCTGGCGAAGGATAAAAGTTCAATTCAATCTCTGATTCCCAACTCCTTAAATAATATGCAGTGATCATCATGCAAGGAAAGATAGAAATTGTATTGGCAAAATAAGCGATTGGCCCACAGTGCCGGAACTGGTATCAGTAAAGCGGCAACAACCTTGTGTTGTCGGAGATTTTCACTTAGGTGACAAACGCTCCATTTGTTGGAAACAACTATGGAGGAGTGATATTGAAATATTTACACCACGTAGAAGTTCCTTTACACCATCGACAACAAGTCCTTTCTGAAGGACAAAAATCGCGATATCGAAGTGATATTGAAATGTTTGTATCACGTAGATATTCCTGGTAGTCTTGGCAGAACTATAGCGAAATATAATTCCCTTACCATGTGACCTTAGCAGACACGTGTTTGCATTGCTCAACTGTTTCTTAAAGATTTTCGCGGCACTTCTTTGACGGCACCATTTATAGTCCTGCAGTCAAGCAGTCCCTTAGACCACCTCACCATAGATTTTCAAAGAGACGAAATTGAATCAGATGGGTCCTTTCATTAGTAATTTTATCCATCATGATAACAAGATTACAAGTCTGATTTTTTCCCCCTTAGATTGGACCCAAACTTCGTTCTACAAACCACCTGAGGGTAACATTACAAACCAAACAGCCTCGGTATATGTCGATAAAACTCTGATCCTTCCCATGGTACTTCAGTACCTCACACCAACAGCTGTGTCATTCATTGGTCTGGGTGCTGTGTCTGCTGCCGTCATGTCGTCCACTGATTCCAGTATGCTCTCAGCCAGCTCTATGTTTGCCCATAACATTTACAAACTCATCTTTAGACAGAAGGTAAAGTATTGTGTATCTAGCATGGGTTCTCAAACTAGGTTTCCAGAAACTCGACGAGGTCCTCGCATTAGCGGTGAGATATATTGTACATACTGTCAGAGGCCCAGTAATGGGCTCCTGATATTGTGTATTGTATCATATAGCTAACTCGGTTCTAAATGTAACACAGAAAGATGCTGTCCGTACTTTGCCTCTATGAGTGGACACCCATGGGGAAATATAAAAAGACGATGCCATAAGGAACCCTCTTTCAAAAAAATTGGAAATTTCAGCATCACTTACTTCCACTTATTTTTTAAAGGGCTTATTTCAAGTTGCTCTCTCCAAGAAAGTCCCCTGAATAATAACAATTAAAGAATGAGTAAACATGAAACATCTTTCATTCGATATTTCTATTTTTCAGGCCTCCGAGAAAGAAGTTGTGTGGGTGATGCGTTTTGCCATATTTGGAGTTGGCGCGGCCGCTACAGCCATGGCACTGTCTGTTGGTTCCATCTACGTGTTATTCCATCTGTGCAGTGATCTCGTGTTTGTGATACTGTTCCCGCAGTTGTGTTGTGTTATCTATTTCAAAGCGTCCAATACTTACGGCTCCATTGCAGGCTATATATTTGGGCTTTTTCTGCGCGTGGGGGGAGGGGAAGATAAAATTGGTTTTCACCCCTTCATTAAATACCCATTTTATGACGAGGTAAAGGGCCAGCTGTTTCCGTTCCGTACTCTGTCCATGATTGTTTCTTTTTCTACGATCGTGTCGGTGTCGTTCTTAGCAAAGTATTTGTTTGAACGGGAGATTATACCGTTGAAGTATGATTTCCTGAACGCCTTCAGGAAAAACGAGGAGGAGAAAGAGCCAACGAAACCAGCAGAGGAAAAGTTTATAATGAAAGATTACTAAGACAACAAAATTTGAGAGAGATTTTACTGTGCAGTCGTGTTGATTCTTCCGTTCGCAGTCCTAGTTCTAGCAATGATGCATGTAGGATAACTAGACGTCAAGATAAAAGACATCGCGTGTGAAATGTCTACCAGTAGGAACAGGAGCAATTTCAGTGAGAGGTTACTTAAACAAGTTTACATATCGAAACATGTATCCACTTCACGTATAGATTGTCTGACCCTGCTAGAATATAATTATGTTTTTTTTCTGAGTTTAATAGAAAAGAATAAAATTGTTGTCTCAAGATCATTCCTACGTCTTGCCTTGAACGTCCTCACTGCGTATCTTCCAACCAGTGATAAGCACGTGAACAAACAAAGATAGCAGCTATTCCTTCTAATCAGAGCTATCTAAAGACTCATATTCTCAGCTAAAACAAGTTTACTGACTTGCCATTTGAATTTCGCATTTTAAATTAAGTTATTCTTTTGTTCCCGCATTAGATAAGTATAAACCGATTTCAGTCCAGTGTAGAAGGAACAGCTGTCCATAGGAAACTTAAACTTTGAAGCTTGTTCCTTTGTTTGTAATTATGATCATTTTATTGCTCCTCAACTCTTTAACTCCCATTAGTGACCAAGACAGAATTTCTCCTTACAATATCAATACAATATCAACCACACAAGTGATGAGAATAAAGATAATATCAATCTGGGGACAATAAGGTGATCCAATACTAAACTCTCTGAACTAACATTATGAGAATTGTATGGCTGACGGTAAAGAGAATTCCAAATTTGATCCGGGAGTTATAGGATTAAATAACTCTGCGACCCCCCTCCCTGTGCCCCTATAAACAAAGATAATTATCAGGTGACGCTTGACCAAAAAAATTCAATGCAAGTTCTATTTCAAGGAGTGACCTTTTTCTTAAGACTTGAGATTAACGACAAATTAGAGAGATAAAGTGTAGCGTTAAAAGTTACATTTGTTACCAATAAGATCATCACTTAAATAACTGGACAACGATCAAAGCACAAGCCTTGTTGACTCACAGTGTTATACATCAGCCGAACCCCCAAAATTTGGATTTTTATTTTCACTTTGGAAAAACCACGGCAGACTTGCTAACAACGGTATATATACAACACGCAAATAACATGCTTCACCCCCATTAACGACAAATAGAATTAGAAATCTCGTGTTCATGATTTAATTGTTAAGTCGGATTGAACCTTTGGGACAGAACAGGTCACAGTATGTATAATGTATTTTGCAGGTTGTACGCCAGTTAGAAAAAAGAGAATTCGTGGTGAAAACTGACTGGTTTGAATGAGATAAAAATAAGTTATGTGTTTGCCGTGATCTGTTTCTACAACCTCATATCAACACCTGTGTGCATGGTATTAACTGCTATTTCTTTATCTAGTGTAGCGCGAAAGCTTCGTGTACTTTATCCAGTTAAATGTATCCAGCGGCACTTATCATGCCATGTGAACATTGATCAGACTTCTAAAAGTAATCATACTGTAGCTTTCATTTAGATCAAAGTGCAAGAAATCGTGTAAAATTCCTGACTTCAGTTAAATTCGTTGTTTTTTGTGTTACAAATTTTACTTTGCCCTCAATTTTGGCTGTTTCTCACAACTGTTATCCATTAGTTTTTCATTTCAGTTTTAACTTGATTAATGCTACGAGTGGTTTTTAATGTTGAAAACCATTACTGGATAATATAAATTAATACCTTCATCAAATGATTATTCTCTTTTATAAGTAGAGTAAAGCGAAAAATTGAATTTACAGCAAACTGAAAGCGATACTTGAAACAAGTTATTTGGATCTGCACGAACTTTTCCAGCCGATGTTTTTCATGCAATTTGTAGGGGATACCTGAAAATCCTTGGGCAACCAGTGCTAGTCCTATACGTGGTTGGAAAAATGATTATGGACAATCTATCTACTCCCGCGAAGATAAAACCTTTAGATATGGTTAAGTGGATTTAGTACTGTCTGGGTCGAATTTAAGTCAGTCGTCTTAACTCTTCCCTTCAGAGAAGGCTCCTCTAATCTCCAAAGTTAGTTTCGATGGTCAGAAAAAGAACTTACGCTTAACAGTGGCCGTTTATCGTCAATGGATTTAAATCACACTCTAGCAAAGAAATCACTGTTGTTTCGCACGTCTAACAACAGACATGTTAGCACAAACTTTTTATAGAGTATGCTGCATATAATTCCCATATTGTCTATTCAGTCCACATACATTTAATTTTGTATTGCAATTTGTTAAGTTTTCTAACAAACAGACTTTCCCTAACCACAGTAAGTTCTGATATTATTTGTCGAAAGTGGCTGTTTCACTAAATTAGAGTCGTCGCCAGGTCGCGACATAAGCACTGTGATCATGGTGAGAGCGATTAATTGAATAAATCTCTCTTTAATTAACAGGAAGGGAGTATTTTCATGTATGATAACCATGTGACACTTAACTCTGAATAGAGCGCAGCCAAAGGGCAAACTCATAAAAACAAACCTGCGAAAAGATTCTCAGCAGAATTCGTCAGAAGAGTTATCGAATTTTAATTTCTAAGAAAGTATATTTAATTATTTTTTCCTAAGAAGTATCATACTTTCCAGAAATGGCAGACATAAACGTTGTCGGTGTCGTGGCGATTGTTTTGTTTTATCTGCTCATTCTCGCCATTGGTTTGTGGGCCGCTCGCCGGCGAAAGGACAACGAGGAAGAGACGATGTTGGCAGGACGAAGTATTGGGATGGTTGTGGGTACCTTCACTTTAACAGGTAATCACTAGGAATTCCTAATTTCCCACCACAAATGCAATTTTTTTTCACTCACAGTGGACGGGGATAACTCTCGCAATAGATTTGTGCATTTAGCCAAATTTGATCCACGAGCCGGTATCATTCATAAACCTTATAAAAATTAATTTCATGTATAGCGGAAAGGGCTATTATATTCCTCTCTGAAATCAGTTGCCAAAGGTGATAATAAAGTTTTGTACTTTTTATACCGTTAAATTCAAGATAGATTTTCTGGAAAAAAAACTCATTTCATTGACATCTGATGATAAAACACAGTTGAGAACGAAACAAAGAATCATTTACGTGTATTAGGGAATTAAGGGGAATTTGGGGAAATAGATAACAAAGCTACTAATTCAACTAGATAAAGTCTCAAAGTCCTCTGCTGGATGTTACCAAAAGAGGGAATGAAGAACAGGAAATGGAGAGTGAGGTATAGGGAATAGGGAATAGGGAATAGGGAATAGGGAATAGGGAATAGGGAATAGGGAATAGGGAATAGGGAATAGGGAATAGAGACCCCATTTCCTACTCCACATTTCTCGTTTTCCACTTCCCATTCTCCATTTCCTATTCCCAATTTCCATTTCCCATCTCCATTTCCACTTTTAGTAACATCCGTCCTCTGCTTGTTAATTTTGCAAACCCGTTACTTTGTTTCTACAGCGACATGGGTTGGCGGAGGATACATCAATGGTACAGCGGAGGCACTCTTTGATAAAGACCAAGGTCTCGTCTGGGCCCAGGCTCCCTGGGGTTATGCACTTAGCCTGGGGTTGGGTGAGTGCGAAGACCAATACTTAAGGTTTTTCTTCTGAAAGTTAGAACGTTTTCCGAGTGTCCACAATACTGTTTGTGGCATTGCGAATGGTTTTCAAACTAATAACGAGAAAGCAACATAAACAATGATAAGACTGAATGTAGCATACACCTTACCAAGGCTTTTTTTTCACCGTTGTGGCCTGAGTTAGAATTCAGAGCCTTGCGTCACTTGTGGTTTGAGTTTTCTGTTGGTGTTCGTCCTTATTCCAGAGGTATTTATCCAGGTTGGTCGGTTTTTCTCCCTCCGAGGATAAGCTATTAATGCGAATTTCGTACGGACACTTCGGATGAAGATCCATTTCGTGGATTTACCACTTCCCAATTCTGTTCGTGTGTGTAAAAGAAGTACTAATTCTTCAAGATCAAGGAGGTTATTGCACTATATTATTCCACTACTCTGTCATTCTATTAAATGAGGTCAAGAGAATGCGAAAAATATGCCACGGTATTACACTGTAGAACAGGGCAAAAATACGGAGCAACAAATACGCTACAATAAACGATCCAAATTTTGATTTTTTGGGGTTTTTTTTCAGGCTTGACTTTTAAAGTAACGAACTTTAAAGCGCGATAGCTTTTTTGTTGGTCACAAAGAGAGCTTTAATGGTTTTGTCAGTGGCATAACTCCTCAAGCCTTAAAGGTTTTATTTTTCGCTTACTCCTTATGTGATCGATATGATGCTCAGATAAGGTCGTAAGATGTACTCCGCGAGCTAAAATAAAAAATACTTAAGGGTGATATAACAGTGGAATAATAAATCCCTAATTCGAGTGTTAAACATATAGTATTTCTGCAATTTCTGTCTCTTCCGAAAACACAGGTGATATAAACCCTAATTTTTATCAACCCACTCGCGATTACCTACACAAATTTGACGATATTTTTTACGGGCAGGTGGGCTTCTTTTTGCCAAGATCATGCGCCAAAGAGAATACATTACCATGATTGACCCTTTCCAAGAAAGGTACGGTCCGCGTATGGGTGGATTGCTATATATCCCCGCACTGTTGGGCGAGGTATTTTGGTCTGGTGCCATCTTGTCAGCTCTTGGTGCCACTGTCAGTGTCGTTATCGGCTTGGATCGCTTCACTTCTGTCGTTGTTTCTGCGTGTATTGCTATTTTCTACACGTTGATGGGTGGATTGTACTCTGTGGCTTACACTGACGTTATACAACTCATCTGCATCTTTGTTGGATTGGTGAGTGTGGTCAGCAGTCGACTGTTCTGTGACATGTGTACCACATCCCAACTGGGTGTTTTTATTATAATATGCCTTGTTCCAAGTATTTTCTTATGAACTGTCAATCAAAACCTGAGATTGTACCGAAGGATGTCTATGGTCTCAATTTTACTGTAACTGGCCTAAGCTTTAGGCTATTTGACTGATGGTGCGTTGTTAACAAATTAAACTGTGTAAAAACAAAAACATATTTTTGCATCAGAAGTTTGTCATTTATGTGTTGATACAGTGTTTGCTCTGGCCCCAGTCTCACTCCGTCCTCTTCACTCACTAGTGGCTTAGTGTTCCATTCGCCATGACTCATAAAGCAGTGAGCAGCATTGCAGAAGATTCCGGCAAATGGGTTGGTGAGATACCTACTGCAATGATTGGAGTGTGGCTGGACTATGCTATGTTGCTGGTAAGCTTCTCCTTTTCCTACCTTACACTGTAGCCACCGTAGCGAACTAACGTTAGGTATTTGTTTAGAGGTTAGATTGAAGCAGCGAAACAAACTATGCTTGGACATGGTTTCGTATATTTCATTTTGATGCTACATTTTTTGTGTCCAGATTTGCGGTGGCCTTCCATGGCAAGTCTACTTTCAGCGTGTGTTGTCGTGCAAGACACCCGTAAAGGCTCGTATATTGTCTCTAAACGCTTCTCTGGGATGTATGATCATGGCTGTTCCTGCAGTACTCATTGGAGCCATCGGTGCTTCAACAGGTGATCTGATGATGTATATTTTACTCTTACTGTTAAGTAATCAGATCGGTTCATTGTAGCCGAAGGGGAATCAAGGAAAGGCTCTTCTATATAACAGTTGTTTTTGTTTTTTGTTTTTTTTAATATGAGACAGCTAACAAACTATATCTTACAGAAAGAAAATGAGAAAAAAGTATTTTCAAATTTTTCATTAAACATGAACTATGAAATATGCCTTTTTTCACAGGTAAAAAGCCACTGAGGCTGACAGAAAAGATGTTAGTCTGATAACAAGGAGGGATGGTACATTCAAAATAACTGCGATATTTTTCTCTGCAGACTGGACCCAGACTTCGTTCTACAAACCACCTGAGGGGAACATTACCAACCAAACAGCCTCAGTATATGTCGATAAAACTCTGATCCTTCCCATGGTGCTTCAGTACCTCACACCAACAGCTGTGTCATTCATTGGTCTGGGTGCTGTGTCTGCTGCCGTCATGTCGTCCACTGATTCCAGTATGCTCTCAGCCAGCTCCATGTTTGCCCATAACATTTACAAACTCATCTTTAGACAGAAGGTAAGCATTGCGTAACAAGGCACGGTTCTCAAACCAGATTTCCAGAAACTCGAGGAATCCTCGCTGGCTTAGATGCGGGATATATAGTATGAACTACTTGTCACTGGTTTGGAGAGTTGAGCTCGGTCCTAACTGTAACGCAGACGAATGCTGTTCATATTTATACTGTGACTTAGGAAATATGAAAAGACGATATTGCAAGTACCCCGCATTTGAAAATATTTTGGCCTTGCATTTATGTTCTTTTTGAAAAAGCTAATTTAAAGTTCCTCTCTTCAGGAATGTCCCCATGTATAGAAAAAATAACGGCGCGAGCAAACATGAAACATCTTTCTCTCGATATTTCTCTTCTTTCAGGCCTCCGAGAAAGAAGTTGTGTGGGTGATGCGTTTTGCCATATTTGGAGTTGGCGCGGCCGCTACAGCCATGTCTCTGGCTGTTGATTCCATCTACGTGTTATTCCATCTGTGCAGTGATCTCGTGTTTGTGATACTGTTCCCACAGTTGTGTTGTGTTATCTATTTCAAAGCCTCCAATACTTACGGCTCCATTGCAGGCTATATATTTGGGCTTTTTCTGCGTGTGGGTGGAGGGGAAGATAAAATTGGTTTTCCCGCCTTCATTAAATACCCATTTTATGACGAGGTAAAGGGCCAGCTGTTTCCGTTCCGTACTCTGTCCATGATTGTTTCGTTTTCTACGATCGTGTCGGTGTCGTTCTTAGCAAAGTATTTGTTTGAACGGGAGATTATACCATTGAAGTATGATTTCCTGCACGCCTTCATGAAACATGAGATCCAGGATGAGAAAGAAAAATACATGGAGGAATCAAAAATGTGATTCTCTTTCATGGGGAGATTCCTAACGGGGGTTACAGATGCCGACTGATATGGGTGATGTAATTTGTCCTGTTACACGTATACATGGGTAAAACATGGTTTGTCTTCGCTAAAATTTTGTTTCGTAGAATGTAGGTCGTTCCTTCATTTTGACTTTCATATCCTTAGTGAATATCATTTTGTGAGTGATTAGCACGTGCACACACAAACATGGCAACTTTTTCCTTTTGGCTACAACTCTCTAGAGACGCCAATCGCCATTTTCTGGGCTTAAACAAGAGTAATGACCTGTCAGGTTTTTAGAATTTTGAACTATCAAACAAAAATTAACCATCGACTCAAGACAGATATAGAGGGGTTGATTTCGAGTGCGGAATAAGCCGGGAACAAAGGTCTTTGGGAAACGTGATTTCAGCGGGAGTAATGTTTATAATCGTGATCATTTCATGTCAAGGAATTATAATGAACAGGCAAAATCCTGATGCTCCTAAACAAGATAGGGTCATCACGTGTGCTCTTACGAAAAAAAACAAAGGAAAAAAATCATTGTGTGACGTTTGATGAAAATTATGAGTTCATGTGTACAGGTTCAATTTCAAAGGAATGACCTGGAACTCTCGACATTTTTTTAAACATACTTTATAACGATGGTAAATATTATATTAGACATTATGGGTTTGTTGACTGGAACATGTAAAACGGAACATAGAGAACGTTTATTTCATGCTGTACACCAAATAACACAGTGAGGAATGTGTAGCGTGGACTCACTGCTTTACTTGAACCTTCATGTACGGTGATCGGTTTGCCTTAGTCTGTTTGTAACACTTGTAATAAAAAATAGTGTGAGAAGAAGTGATGGTTCTCAATCTCGTGTAATACTAATAACGACAAAAATGAGGGATTTCGATAGCGCCATATCTATCAGCTCATAACGCTTTAAAACACTTTGGGGGACACGTGGGACTTTTGACTGAATTTGGCAGTTTACAATCTTCAAAGGGAATTTTTGCAAATGCCCCCAGTTTCAAAAACCTTTGTCTACCAAAAACCCCATGTTTGGTTTGACCAGGTTTAACTAAATGACAAGCAAAAACAGGAAACCAGTTTGAGCAACTTTCGTGAAGAAGCTGTCATCAGAACAGCTTTAACACGTGTTTAGGTTCAGCATGATTGAGGTGTATGCACTGTCTATCAAGCGGTGCTCTCTAGATCGCATGTGTTTTTAAACAGAAATAATTGTACTTCTTCAGTATAAGCCTTCTTACAGCCAACGTTTTTACCGGATGTATTCAGACTTATCATTAATATATTTGCTTTCCCCGTTTGTTTGCTCGTCTGATCGTGAACAAATGTACTTCCTTTCTTTGCGCCATGCACGATAGAAGAAACGCGCAACATACCGCTGGCGCAAGCTTTGCACGCCTCTTGAAAAGAAGATGAAAACTTCAATATTGGAGAAAAACTCACCAAAATTTCCCATAGTTTATGCATGGTTTAGAGTTTCGTCTGTTCAATAAAATCTTCACGTTTGTATTATAATTTGTTGACGATTGTAACAAACAAACAAACAAACTTTCTCCAAGCAAAGTTTATTCTTTTTGTTTTGTTGAAAGAAGGGAGGTCTAGTGTTTCACCTTATCAAAGTCTTCTACTCGAAATGCTTTTTTTTTTGGATATTTTTTTTTTCACGAAGAAATAAGTGTAGAGTCAGAGGTACCTCAAGGTCAAAGCACGACCTTATCATTCATAAAATATTACCTAAGACATAACCTGCTTTTTAAACATATTATCACGAACAGAAGATTGTAGGTCATGTGCTTCTGTAATGAGAATGTGTTGTTATTTTAAAAGGTAACCGTATATGATACATAATACGGCATAATGCGCAACTGCTGTGTTTTCTGTCATGTAAACAGTGTAAACAGATATGCACTACCGTTTGCGTAACAATGACGAAAAACGTATACTCAAATATTTATACAAAGGTTAATTCTCTTTTCCGTATTTATAACTGAACAACCTCAGAGTCTCAGCACCAATGGCGGAAATTAATATTGCCGGCGCGATTGCAATCGTGCTCTTTTATCTGGTAATTCTTGGCATTGGCCTGTGGGCTGTTCGTGGTAGGCGAAGAGACAATGAGGAAGAGGCAATGTTGGCAGGGAGAAGTCTAGGATTGGTAATAGGGACTCTCACTTTGACAGGTACTGAAATGTTGTAGTCTTTTGTAAGTTGTTATGGATAATGGTGAGGGTCGAATAGGTAACAAGCAATTTTCCACAACTTAAAAGAAAACTTACTGTCGAAATTTATTATTTCATGGTAAAAAGGCGAGGAAAAAAAAAAAGGTTTAATGATTCCAGTGTTAGAGAGTATAGAATTCTACCGGTATACTCGATCCTTACAGGCACATGTTCTAACAGGTAAATCCTTTTCTGAAAAAAGGAGATCTTCGTTCTAGTGCAACATGATGGCTAAAGAAAGCAATGGACCCCAAAATTTCCCCAAAGATGCATTAGATTTAAATGTGACAAAAGGCAAATTACAATTGATTAAAAGTTAAGTTTTTCGTTTGTCTCACGATGTAGTCACATGTGACGATTGTAACAAACGAACAAACTTTCGCCAAGCAAAGTTTATTCTTTTTGTTTTGTAGAAAGAGAGGAGATCTGGTGTTTCACCTTATTAAAGTCTTCTGCTTGAAATGCTTTTTTTTTTTCGATTTTTTTTTTCACGAAGAGATAAGTTATGAGTCAGAGGCACCTCAAGGTCATAGCGCGACCTTATCATTCGCAAAATATTACCTAAGACATAACCTGCTTTTTAAACATATTATCACGAACAGAAGATTGTAGGTCATATGCTTCTGTAATGCGAAGGTGGAGCCTCTCTTTGGGTATTTCCGAAGAAATCGAAGACGCGAAGATCACCACGGAAAAAACGAAGATCTCAAGATTGAAGCGAAGATCTGAAAATTGACCAAAATTTGCGTGATCAAATTGAACTCTTAGATATAAAACTGTCAAAACTGGTAAACACTACAGAAAATATCTGTTATTTCTGAATTTTGACATTTGACCACATTTCACTGCGATTTGACAAAGGTGTCAACAGTGGTTTACAGTCGCTGCCGCGAAACAACATCCGAAAATCGAAGATAAAAAAAACGAATATTTGCAAAGAAGTCGCGAAGAAAACGAAACCGTGGGTACCCATAGAGAGGCTCTATCTGTCTTTTTGAAGCCTTGCGTGAAAACCAGGTTCATTTAATTATCATGTGACAAAGCTCTAAACACGCAAATATAACTGAATTCCGGCCACCAAATGTGAGATACTACCACATGTACTTTCGAATTAACTTAAAACAAATCCCGTGAGAACTGAACGCTTATTACAAAAACGCGTAGAAACGTATTCTCTTTCACGAAGTTATTGACCAAAGAGACCTGAATTGATTTGAAATCGTACGCGTAACTTAATTAAAAGCAAAAATTTTCATAGCCCCTTCGTAACACTTATTTTTTCATCACTTAATTTAATTGCGTTGTTACAAGATTTTGATCATCATTTTTTTTAATTGATCCTGAAGCGAAATTAAAAGGAATAAAAGAGAAAACGCAAAATGAGGTAATTCAATAAAACGCACAGCGTAAGGCCAATAAGATTGCAGTAGTCACCTGTGAGAAGCATATCTGATTCGTTATTCAACTGCCTCAAACATTAACGTAAAAATACTTGTTGTTGCAAATACCTTGTTTAAATTTATTCTAATCTTTAATGATTTCAATGTTTTTCCGTATGAAGAGTAAAAATCACGGTGATCCCCAACTTTTTCCCTTCGCATCCTGTGTGGGCACGTAATCATGTTTGTAGTCCATTTTAAACAAAAATGAGGCTTGGTAAGAAGATGCATCGTCATGAGAGAATGTTCTTTTCTCTCTAAAAAAGAAAGATAACTTACCTATTCCATACACAGTTGTATTCCTTAATAGCCTTAAGCTTCTTTGCTGTGTTGAAAAAATTAAAATAGTTTCTCAAAGAAAACGTTACTAGTAAACGTAATTCGTCTCCATTAGAAGTGAGGACATAAATTTTGTTCGCAAGTTTACAGAGCCGTGGAATATATAGAAAGACTGTTACTTTTGATCAACGAAGTACACCTATTTTGTTATTCTAAGAATCAAGTCAAAACAGTGCTTCTTGTTCATGCGAAACGTAAAGAGAACTGATTGAAGAAACCCATATCGATGAATGTTCTTGGAGTACTCTTACGATAAATACTCTTACCTAATACGTAAATACCCCGCACCAAATACATATACCATGAGAGCATTTACCACTTTTATTAATTCAGAAATTTTGAACCACTGTAACCTAGGTAACTAACAGAGAAAACTTGAGAAAAAAATCTTATCAAACTTTATCTCTTACCGAGCATAAAAAAATAGTTTTAGTAAAAAAAAGTGCAAGTTTTCAGTGTATTATGACAATGCCTCTCTTAGGACAGATTTCAGATGTGTGCGCCAGGATCCAAAGTCCGTTCGCAGGCCCATCGTGTCATGTCATACATATCCTACACAATGCCTCAATACCTCTACAATTTCAAACAAAGCTGGGTTGTTGAATGGACTTTGTAAAATTGTGCGGATACCTGAGTATGACTACTTCCAGTCATGAGTCTACTATCAAGAGTCCAGACTACCGTTTAATTTTAGGACAATATCTTTGTTTGTACAGTCAAACCCCGATTAAGCGGCACTTGATTTTGAAAACGGTCACCATTTATGAAGCGGTCAATCGTCAAATTTCCAAACGCCACCTTCACCGAGAAAAACGACCGGTCTGTGTTAATTCCTTTGTGGTTACTTCAACTCTCGCTTTTGCATAGGCAGGAAACTCGGTAAATTGCTACATCGAGCTACGAAACCTTAAATTCCAATCGATTAAAACTTATTTTAATACTTTGTCATGAAAGACACTGAGTTCACCAACATCTGTTGGCCAGACATGAACTTCAAAAACTTTTCATATATTTCGCGTTGTTTTAGTTGTAAGCCCTAAGACATAAATTGTGTCGTCAATTTTAATTTCGTGATCACGTTTTTTCACTTCATTTTAAGTCAACCTCTTTGACACGGTTGATCGTTTACCAAAGGTTGACATTATTTTCCTGTTTCACAAATAACCGCTTCAATTCCCGTCACGTGCCCGGCAGAACGATCTGTTGAGGTTGTATTTCCGAATTTCAATTGCTTTAAGTTTTTACAAAAGCTTACAAGCTTCTTGTTTCCATAGCAACATGGGTCGGCGGAGGATACATCAATGGTACAGCCGAGGTGCTTTATGATAAAAGCCTGGGACTAGTCTGGGCCCAGGCTCCTTGGTGCTATGCTATCAGCCTGGGGCTTGGTGAGTAACAAAACAGAGATTTTACCACGTGATTGAAACATTTCGCAAATTTCACCGACCAAATTCATTAAAGCTTATGTCGCCAGAAATTAATGCTTTCCGTGAAATTATTCCTAAGTTTCCGATCAGTTGTTACAGCTTTCATGGGCATGGGGATCTGGGGTCTGTATCTCAAAATTTTTTAAATTTAAGGACTCCGAAGTAATATTGATCTAAATCTAGGGATCCAAAGAAGGGCATTCAGAATCATCTATCCTGACCTTTCATATAGTGTAGCACTAGAAACAGTTGGCCTACCGAAACTTCATGAGAGGAGAGAAAAGATTTCAATCGATCTGTTTGACGAGATCGTCTGTAACCCCACCCACAATCTCCATAGCCTCCTCCCCCAAAGGAAGAGTTGTAAATATGCACTGAGACGCAAAAGTGATTTCACTCTCCCCCTATGTAAAACTGAGCGTTTGAAGAACAGTTTTATTTTTAGCCATGTCTATAAGATGTAGAAAATTTTTCTTATTCTCTCTTTTGTTATCATCAGTATTTGTAAATATCCCGTAATTCAGCCTATGGCTGCAATGGTGGTTAATAAAGTATCTCTCTATCTCTCTAGATAGGTGCAGCTCGTAGCTTAAAACCAATTCATTCTGTTTCGTTTCCCAATATGGTTCGAATTTTAAAACTATTCATATTTCGATCTTAAATGTTAAAATGGCGACCAGAAAAGATTTTTCTGGGATCTTCACTACTAGGGGAGCCGAAAAACGGGTCCAAGGGCTGGATATCTTACCTGATCAGGCTTGTCTTCAACGAAGGTCATTGCCAAGACACCGTAAACACCACCCTTCCTGTTCAGTTGTAGTGCAATCGGAACAAATGGCGACTATTTTCTTATTTTTATCTTATAGGTGGACTTCTGTTTGCAAAAGTCATGCGAGAAAGAAAGTACGTTACCATGATTGACCCTGTTCAAGAGAAGTATGGTGCGATAATGGGTGGGTTGTTATACATACCCGCCCTGCTGGGAGAGATATTTTGGTCTGGCGCCATCTTGTCAGCTCTTGGTGCCACTGTGAGTGTTGTTATTGGCTTGGATCGCTTTACCTCCGTTATTGTGTCTTCGTGTATCGCCATTTTCTATACTCTTATTGGCGGACTTTACTCAGTGGTTTATACTGATGTGATTCAACTCTTCTGCATCTTTATCGGATTGGTAAGTACAGCCAGCAGTTTCACTTTTTTTGATATTCGCATCACTCACACTATGATCAGGTTTTAGGCTGTTTGCCCGCTGTAATCCAGAAAACAGATAGCTGGAAGGGTCCTCCACTAAAAACCTGTAGTCTCTGTTACTTGTGATAAAGGTCTTGATATCTGTGAACATGTTAGGAAGACTGTCTGTTGAAACTCCTTCCACTTCACTTACTAGTGGCTCAGTATTCCTTTCGCCATGACACACAAAGCAGTGAGTAGCATATCTGAAGATTCTGGGAAATGGCTTGGAGAGATTCCTACTGACCAGATCGGAGTGTGGTTGGATTATGCGCTGTTACTGGTAAGCTTCTCGATCTCTGACCGTACGCGGTATCAGAAGGACAATATTTCGTGTTTTCTTTGAAGCACTGAGATCACGTTAACTGACGAGATCAATTGAGATTAGGGAAAAGACGTACTGGCCAAGAACATTTCTGCTCCGTAAAAACTTGAGAAGGAGTCTTTCGTTCGTGTTCCGTTATTGATAATCATATATGATTAATTTTTCGTTTTCTTCCATTTGCAATGTGCAGATATGGGGCGGCCTTCCATGGCAAATTTACTTTCAGCGCGCCTTGTCGTGCAAATCACCATCTACGTCTAGAACAGTCTCTTACACCGCTTCCATTGGATGTCTGCTTATGGCCATCCCTGCAGTGCTTATCGGGGCCATTGGTGCCTCGACAGGTAGAAGCATTATGAAAATCCCTACCATTCCCCCCTTCAATATTCCCATAATTGAAAGCAAATACAAAGCTGACCATACTAACCAGAGCTTAGATGCGAAGAGGAAGGGGGGGTGACCCTACCAGGGTGGAGTAAAATTCTCTAAGTCGGTTCATGCTGAGGAGACCAGGATAAGCTCAGCTAGGATGAGCCCTCTGATTTTCCTCGAGCTCACTTATCCCCACCTACCGCTGTTTCTTCCCCCTTCCTCTTCTCTTAAATGCATTGATAAGAACTTACGCCAAACATAGGTCAACTGCCCCATAACTACAAGAGCCTAACGCTCTTACCGTAGCATAGAGCAGCTAAAACGCATGTCTTCCTTCCTGATTAGGGAACCTGGTCAAAGCTAGGTGATCCCCTGTATGAGAGGTATTGTGAGAGTAAAGTTTGCAGATTGAGAAAACAACGTAAATGATCCTAGAAGAGAGTTAAATCCGCACCTTTGAATCTGAGGTCCAGTCCCCTCACTGCCAGGCTGCTGCGTCTCTACAAAAGCTTTTTTTTATCTAGGTTCCTGTTGTTATTATGGCATATTTGTCAGAGTCTGAATAAGGAATACGCTTCAAATCAACGTTTCGACACAGGTGCATTGTTGAACAACGACAAGTCGACCAATTTAAGCTATTTCCCCAAAACTAGATTGGAAAGTGAGTTATTTACAACGCTAAAAAATACATTTAAAAGCAAAAACCAAACGTTTTCCACTCTAGATCATCTTCGGGTAAAAATTATGACAATGACTTCGTGTTGAAAACGTTTTGTTTTTAATTTTCAATTTTGAAACCTAAGAAAAATTTATGTACAACTGGAAACTCTTGAACAGATGCAAGCCAACTGGGCATCCTCCATAAATGCTTTTAAAATACAATCTTAGTTTTCTGCACATTAAATTGGCTTTATTGTTTTCATCCAGATTGGACCCAAACGTCATATAGACCATTTGAGGGTGTTACCACCAACCAAACAGCCTCTGTAGAGCTTGATAAAACATTGATCCTTCCCATGGTGCTTCAGTACCTCACACCACCTGTTGTCTCATTCATTGGTCTGGGTGCTGTGTCTGCTGCAGTCATGTCTTCTACCGATTCCAGTTTCCTATCTGTTAGCACCATCCTGGCTCATAACATATACAGGCCCATCTTCAGAAAAAAGGTCAGATACCTTCCATCATTTTGGTGTTTGCCCTTTCTATCAATTTTTGTAGTCAAAGAGTGAAATAGAACCTGTCCCAATTAGATTTTAATTTTGAGTCCTTTCAATTCTCTTAGGCGTCTGAGAAGGAAGTCGTGTGGGCCATGCGAGTCGCTGTCGTAATAGTTGGCGCAGCTGCTACTGGAATGGCTCTGTCAGTTGAATCCATCTACGCCTTGTTTCATCTGTGCAGTGACCTGATCTATGTGGTCCTGTTTCCTCCGTGGTGTTTATGTTTCTTTTGGAAAGACGTCAACACTTACGGCTCCGTTGTGGGTTACATAGTAGGGCTCCTGCTACGCGTGGGGGGAGGGGAAGACAAAATTGGTTTCCCCGCCTTCATTAAATACCCGTTTTATGATGAGGTTAAGGGTCAGTTGTTTCCATTCCGCACGTTCGCTATGATCGTTACTTTTGTCATTCTCATTGTGGTGTCTTCTTTAACAAAATACTTGTTTGAAGGGGACATTATACCCCTGAAGTATGATTTCTTGAACGAGTTCAAAACTTGCAACATAGGAAAAGCGAATGAAACAGGTCATAGGCCAATCGAGGGTAAATACGTTATGAAGGAGCGTGGAAATTCTGAAATATGACGAAATTTTACCTGTGTGTTGTTGTACCCTCTTTGTGCCTTTTTCATCTTTTATAAAATACTTTAAGATTTTTGGATCCAAAATTTTGGAGGACGCAGGGTGTGGTTACACTCTCTTTTGCTTTGTGTTATGTTTCTTTTAATTATATGCGGCGTATAGTATACTATAAATAGTACTATATACTATTTACTTCCTTAAAGCACTATGTACTATTACCCTTTGTAATTCAAGTGATTCAGCTTTTCTTTGACAGGAGTGACTCTTTATTAATCAAATTTAGTATCCAGAATCTTTGATTGGGTATAGGTCATCGTTTTTCAACAAGACTCTTTTATCAAGTTTCATACCCGTGTATTTAGTGTCAGAAAATAATTATGGAATCAAGGTAGTTTATTTTCAACATGGAAGCTTCACAGAGTGATTCTTTTAATGTGTTGTTTTCTTGAGAGTTTATCGCTGCGACATAAATAAAGCTTTATATGATTTCAGATAGAGCTTGTTCATTTCATTCGATTAAAAACTTAGAAAGGTTTTTTTATATATTAGACATAACAAAAAGTGTGGTTTTCATTCATGAAAAATTTTATTCGCATTTATTTACAGCAGGTTAAGTAACTTACTCGAACGTTATGGATAACACTAGTATCAGAGTATTATCATTACCCAGCATGTGTATTGATTTAATTCGATTTTTCAGACGTTGAAACCGGAATGGAAATCGAGGTCCTGACGTCCTCTGCGCAATCAATAAATATAATTCTTCTCTGTTTACTGGATAGTTTACTTGTGTGGATGAAGCGAAAAACAAAAAACAAGCTGGTTTGAACTGACTACAATTTTAAGTATGATATGTATTTACAAAATTTGTATCTAAGAATCAAACATGGCTGCCAATGAACCACCTTCTAAAATAGTCTGTTGGCCAGTTTTGCAGCCCTGATTATAGTTCTTCACCTCATCTGTAACTTGTAGCGCTATGGATTCTTCACAATGCGAGCTTTCCTGAATAGAAGAGCCACTACTATTCTTCTCAGTATTTTGTATTTCACTTTCGGTGTTTTCGATGTTATTCTGACATCTTTGACTCTCATGAACGTGATCACGTGACCGCAAGTGTTTCTTCTTTGGAATTGTGATCCGCTGATCAACGGATCTAACACTTGAGACAGTTGATGAACTGGAACTACTCGTCCGGTGAATTATCACTTTTACCTGCCGGTGGTCCTGGGTACTATTTAAGACACTTTCGGTACTAGTCTCCTCCATAACTCCATCGTATGTGACAATAGGAATCATATCTTCGCGCGGCCGCAATTGTTTCATCTGGGACGATTTCTTCGCCACTGTTCGAGGAGGCTCATGCTCCTTAATATCATTTGTTCCGTTATCAGAAATCTGACGAGATTTGTTTCTACTTTTTGTTTTTGAATGACGCGTTTGGCCACTTGGAAGAGAAGGGACCTTGTCGTCGTCAGAATTATTACTGTAGCGTTCTGAATTTCCACGGAGACGCAGGCGATGAAGAAAAAGTAAAAGAGCAATTACGCAAAGTCAACAGAGGTGACATGCCACCACATTTATTTATTTACTTCTTTAGTGCACTATTTATTTGAGTTTCCAAAAACCAGAACTATGGTAATCCCAGCAGCCAATCGGAGCAAAAGTCGACATCATCCTTAGCCAATGAGGACTCAATGCAAAAACAGGCAAACTACCAAAAGCGTGGGGAAACGTCAAGTCACGATTGGTTTTCACGATTGGTCTAATGCATGAAAAGAGTTTCTAGAACAACCACAGACCGAATTAGAGCAAAATCAAAGCAATCCAGGATTCTTTTCGACGCTCGGTTGAAATTAATCTGATAACGAGATAAATTCAGCAATGATAACGTCAAGGTTTAACTACTTTTTACGGTGTCGCGGTTAATTTTCTCTTTATAAGGGTGCAAACGATTATTAATGGAAGCCCCAAAACATGTAGACTCTTACCAGAAGCACGTTTGAATGTTTTCTTTCTGTCCTCTGCCCTCTCCTATACCAAAGGAAAAACAACTTTTTCACCAATTGAAAATAAGGGAACAATTCTAAATTTTCGTAATAATTTTCATGAATAGAAAACGAAGAGTAAAGGCGTAAAAGCTAAAGGAGATAAAAATAACAGATCAAGGTTCGAGCTGACAACAACGTCTTTTTTAATGTCTGCACCTTCTTTCCGCAGCGAAATATCGTGCACATGCTTATGTTTGAGATCGACTGTCCGGGAAATGCTTACATAGTTTTAAATGTAGTAGAGATCTATCACGGATTCCCTCTGGCCTCAAACACTATCGTCTTCTCCTGCTCGATTAGTTCATAAATATCATGCACACATGTGAAACACTTACGTATTGTAACTGCAACCCGAGCTCACGATTGGATCTCCTCAAGTAATTTGCTTCCGACCTATAGTAGTAGATGGCAATCCTTGCAGAAAAAGAATAGAATATATTTGTATTTAGAAGACATTTATATAGAGAGTAGCAAAGAACGATTGGTTCCTTTTTAACGACAACGTATGTACTTACGACATCAATATGAACACTGGGATAACGACACTCGGGCCACTCAGATAGTCAACTATAGTGTCTAGCAGAGCGGGGCCATTGTCGATGGATTCTGTAAGTACCCGGTACATGTTGGGTTTGCCCCTAAGGGTCAATAAAAATTAGAACAAACCTTGAATTAACTCTATTGCACTAAATATGCCCTGAAACAGCTTTAAAATTCTCGCAATTTATAAAAAACTGATAAACAAAGGAATGCTGATCAACAACATAGTTTCATTGATTGTTATAGATAGATAACGGTAGATTTGCATTGAGATCGAAAACCATGCTTTTTGGCTAGAAATTTCCCCCTTTAGAAGACTGTATCCTTTGATTGTATCAACTCATTTCCGGTAAAGAAAGGGTTTAGCTTTTCTCGAACAACAGTATGTCTTCGCTTTGGCATTCAACTGATCAACAAGGTACGATATTTTATTTGGCCATACAAACATCTTACAACAATTATTGTGCTGACAGATTCACACCTGAAAGGGCCGCACCATTTTGAAGGTTCTATCCTACAGAAAAGAAACAAAACTTAGTTAATCACTCGAGACTTGCAAACAGCTTACCAAGGGAGAGCTTGAAATGGAAGAAAAACTCAGGCAATTTAGATAACAACTGAAATTGTGTGATAAAAATCACGACAAAACAGAGAAGCAGTTTATATTACAGTCTGTGGAATTCTACTTACTCCACAGCAGCATATCCTACAGCCAGCATACACAGAAACAACATAACTAGAAGGAGGACCAAGTAGAACCGGTGAGAGGCCTTGAAAATTCTCTTGGGAGGGACATTAGTGACCATCACTGCCCAGCTCCTAAGGTACATGATAATAACTAGCTTCAGGATGTTTAGCATAATGAGCCCTGGAGAGAACACGAGACCCATCCTGAAAAAAAAGAAGATGATTCTAAGTATAGAGCTAATAGAAGAAAATACGTATGCGCGTACGTCGTTTGATAACGGCAATCGCGCCTTGAAGTCGAAGCGAAAGCCACCATGACAAATTGTCTTACAAAGCCGAATTTTAGACAATTTCCGAACCATTATGCTGCCAGATGGAGGGAGTGCGCTAGGCTTCTTGATAAGATATCATCATCATCACCATAACCCTTTGTACTCTCTCCAACAATTCACTGTAACTCATGCGGTGCGGCGATAAGGCGCTCTCTATTAAAGGCAATCAAATAACTTGCTCTCTTTAACTTACCAGATGAGTCCCTGGCTGTTAATAAGCTGCAATACATTTTCCGCAAGTTTGAACTCGGGGTAACCTAACTGAAGAAAGAAAGAAAGGAGCAATTTGTTTGAGTTCCCTTGTCTGCAGCAAAGGAGGATACAACAAAACAAGTTTCTTTATTATAAAACTTGGAAAGCTTTGGAATTTATTCATACGTCTCCCTTGCGTTAATCAAGAAAACCTTACCTCTTTTGACAAGGATAACTCTCATATGAACACAGCAAAAAATTAAAATGTTATCCACTCACGATTTTTTCAAGATCCAAGAGTCGGCCTTGAAAACAGTTAAGAAATCTGACGGTGAGGGATACGCACAAGTCACCGGTCAACACACTAAACACCAGGGCTACTAGGTCAATAATTGTTAATTTAAACAGCTCCTGACCAACTGTGGTTTCCCAACACAGTGAGCCTGAAAGAAACAAAAAAAAAATAATAGACGCATCACTTCGGATGTCTTAGTCCAAAAAAAGGGGTTCTTTCACAAATGATCAGCAAATATCTTTCTCCTTCTGTTGATTGAACTGTTTCGCTTCTCAGAATGATGCGGTCGCTAAGAAAAATAGAATTGTGCGATCATTGTTGAAAAACAAAGCTATACTCTCGGGGAATAAAGATCAGTTAATGATCACCACCTTACCATCAGTGGTGTTTTTTGTGACTGTGGTAACAGGAATAACAGTCGAGTTTATCACATCACTTGTTGATGAGACGTCCAAGGCAGTTACTTTTGACTGCAAAGAAAATAAGCGAAAATCACGACAGTTAAAATGGGACATAGAAGATTGACACAAAACACTCCCTCGACTGATTCTTAGCCTTAACTTAATGGAATCTTCTCCTTCAAGTCCTCAGGACCTCTGTTCTTCTCGCCCCTTGGAGCTAGAGACACTTTCTCACACTAACACTCGGTTACTCTCTCCCCTCACTCTCTCTCGCGGTCCGGAGGAAATGGAAAATTGAGAGCCCAAGAACGAGATTGATAGCTCACCTTACTGACTGTTTGACTGAGAGAGTTAATGAATGAGTTATGGAATGACTGAGCTTACCCGCTGACAGAATGAATAAAAGAAAAAGTGATCGAACGAACGTTATTCGAATGACTCACAGGATACAAAATGGGTGTCTGACTAACCGACTGTCTTTCGATTAAGTATCTCCGACTGACCGACTGTCTTCCTATTGATTAACTCTGAATAACTGACTGTCTTCCGATTGATTAACTTACTTAGACTCTGTGCACCTATTTCGAGTGAAAGGCCAATGAATTACTAACCATTTGACTGGTTTATCTATTGCATAATTTATATAACAGTTCTCTTAAACAAAATTTTTAATTTCTCACCTGATTTATTTTGTTAAGGAGTGATATGACCAGTACGTACATATTTCCAAGATACATGAACATTATTCTAAAAAGAGAATGAAACGGATTCTTCGCGAAAAGAACAAAATAAAGCGGCCAGAGTTTTGCTTGGTTTTTTTTAAATACGAGGACTGGTATTTCGTAAACAGAGTTGACAATGCCTTGCTACTCTTATTTAGGGAGATTTTTTAAAGTTATTTTAACTCGCAGCTCTGATGAATTACAAACAGGTTCGATGCGACGAGTGATATTTCGTGAGCAGAGTTAACAACGCATCCCTGATGAAGTTCTAATCGAGAGGCGCTGGATTCGTGACATTCTCCTAATACCTTGTTAGCTCCCAGTAGAGAGCGACTCTTGGATGATACTGCTCCATCATGGAAATCAATTTGAAGAATACTGGACACACAGCATTCATGCCGGTAATTGCGAGAGAGATCTGAAAAAACAAACGAAAACACGCGTGAAAACGGGCTAATATCATTAACGTTGAATAGAGTGCTTTTTAATTGAGTTTCGCAATTGCAAAACTAACGTAATCATAACTGTAAAATCAGAGGAACTGAATATACTTAAAGTAGAAAAAAAACAAACTGCCTAAAGTGCGGAACACGCGGGCGACCAAGTCGTGATTGCTTTTAGTTTCGCATTTGATTGGTCTAGAGAGTGGCATGAGTTTTCTGGACCAATCATAGAGCAAAGTAAAGCAAAACCAATGCTATCTCGGAATACTGGGCCATAGTTGTAAACAGTGCCATGCAAGTGGGCTACGTTTTTGGCAGATATGTTCGTTTTAACCTTTTGACCCTATGAGTGAATAGTATCTAAATTTGTCAGCCCTGAATCAAACATTAAGGTGTGGAGAATAAAGGAAATGATGTCTAAAGAAGCTCCTGATTGTTGAACAAATTCTCCTTGTCAGCACCCTAGGAAATGTATAGAGAACAGCAGGGAGAATATACAGACTGATGTTAGGGAGTATAGTGTTAAGTTACCTCATACTGCTCTAACACAGTGGGTGGTCTTCCTTCCTTGTCTCTTTCATCTGAACGCTTAACCACCAAGTATATCAAGTACGCGCTTGCGCTTAAAACGCCCAGAACCAGCACATTTGCACATACACGGAGGGCGATGAGGGTTTTCCTGAAATAGAGTGCGTGACAATACGTTCATTTATTGAATGATCTAATAACTTTTGCCGCTGATTAAAGCTATCACGAATCTCTTGTAGCTTAGTGATATGGCACCTGAAGTATTGATATTAGGGTCAAGGGAACAAAAGCAGCCGGATTGTAATGAATAACAGCTACATTTTGGTCCATATGAAACTCGTGTAGCGTTACGTGTTATATATAAAACTTACTTATTTATCGTTTTCCCTTTTTCCACTGCCTCAACCATTTGCTCCTGTAGGAAATTAAAAATAAACAATAAAAAGATACGAGTTAAATGAGATTACGAATGGCATAAATTGTCGACACCATCGGAAAGTATTGATTACCTTTGAAACAAGATGGTGAGGAATTGAAACGTTCCCGTAGAAAGTCAAAGCTAGTTCACTCCTCATTGGTGAACCTGCACATTTGCAACTATAAAGTTTACAGAAGACGCCATATACCCGTAGTACAAAAAAATTCCTCGGATATATTTAACAGTCATTCGGTAAAGCCTATATTTCGAGAAATGTTGTCTGCGATATTTCATCCAACATTGCTGCTAATTTCTATGTTTTCAAACAAAGATACAATTTATAACGTGACTTAGTCAAAAAGGATTTCAGTTTTACCAAAAGATTAGACGACAGGCTTACTTTAATAGCAGTAGTAAGGGAGGCTAATTTATTCTCCGCAGTCTCTCGCTCTGTGATAAGAAAATCCCAAGCTGAAAACACACGCCAGCCGAATGGATATTGATCATTTTGACCTGAAGACTTCACTAGACTCTGTTCGTGAGTGATACTGCAAGGTAAAAATCAAGGTTATGCAAGCTGTATTTTTGTGTTTAGAGATATGAGTTCTTCTATAACTCCACCCCTGTAACAAATTTGTCTTGTCCTTGACAAGATCCGAAGATCGTGTCAGGAGTGGTAAACGTCGGGAAGACTGTTACCAACGGCGGGTGAAAGAGAACAATTGGGAAGACCAAGCCCAAAATCCTCCTCGGATCTAGATCAGTTCCATCTCTCGTGTATCTTGATAACTATGAGTAGCCTGCTTATCAGCTGGACATTAATTAGTACACAATACTTACGCTCGGAGCACAGTAATGATACTGAAGAGATAAATGACCATGAAAACCGCGAAGTAGGCCACCGGCAAGGGATACTCGACCACGCCCACCTGGATGTTCTCATTTCCATAATAGCCGTAAAACAAAAAGGAATATTCCAGATATCCCTGTGGGGATAAAAATTGTAATGATGGTATTTTGTTAGAAAAATGCTTGATTTTTAAGTCTAATTAACATCTCCTGTTTTTTTTCTATAACGTATTATGTGTACACTCCAGAATGAATTGAATGTAAAATTTCAAAGGTGATGACCTAACATAGTCAATCGTCACCTCATTCATTTCTTTCAGTGATCCATAATCCTGAAGTCTTAGCTCCTTACAGGCTAACATCACTAGGCATATTCTACATAATGTTTTCTATACATTTTCTGAGGTGCTGACCAGGAGAATTTGTCTAGCAATCGAGGGCTTCTTTCGTTGCTGGTTTTTTCTATATTCTCGTGACCTTATTGTGTGATTCGGGGCCGATATTGTAAGGAGAAATTAGATGCTAGTCACTTTTAGCGGTCAGAGAGTTGACTAAAGATTCAACAGTTGATCGCTAAATAAAACTGCTACAACCAACGCCGAGATTAGTAAAAACGGCACTAAGAGACTTGGGTTAAGACTTTACCTTCGCATCAAGAGACTTGGTTTAAGACTTTACCTTGGCATCAAGAACTGCTGTAAGACGCTGTGCTGTGTGTCTCTCACTCTCAGGAATACTCAGAGCTGTCGAAGGACTCATGAGCTGAAAAACAAACCAAAGAAGATTATCATTCATTATCTGGGAACAAATTCGTGGCTTACAAGAATTAATAATTTTACCAATATCCGCGAGAGAAATTAACTCGATCGGAACATTAACGGTGGAATGTTACGATTAGAAACGCTAATAAGAAAGCGTAGCAAGATTGCAAATTTCAGTCAGAGGAAATGGAGATTTCTTTTAACATGATGGTGAATGTTTACAGAGGTAGTATAATTTTCTAAGTTAAAATTTACAAAGAAGGTAATGTACTCTGAAGCTTACCTGTGGAACTATAACGAAGATCGTTATAAAGGTTAACAAAATGAAGTTGATCCACGCCAAAGAACGTAAAAAAAGAAAAAAAGAACCGATGCCAGCTCCAAAATGTCCTGAAGGAAAAACACGCTATTGTTTGAGAAAGTAACAAAAACTTCTTCCTAGTGGCGTGTTATTTGATTACTAGTTTTCTCGAGATTATTCACTCAAGGAAAACAATAGGAGACCACAGTATTGGAGACAATCTCCATCTTTTTTATTTCTTCAAAGTTCATTTTTTCCATCATCTAAGGAATCTTTATGGAATGTGTAGAACCTTTATGACTGTAAGAGGGTAAGAAATGTTGCGACCCTTCTTTTGCATATTGAAACATTCCAAGGTAACAAAAAGGATAAAAAGGAATTGTACTTCATGCTTATTCATTAGTTTTTTTCCACTGATGCATCAACTCTTCTATGGTTCAGGGACACTCTGAAAGCAATGCTGATGATTTCCCAACAATTCATCGATTAGGAAGCTGTAAGTACGTCCTTGTCGTTGATAACCGCTCTACAGGATCACACTAAACCCAAAATGTGTAGTTCGTTATTTTAGTTAATCATAAAAATTTTGTGGCTACAAACCTTGAATATTTTTAATCCTCTTTTCCCAAGGAATGAAGAACACGATGAAGTTTTGGAACTGTCTTTTAATTTGTCGAAAAAGCTGAAGTCAATAAGAAAAGAAGTTCATTACTCAGTGACAACAGCAATAGCTTCATGGAGAATGATGATGGACAAGACATGCGAACAAATCAACATAAAAACAAAACAAGAATAAAAAGATAAAAACGCTTGAGAGGAGCGCTAAATAAAGTCTTTGAGGTGGTTTGCAGTTGTCCCAGTCTGGAAAAATTGGGCAAAAAAACAGGGGGGAACACTCAAAGAGAAAAATATACTAGATAAAGAGCCGTTCCCCTGACAACCACAACCACAACCACCGATCGTCATTCGCCCATCCCTTCTTTCGTCGTCATTGGCTGAGAGCCGGAACAGGATGCAATGGTTCGTGAACACTGATACGCAAACCTGGCTGCGGTTGAAACAGAAAATCCGTAGTGTCTTACCACTTAATCTATAACTGCGTAATTGAAATTAAAAAAAAACGTTTCAGGTTAATTTTGAGTCGCTGAGCCGGTTTGGAATCGTAGCAGCAGTCCGATCAGGATAGATGACTGATGGTAAGAATCAAGTATTTTACTTATTGACCAATCATAACTGACCTATTCCACACAATGTCTATTACATACCCTTATCCGAGACTCCTTTAAATGCTGCAGTCTGTTCAGATCACCTGAATGCTGTTCGACGTAGTTTTTGGCGTTTCTGTTCAAATAAGTGTTAGAGGAAGAAGAAGAAGCATATAATACAAACGAGTTGATCATAAGAATTCTTATAGACATAAAATTTCAATCGCTTTTGGCTGAGAGAAATTGTTGGCTCTGGGGTGCAGATTTGCCAAACGAATTAAATACAACTAGCCCAGATTGGTCTACATTAGCTGTACCAAAGATCTTTACACCTCATGTCCCTGTTATATTTGGTACGCGGCCAAAATGGGCATGTTTACGTTGGAATACCTAATTTTACCACATGCCTCTAGTGGGGACCCTCTAGGTTCTTCTAGGGTGTGCACTGGGGCATTGTAATAGGAAAGTATTCCAAAAACACTTAAATCAAAAGATGACCGCATGAAAACACCGAGAAAATGACAAGAATATCATGATAACTTTTATGAAAACGATGCCGGAAGGTAAAGGTAAAGCGCGCAGTGCTATTACATAGCGAGAGAATATTCCGGCCTTGACCATTTTTAGTAAATAAAAAGATCATCAAGCACGTATGAGGCGGCCTTTGTTGGAGAATCTTGACTGAAAGATAGATTTCATATCTATTAGGCTGTGCTTGACTGAATCTCATCTTGCTGTAAAGTTATTAGTGGCTGTGAAGATTTGTCTCCTGTGTTCACCTGATAATTTGTAATTTCCTGTCCATAGTCCATGGCTTTTCCTTTACACCCTTAATAACTTCTAATTGTAGTTGAATGTTCTCAAATACATCTGTAAACACCTCCTCTGTTTGCGTCTTATTCGGCGACTCACTGTAAATAGTGAACTACAGGTTAAACTAAAGATGAAGCGCTTTCCTTGTCTTTGTCGGTGAACAGAAGAGGTGGAGAGGGGGAGGGGTAGGAGGGGGAGAGGTGGCTTGTACTCTGCCATAAAGTGTACGAGAATTTGAGAAGAAAAGGATAAAAAGAAATTGTAGAAACCGAAAAAACCTCCCATTTGAAAGGAAGAGGCAGTAATCAAATTCCCGTTCAGGACCAGTTAAAAACTAAAACTAGATAACGTTTCTCACCTTGATGTTGATACTGAGGGCTCGCAGGCATTCTTGGTCGGTTTTGAATTTTCGTCGGCCGTTGAATTTGGAGATCGTTTTCTAAGCCAGTTGAATCTCGACGGAGATTTTTTTTCTTTGTTCTCCTCAGGGGTATTTGTCAGTAAATTCCTAGCATTCATTTCACCCATTTCTAACCTTGCATCTTCCTCGAGACCTTTTGGGATAGAATGAGAATATCACTGTCATGAACGAATTATTTAGCCATGGTTGTCTACTTGACTGGCGTGGTTTTATTTACCACAGAGCTTTACGACTGTTTTAGAAAATCATCACAGTTTTAGAAATGTCAGAGTCGTTCACAAACAAAACTAGAAATTGTTGACTATAACAATTTGCATCTTCACCATCACATTTATCATGGTCCTCTTCATTAGTTATTATTGACAGAAAATACAAAGCATTAGTGAGTTGTAAGTAGTCGAATCTGGGGCTAATGGAGGGACGATTCACGTGAAACTAAAGGGCGCCACCCAGAAATCAAATTAACTTCATCAGTTGGCAATTTATGTTTTTTATATTTGTCATGTATAAGATAATAACTTTACCTTTTATTTCTCCGGAGGTTCTGTTGCCACTTGTCGACATATCCGACTTTCCTTGGCCTGTTTTATTCTTTATAGACTTCAGGAAAATAAATAGAGCAGATTATGATCGATGTTTGTGGGCGTCAAAATTCCGGTACACCACCAATCTATGGAACTGGCTCAAATGAAACGTTCTTTGTTCGGGTAAACATTTTGATACATTTGATTGACTTTCTGTTTCTATTCCGTCAGTCACCAGTCCAGTTCTGTAACTCTGTATAAATTTACTGTTTGTCTTATGAACATACTCTCCGCTCTCGAGAAACATTGTAACTCCAGAACATCATGGTTCTAGCAAACCTTTTAGAGTATTTAAAAACTTTTAAGCTCGTACATAAGTGGTTGTGTTTACTAGTCTCTTACTTAAGCTGTTGTGACCTGCTGTATTTATATCTACTGAAGTTAGGACATAATTTCAGCTCCTGGCCATCTTGTTCCCAATATTACTAGAAAAGATGAAGGTTATTCAATCTACCCGGACAGTCGGTCAAAATCTTTGACTGACACCGACAGAAATTTTGTAGACAAAATCCTACCATTATATTACTGAACATCTTGTGCATGTGAATAACGTAAAAAAAACTCGTTAATGACCAGAAATAAGAATTCTAACCACATGCGGTTCGATAGTTTGTTCTTCTACCCAAACAATGTATTCCCTCAGTAGTTTCCTTGAAGAATGGTCAAACTCTACGCATCTCAGATGGCCTCAAGTTTAAGTACTTTACGGGGCCTTGTACTGCTCAGATTAATGAACTCGATACCAAGATATCATTATCGATATAGTGACAAATTTTGGATTTAGTTAATTATGCGCAGATTATGGCTCGCTTCAAAGTGAAGCATAATCGCAAATTTATGAGGTTTAGTCGCGTCGGCATATTTAGACACAGCACTAGTTCTGTAAAAACTCATAGTAACCTTAAAACAACCTTAAACCAACCCTAAAGCTCTCATAAGTCTTCAACAAGACTGAACCGATTGTGATTTGAAAAACCGGCGGAGGTGAACGGACCCAGTTTGCGAGATTATGTTATCTGGAAAGTATATATAAGCAGCATGTCGTTAGTGTAATAGGAGGATCGGAATATTATGATTCAAAATAAATTGTACTTTCTAAATGAAGCGCTAGTCTTCGATATGTATGCATTAATGTGTATATATCTATTCCTACCTTTTGTTTAGGATATCATTTAGATCTTGATATTCGTTTTTTTTTATACAACTCAATTCCGTGTCTGAATCTGTGCAAACACTTGAATACAGATATGTACAGTGCCTGGCGTTGAATTCATAAACATTTTGCTTGCTTTCTTTTGAAGTATAGCTTTCATGACTACATACGTTTATTGAAATGATTTTGTTTTATTTTGTCAATGAATTGTTCCGAGAACGAATTAAAAAGAAGCGTGGCTTTAAAGACAAGAATAAAATCCATCGGTGAATTAATAATTGATGATATTCAAGGAGCGCACTGTTTCGAGGTGTTTCTGTGATATTTAAGGAATGGTCATTGAAGCGTGGGTAGGTCAAGAAAATATTTTGAGCTCTAGGGAACATTGTTTTTTTTACTCAGATGAAATTGATTGAACAGCGCTAAAAAATCACATCTTTTCTGTTTGCGTTTTGTGTTGTTGCGAACAGATTTTGAATGCTCTCTAAGTGTGATATTTTTTTATGTATATTACAATTTGAGATAAAAAGGAGGTTAGAAAAAAAGTTGTTTGTTCTGTGGTCCTTCAAATTCTCTGTTTTGCACAGGTACCACCAAATCAACGAGTCTTGCGTTGAAACCAGATCGGCCGGTTCGAAACAGGTCTCGATAGAGCTTCAAGTAAACCCGACTTATCTTTTCATATTTATGGGCAAAAGCGATCAAATCATAATCGGGAGAAACCTAAACTTGATTCACCAGGCAAACTATGTGCTGAGAAGGAAATTCATCATCATATCTATTCTGTGCTTAGCATGCAGTCTATAAAATGAACAAAACAAATCAAACTTCATATAATTATAGAAATGGGCGTTTCCAGCTTTTACGCCTTGATCTAATTTTAAACACTCGTATGAAAGTGCTAGCATAGTGTTAGCCATGCATGTAGTAAGCCTAAAACAAAAACGCAAACCCAGATTCAAGGGGTGAGCGAACAGATGTTATCATTGACTTCGCATCCACCTAAGTAAATAACTGACATGATAATTAAAACAAATCAGAATGAATGACTTTGCCTTTAACTGAATGAAGGACCGAAATGATAATTGAAATAGATCAGAATGAATGACTTTGCATCTAACTGAATGAGGAACTGAAATGGTAGTTTAAAAAAAATCAAGTCAAGAATGAAGACAAATGTCGGATGTGATAATGATGACTTGAGTTCACGTCATGCATAAGACAAAAGTCTCTCCGAAGAACTTGCCTATATTCTCTGCCTCTGCTGGTGCAATACCTGAAGTCCACCACTGTCGTCATTTACTTGACAAAAATAGAATTAAGCTCCATAAATAAGCGATTGCATCAATAACCCGGAGAAAAGACCTCCAAAAACTCCCACGCCAATGGCCCCGAAAGACTGAATCTTAAATCATAATTATCTTTTCTTTATATGATGAGCTTTGCAAGTGTTTACGGTTGCGTCTGAGCAGAATGCTATGTTCTTCATTTTTGGAATTTTATTTTGTACATAGTAGTTTTCTTTAGCTGATCTTAAGCGGTGCCTTTTTCACTCGTGCTCCGAACGATGGCCTATGAGCAAAGAGACTATTTGTTGATAGATCATTTAAGTCTCATGAATAGTAATCGTGTAGGATTCTGTGATATTTGAGACGAGAGCCTACGAGGAGATTCGCAGCATGCCCTCTCTAAGTAGATTCGTTACTTTTCTAGAAAAACACTTGAAATTTGGATGACAACCGGGTAGAGCTTTCTGGAATTCTTTTCTAAATTTTCAAATTATTTCCTTAAACTGCGGAAAATTTCCGCGATCCGACACGTCCTTGCACCTCGGGATTTTCCGGACGACGACGCTTTGTTCCGAACATTTTACGAACGCTGAAGAATCTCATCATATGCATTCGAGCGTTAATGTTGTCGTTGTGTATACCTTATTATTGCAGTAGAGTGGTGTTCTTAGATTTGTGGTCGCTCATGAATAGAATGACGAATATTTGATAAATCAGTTTTTACCAATAATGCCAGGTAAATTGCGAAGACATGATTACGACCTCGTCGAAGAAGCCTATGATAGTAAGTCCCCAGTGCACAACGAAGACGCGTTCGAACATGGAATTGCCTTCAAAGTTAAGGTGGTGCAGCTTTTGCATTTTTTAATTTATCTAAACACGTAACCAATGAAATACTTGTCACTCGAGGAAATCATCTAAAAAGAGTTTTCTTAAGGGTTCTTAAATTGTTTTCCGGTAGCTTTTGAATGTTACCTGACATTATTTATTTCAATTGCGGCAATTATAAATTGGCTCGTGATAAAACAGTTGTTTACGCTTGAGAACTGTGTTGAAGGTGTGAATAATACATATTTGTCTTCTTTTAATCTTTCTCGCAGTATATTGGGACGAAAGAAATTCATAAACCTAGCAGCAGAGCTGAAATAGTCACTGCTATGCGACGAATACGGGTAAAGAGGCAAAACTTATAAGTTTTGTATGATATCGTTTGATACTATTTTAAAAATTATTTGCACGTATTCCCAAAATATTGTGTTCAGTAGGCTGTCTTTTATGATGATGTTGTTTAAGGCGGTCTTATCCGATGCAGATTCTGTAATCGATTTATTATGACGAAATTAAATTGAATCTAATAAAGAAGTCTCAGGACTACGCATTTCTCACCCGAGGCTAAATTAGCCCTTGACACTGCCCCTTCAGGTTTTCATCGCCAAAAATGTCTCAATGAACTCCAAATATTTAATTTAAAAAAATGTGATTTTAGTTTCACAGTATCAAAAAATAATCAATTAGAATGTTTGACATTATCAGTTTGTTCCTTTTTGCAGTAGACATAATTCTTTAATGGTTAACAATGACATTTTAAGCCAAAAATTTGAAGGTCCTATTAGTAAATTAAATATTTTTCTTTACCCAGCATGTTTCTCTTAAAAATGTGTTGCTGTAGCAGAATTTTTGTCTGATTTCGTAATGATGTATTTTCCAGTATGAATACAAAGTCTATGGTACCAAGAAGGAAAGGACAGAACTCTCTGTTGCTGTGAGTGGAATTAAAGTTGTTCGAAGGGAGGAAGGCAAGCGCAGCTGGATCACACAACATGTAAACTTTTTTTTTTGCCATGCATATTTTGCAACAGTTTTTCTTAACTGGCGGACCTATATTTAGATGTCTAGCGGCTTCCTGTTGTTTTGGGCTTAAAAGATGTTGACTGCAGGTCAAACTTAGAAAAATACTGTTGCATTGTTCCATACACATGACTGGAAGATTTCTTTGTCAAAAATTGCTGCAACATTTTTAAGACACTCCAGAAGTGTTTTCTAGACTAAAAAGGATTCATAGCTTAGATTGTCACTTGAAGTTCACTCTAAAAGTTTTTCCACCCAATTCAATGTAAAATATTTTCATTGTGGACTAGTTTGTAATAAAACTCAGATGGAGATGGATGTTGGCTAAGGTTAGATCTTGTTAGACTTTTGGTCTAGCACCCTTGTGCCAATTTGCAGACATTTTTAATGCACGACACAAATGTGGAGAAAATTTAACAGTAGAGGTAAAGTAAGTAATCTATCCAAGTGGCTAAATGGCTGTAGCTCATGCCCAGTTTCTGTAGTGTGAAGGGATTAGATCATCCTACAACATTTTGTCAGGTTTGCCAGTCAGTTTTACCTCACCCATTTATACTCCTGGGAGGAGAGATACACATTATGCTGAAACCATATTTCTAATTTGTTTCAGAAAAAGAAAAACTCCTATGTCGAAACAGAAGTTATGCAATACCCTATTAACAGGTAAATAAATGACAACTGGCTCATCATTATACATGGTTCAAGCTTTATAAGAAATACATATTGCATTTTAACATAACATTTCCAGTTTATTTCAGATCTAAGTGGTTGACATTTTTTCTGACATTTCAGAATCTTCTATGTCTCACATGATTCCCAAGATCTGCAGATCTTTAGTTTTATTTCAAAGGATGATGATCTTTTTAAATGCAGTGTATTTAAAGCAAGTAATAAGGTAAAAGTATTAATCTCTGATGTGCAGTACTTAGAAGTGTATGCATTGTTAACAGAGCAACCTACAAGCATAGGCTGTTTTATCAAGGGATTATACCAGTATTAAGATTGCTGAAGGAATCTTCAAATTCAACATTTGGTGCATTCTAATGCATGATCTTCCCTGAATAAGCATCTATGGCCTTGGCCAAATGAGGAAATAAGCACTCCTTGAAGAAGGACTTCCATTCCCTTCCTCTCTCTCTCTCTCTTTCATCTTCTTCAGATGTACAGATACAAATAATCAAGTTTCTACTGTCACCATGTTTTAAATATATTGAGCTTCAACTACAATGGCACCAGTACATGTAGGTCTGGAGTAAAGTTTCTTCTCTGCTAAGCCACTCGCAATTACTTCTGTATCCCTGTGTTTACATGTAGAATGCCATACTTTTATTGTTATCTAAAGATTTATCCACCAAATTTTGTTTAAAGAAAGACTTATTAAGTGCTTAGTAAAAGTACAATTTGATTATGCCCCATGCACTTGATTATTTAAGGAAGTACAGTAATTGATTTTTTTTGATAAAATATTCCCGTAAGTTTTTGTTTAAAATTTGCTGAAACTGACCTAGTATGTTGTCTGACTCTCTCATTAGGCGGATGCTATACACATTGTGAGGACAGTAGGCCAAGCTTTTGAGGTGTGTCACAGGAGAACACTCAGTCAAGTGGCCCAAGAAAATAATATAAAGAATGAACAGGATAAACTTGGTGAGTCAGGCATTAGAAAGTATTACCAGTAATGAAGGCTTTGATTTAGGGTGCAAAACATACTGGTTTAAAGTAGTGATAGTTTTCTCTCCCATCTCCTTTGTAATGATCAATGATTTAAGTGTTTCTGAAAGGAAAACTACAGTAATTTGTCTTTCAACAATCAGCAGAACGTATGGAGGAGATAGTGCACAGAAAGCCTTGCAGTATTTTGATATCTAGACTTGATATAATTTACTATTAAAGAAATACTTTGTGATTGCTTCTATTCTCATTTCCTCAGAAACTGATGGGCCTACAAGTGATGTACCCACAGCAACAGAAGGGACAAATTCTGCTGGTGGACAGGTGGGTGTTTTTCTAGCCCCACACAATGAGTGAATGATATTGCATGTAATATGTGAGAGGTTATCAACACTTATCTGTGAAATTTTTGTTTGATATTGTAAATGGAAACATCTACACAGTTGCTTGTGAGCCAATATACAGTGTGCTGCCCTAAAGTTTAGTCAAGGAGCAATTTTTGTTATCAGGAATAGAGGTTGAATTTTTTTGTTTTCATTAAAAAAGGAAGGGATTTGCAAACATTTTGTGTTTTAAAACACAATTTTGGATGTTATGCATGTAGGGATTGCTTGAATTTAATTTCAGTTGTCCTTCTGGCCTTTTCAGATTGATTTCTCATCAGACTCAGTGTGGGCTACCAAGGATTACCCGCCGGAGGCAGAAGCTGGTATTGCACCCTTAACAATTCAACAGCTGCGTCACATATATCAACAGCAGCTGGATCATCAAAGGCAAGAGACACAGGCAGCCCAGGCAAAGATAAAGCTTTTGACACAACATCTTGATGACGAGGCAGCTGCAAGACAGGTTCTTCAGGTACTGTGCACATATATCTGATCTACCATTTTCAAGTTTTTTTTTTCATTACCATTTCTTGTTTGTGTTATTTCCTTTTCCTAATATTTGTCAATTGGAATTTCACCTTGTATATAGCAGTACTGAACATAATAATACACAATTTATGCTTATATATTGAACTGTTAGAAAATAAGTAGATCAATTAAGGGCCAGTATCAACCATTTAAATCCTAACGCTAGTGTGCTTATTCTCCAAACTGATTTCCATAAACTTTAAGGTGTTGAAAAGAATCTTGTGATCGTTAAGTGTGATTCAGGGGTTATACTGTAGGGAGAAATTAGATGCTGGTCACTTTAAGGGTCAAAGGGTTTAAGTATCAGTAACTTTGTCATCAGTGTCTCTTATGGTGAAAGATGAAATGTTGTCTAGTATGTTATTTGTGTTAGTTAATCTGCCTGAACTCTAAGTGTCTAAAACTGTTTGACAGAGAATTGTATGTTCAATCCCCATATCTTGTGTTCCCCAAATAGACTTCAGTGCTGACTCCCTAAAGATTACATAAGATGGTTAACTCAATGCATATTATATTTAACAGAATCAACTGGACCAAGTGCTCAAGCAAAACAAGGACTTGATAACAACAATAACACAATTGGTTGATCAAGTTCAGACTATGCAGAATCAAATGCGTGGTCGAGGTGATTCTGGTGTAAGTCTTAGTCTGGATATGGATGGAAAGATATCTTCAGGATCAGCATTACACTCACAAGTTTCATCATCTGTGGGCTCCTCTCCAGTCAAGGATGGGTTGTTGTCAGCAGCAACAGCCGCACAGAAACGACGAATGCTTGGTGATCCTGTATTTCCCACTATTCCTCCTCCAGCTATGACTCCAAGCCCTGTGATGTCACATCGAAGTGTAATGGATCCTCTTGATGGTAGTGTTACTTCCCTACAGTCAAGCAGCAAAGTTGCAAGTGCAGAATCTTTTATCCGAAACACAGTTCCTGAAAGTGGCCCTCTTCCTACCCTTGTGGATTTGGGCTCATCTGATCTTGAAATGGTTGAACCAAGACATGAACCTTTTCCTCAGCAGTTTCTACAGTTTACATTTGACAGTTCTACAAATTTTGAACCTGGTAAAGTTGATTCAGCCAGTAATGGTAGTTTAACACAGTTTAATGGAGTAGGCAGCAAAGCCAACACCTCTTTACCTCAAAACAGCAGTGGAACATCTCCTGTTTTGAATGGCACCTTTTAACATCAATTCTGACAGGTAGTCTTGGTAGTCCTTTGCATCACCTATCTTGTCACAGTTATTGTAAGATTTTTTGAGATGGCTTTTTAAATTGTCTTTATTTTGACTAGAATGAAACATTAATTCAAATGCTCATAGAATGGAGGATAATACTTAAAGGAGAATTGAGAATTGAGGTGCACAAAAAGTACTAGCTGTAAGGTTAATGTACTTTCATGCGCCTCACTTCCATAGTTCCAAGTGATGCACTTACATCAATTTTTTTTTTTCACTACCCTTTTTATTTTACTCATGCAACAGACTTTCCTGAAAAAGGAAGGACTGCACATAATTTTTTGAGGGTGTAAAACTAGTCAGCAATATTCTCTTAAAAAAAACTTAAACACTATAATCATAATTAGGGTGGAGGGTTAATTTTATGTGCAGGGGAAATCTCTGACCACTGATTTTCCTTGTGTTGTTCCTGGTTATATGCATACAAAGAATTATCTGTTGTTGACAAAAATATTTTAATAATTACATAGTGCTCTGGGGAATATAATTTTTTGTCAGTGTTAAGTCTGAGTAATGATTATGAGAATTTTTCTTGAGTAGGGATGATGACAGAGCAGAGGGTGGGACTGTCTTGAAAAAAATAAAAATTGAGGTCTGTTGTCATATTTAACCCATCATGTGAAAACATGAGTAGATTGGTGGCCTGGTAGTCATTTGCAAGACAACAAGTTGAAGGTTGTCAGGTACAGCTGCTTTCTATGGTTAAATGTTTGCCCAGTGTAGTGATAAGGGTGCACTCAAAAGACATCTGTGGGCCACTGACAGTCAAATGTAGGAGTTAAAATGCAAGTAGCATGATTTTTCACACATCAAGTTTTGAATTAATATTTTCAAATGAATTGTATATATCACATACAGAGTCACAGAAGCTTAAATTTTTTGCAATGTACAGTATATCCTTTATTTTTATGCTCTGAATTTATGCATTTGTGTATTTATACAGCTTTTAACATAATGTCACAGTTTTTATCAATATTTTATATTGTTGAAAAAATATACCTCAAATTTCTTACCTTATTTGAATCATAAACATTTTGTACATGCAGATGCAAATATGAGCACTATTTTTCCAAAAAGGTACTTGTAAAATATGCGGGCAATGACCCTGAAAAAAAAGCTGAGGATGCAAACATTTTTTGGGATTATGCTTTTTAAGGATTTCAATTAATTTTTATTCCAAAGGCTGACCATAGTTAGTCAAAGTAGATGAAGCAACAAGCTGTTGAGTATGGATAGTGCTTTCATATGCTGGTGATCATTTTGATTCATGTCTCCTCACTGGTAACTGTTCTGTTATTTACAGTCTTGCTGAAACTTAAGACATTTTAGGTTTTCAGTACAGCATTAGATTTTGATACTGTAAGCAATAAAGGATTTTAATGTAAAGGAGACTAAACTTATCAAGACATCAATCAAACACACCCTACCATAGCTCCAGTAATGCTCAAATTAAATTGACGATCTCTTCTCGAAAACTCAATTTATTAAAATTTCATGATTGTGTAGAAATGCCCTTGTTCTAGGGCTTGGTTTACTACAATTTTGGTATTATAAAATTATTATCATTTAAAAGTCATTTACACTTAATTCAAGCAGCCTTGTAATTAAATGGCACATGGTTATAGTGTCAGGAGGCACTGTTAATTTTGTATTCCAATTCATGCTATTAACAAATTATTCCCAGCTTATTGTAATTTGAATGGTTTTTCATTTTTATCACAAAAGAAAAATTGCATTTAATCATGACATTACTAATGGCACATTAATATTTAATCTTTGATTACATGTCACAATATTACTTGATACATTTTTTCAACTATTTGGATATTTGAAACTTAAAATATTCTAGAGTGAGGGAACACTAGTTAAGGTGGCAGATATTGCAATGAATGAGAGCACTGAGTAATATATAGAAAATAAAATGCAATAAACATGAATTTCAAATGTGTTCAGTTACTTTTACTAGTTGAAATGGATGGTAAAGACACCAGAAGAGCAGAGAATTTATTACATCTCTAATCCCCTTCTACCTACCATGGTGAAATTTTATTATTTTGGACCTTAGTATCTTGCATTGTGATCTGTATTGGTTGAGTATCCCTTTAACCCTTGCACTCCCAGGATCTCATTGATAATTCTCCTTTCAGTATGCCATACAATTCTCATTGTGGTAGTTTGGAGAATTTGGTATTGGATCAACAAATAATATTATTCCCTAATTGATATTTTTCTATCCTCTCTTTGCTAATCTGTTTGACATGGTATTGATGATGTAAGGAGAAACTCTGTCTTGGTCACTCATGGAAGTTAGAGGGTTAACTAATGTGTAACTTCCCCTTAGAATGTCAACACAGTTTGGAGTTCTTATGCTATGACAGTAAATTCTCTCGCCTTCGGAACAAGCAAGTCAATCTTGCAAATGCTGATAGTACTTTTCACTATGTACATCATAGTGATACCAGCAATAGCATTTTGCATCCATGGGTTAGTCACCATCATCATGGCAAGGCAGTCATTTAAATAGTATCAAGATTCAGTCTGTCAAGTTGCTTGTAATTTTCAGATTTAGAAAGCAGGAGAATTGATGAGGTAACTATGCAGTGAGATAATGCAACAATATGGTTGAGGTAGTGTGACCATTCAAGTAACATAGTGTGACTATGTGGGGGTGAAAGGGTAACTATGTAGGTTAGGTAGTGTAACCATGTACTGGTGGTGGGGTAACTATGTACTGGTGGCAGGGTAACTATGTAGTGAGGTAATATGACAATTTTTTTTTATTTGTACATAGTTTTCTATCAATATTACTATCAGTATCAGTGTAATGCATATGTATACCATAGTTTTAGTATGTTATTGTACTCAGGGCTCCCATTGATAACAGACAGCTCTCTGCATCTGAAGGGGCTACCCTGAGCAGTGTAAATCAAGTAGCATACTATGACTGTGGGGGGTGAAAGGGTAACTATGTCGGTGAGGTAGTGTGACTATCTAAGGGTGATAGGACAAAAACCTGGTTGAGCTAGTGACTATGTTGGCAAGGTAGTCTGATCATCTACCTGAAGTGGTGTGACCATGTTGACAAGGAAAGTCTCCAAATGGGTTCTTATCCATGAGAGTGATAGAATGATTATCCCATTGGTAAGGGAAACTAAAAAAAATTATCTAGCTGTACATTTCTGAGAACATCATTGAAAGTATTTATTGCATTTGTTTGTAAAAAAGGTACTTTTTAATACATGACTAACTGAACCAGCTAGATAAATAGGCACAGTTAACTAAATCTGTAAGGTTTTTTCATTTTTGCAACCATAAAATTTATTTTTTTAAACATGGACTACACTACTGCCACATCTTACTTATCAAATTCTTCGTAATCTGAATTCAAGAATGTATCTTTTTAACACAAAAACACATAACATCAAGACAACTATATGAAATTATCCAGAATGCCAGAAAAAAAAGAAGTACATTCAATACTTAGAAATCAGAAGTAAAGCATGACATTGTTTCAAAGATGTTATGGATAACATCAAATGGGTGAAAACATTTCACCTATGAATGACTTCTGTCAGCCTGAAGGATGTAGTAAATGTATCTTGCAATTATAGAGGAAAACAATCTTCATTTCTTGTTTAATTGAATGTTTCTGATTAAATTTTATTTCTAAAAACACACATCCTCATTTATTGAATTTATTTGGTTTTGACTTCAATTCAAGTAAACAGTCACTATAAATCCAAGTACATGTAACTTCACCTAGGCACTGGATGCTTTCATCACAAAGATTCCATGAAGTTTTGTGTGAGAATGAAGAAATGTAAAATGGTTTCCATGTTTACATAGCCTGATGTAAACACATGGGAGGTTGAGAGAACATGAGATAAGTGTTGGAAACCATGATGCAAAGCGGAGCAGTTACCAGCTTATCGAGTGTTCTCCCAACCTCCCAAGTGTTTACATCAGGCTATGTAAACACAGAAACCTTTTTATATTTCTTTTATAAAATAGCTAATGAAAGAGGAACGAAAACCGTGTTTACATACACTCATGTAAAATGGCCAATCAGAGCATGCGTACTATTTGAATTATTTTATAAATTGAAATATTTATATAATTTACATTACATTAAATGGTACAATGAACCCTCTTAGATTAAAATAAGATGTACCTTGTATCCATCTACCAGTTCTATAAATACTGGTGCCTTAAATACTATAATAAGTAAATGACAAGCCACACAAACTACAACAGCAGAGCTAAGAAATAACAATAATTAAATAACATTTAAAGTATTTTTCTTCCCTTTTAAGGCTGAGCCCACCACATGACCCACAGATAATTGCATACAAATAATACAAAGTTGTGGCCACCCCCAAGAAAAATAAAACAACCACTTCCCTAAGTTACCACAAAGTAATTTTAAAAGATAATTGAAAAACACACTCTGCAAATTGAGCAAGAAATCATTTTTTTGAGTCTGCTATTTCAAACTATCATAAATCAACATCACCATTTTTCCCCTACACCCTTCAGTTTGGTAAATAACTGCTCTGCTTATCCATGGCAGAGCACACTACTCAACTATGCCCTTCAGTACAAATCAAAACTCTCCTTCACTATGACCATTGGGTTTATAAGTATGAGAAGATTCTGAAGCCCCACAATCCCATGTAAACATGTGATCACATCCGTTTTGACCAGACAGCAGAGCAAGTCTTCACCACTAATTAATACTTAACAGCCAAACTAAACCTATAATTTTGGAGTTTAAAGGTGATCATTGGAATTCACTTTCTATTTTGTGGTCGTGATTAGCTACTGGCAGGCTGAATGTACTCCAGTGGACTGTGTGACGACGATGACAAAGATGATGCTGAAGATGGCTGCTCCACAGATGATGAACCAGGTGTAAGGGCACTGTAATTGGAAATGCGTTCAACTACCATGGCATGAAGATCATGGACAGCTTCATTGTGCTGTAGTTATAAATTGAATAATAAATACTATTACCATTTGACCACTACTAGTAACAATTATGTTAATAATTTTTGCAAAAATAACAAAAGTGTGGGTGATTAAATAACCAACACAGTAATGGGGAAATGTCATTGACACTACACCCACTCATTTGGACTGACAACCATCCACGTCCAGCTTCGTAAACTTTTATAAAATTCCTCTAATTAATGTTCACATATATCTTGTCCCATTTTGAAAACTAGACTTTAGGCAACTTTCACATGGAACTTTGCTGTGCACACCACAAGTGCTGACTGATGGCAAGATTTATATGGTAAGTTATATGGTAAGTTACAGACCATGTTTTTTCCACTTGGATTCATGATCCAAGCACAAAGTGTGTGGCCCATTGGACCATACATCCAAACCAAAAATAGGAAAAAATAGGAATTAGTAACACATAACTTCCAGTACCAACAAAAAAAAATGTTAGCTATATATTAATTGTATTGCTGGGTTCAAATTGGGGCAAAGAAAGATTTCAGTTCAATCAAACTTTTGAATTTAGCAGGCCATACAGTGAAATATGGCGTGCTAAATTGACCACTCATAGTGCTCATATTTACAAAGAGACTTAATTAAAGGCTATAATTTTCTGCCAAATTTGAACTGGAGGGTAAGTAAACTGTGAATGTTAAAGCATTTATACAATCACAATCAAGAGTAAGTCACAATACCCATCTTAAGACTGCAAAAGTTGGATGTGGATGCATATAATCATTCATTACTATAAAGGTTTAGGGTTTTCAGAGAGATTATGAGTAGACTACACCAGTGAAAAAGAATTACTGGTGCCCTGAAAGGAGGCAGTTGGGACCCTGAGTACAAAAGTTTTATTCTTTGGGGGTGGGGGAAGGGAGGGACGGCTTGGGGCTGGCCCTACCAGTACTGTATATTTTCTTTCTAGATGTTCTGAGATTCTATTTTCACCACTCTTAATTATTTTTCCGGCTCAAATTACAGAAAGTTAAAATGGAATTGTAAGATGTTCTACAGAATGAAGACAATAAGTTTGGTCATTCAATTTTGAGTCAACCCCATCAAAGTTCAATAAACTGTAAGTAATTTAAACTGGTAATTGAGATGAGTTTGAGTTCATTTGAAACATTTTTTAATCTTTTTTACTTTTTGATTTTGATAAAATGCAAAGTGCAGTAAATTGAGGTTTCCTATAGGCTTTACAAACCACTCATGCATGTATTAGTACTTACTAGAAGATGGTTCCTTACCATTCTGAGGCTATTGTTTAAAAAATGCCACCTCTTTTAAAGAGTTGTCAGGTAGAGTGGCTGGCAAATATAATAAAGTTTTCTCTTGAGAACCTTGTGTTTTGTTACTTCTCAAGAGAGTGCATAAATTAAAAAAACAACACAAAACCAACTATACATTGTACATACCTCACTTGATGGCTGTGCAATGGTCAGAATGTGCAACACCTTTTGAGGATCCAATTTAGGAAAAATGTACGATAGCAATCTTAGGGTGTGTCGCATTACACTTGTGTGTGACACCAAGGGAAGAAGAAATTGGTCAAACACCACATCACAGAAATCAGGATGTGTAAACTCTTCCTGCCAAGCAGCTAGGGAACTGGTCAGAGTGTGAAGGGAGACCTCATCCAAAGCTCGCTCTTGACATGTGTTGACAAACCAAGGCAAGATGGCAACAAGGGTATGTCTGCAGTCACATGGATACAACACACATTATAGGAAAATAATCAGTTTCAACCATTGATGGCAAACTTTGTGACATGGCTGTCTTGAAAATTGATTTGCTCCATGCTGTGAGGAACAGTAGTTTATCTGGCCCTAAGTTTCTTTGTACTTCTTTCCCATAATAGTGTCAAAACCCCTTTTTTTAAAGGGGCTTTATTAACTATTTACAATCTCTTTGTAACATTGTGAGTGAAGGTCCTTAATTGAGGTCTGCTCTCTCATTCACTTAACTTTCAAATAATGCACTTGTTTTCCTTCTTCTAGTTGGGCTTGCACCTGGACCAGAATTACACTATAAACATCTACTTTTCAAACTATTGCATCTAAAAATCCAATGAGAGTGACGCATGATTTTTTTTTGGTGATTTATTATCCTCAAATACTCTTTTTTTCATATGGCAAAGCTTTGTAAGGTTCATGAAAATTCTACACATAAAACTCTGTTTTTTATTACCTGTCTCTTTGATTAATGACATGGAGAAGATAACACCAAGCAAGTGTGAAGGCAACTGAGTTGGCTGATGTAATTTCAGCAAAGTAGTCAGTGAACTGGATAGGGTCCTCCACATCAGCATTATCATCATCAACATGGTGTTTGCTGTGCAAAGAGTGGAGGCTGCTATCCACCATCAGGGACATAAGTATTGGAAGAAACTTGTGAATCAGCTCTCCACTCTGAAATTTATCCCATAATAAAAATTATTATGGAAAATTCCACATTTTACATTATGGAAGCATAAAGAATTTCTTTGACATATTCAATCACTATCAGAATTTTTTTACAGTTTATTAATTCAAAGATAGGAATGTGTTGATCAATTTGAAGCTTCAACACCCCACCCACCAGGGAACTTCCCAGGTATTTGAACTTTTGAAGATTCATTTGATCAAAATCCCACCCCTTGGGGCAAACATTGTGTTCAAATGTGTCACCCAATTTTTTGGTAAAAGGCAAAATCAGTGACAGGTAGGTTCTACACATTGACCACTCTTTAATACCTAGATCTGGTACACCTTTTCTTCCCAACCATTCACTTGCTTAAGTGAACTATTTTCCTTAAAAACCTTAATATTTAGAGACACAACACTAATATCCTGCTGCAAAGACTTGACACTTCCAGTTCAAATTCCCTAACCCAGCCAGGCAAGGTTCAAATTCCCCACCCCTGTGCAAAGATGATGGTCTTATGCCCATAGATTGCCCAAGGGAGGGGGATGTTGAAGCTTTTAATTGATTGGTGCATAATTGAATAATACCAGTGCTAGGCCATGGAGGTTCCCACTTGACTGGGAGAACATGAAATAAAAAGAGGTATCACAAAAGCTTACCAAGGCCACTTCAGTAAAATGTTGATTACTGATCATCTCCCAGGCACTAACTCCAAGGTTCAAGACTCGTAAAAGAAAACTCACATCTTGACATGTCTGAAATATGTGGTAGACTGCTATGAGTCATAAGCGTAAAATATTAATGGCAATGGCTTTTCTCATCATTATCAAAGGGATATTTAAATACCATTTCAAACCAATAGGACAAGAAGGATTGTCTGCTGAAAACAGTTACCTGTCCGTTTAATTAAGGAACCATATTACTGTTTGTTTTTTTTTTAACTGGAAAATGTTAGCTGTAATACACAAGTATATATACAGTGTTCTTATCTCTTTGGTGTTTCCAGTCCAAGTTAGACATTCTCTTCAATTTATGAGGGTATCTGACCACTCAAACATGATATTATAATTAAAAACCACAAATAAAATACATTACTTAGATGCATAAATTTTACACCATATTTGCCATATAGCAGATGGAGAATGTCTGCATGTGAACTACTGCAAATAGAAGTGCTTTACAATTCAAAATGCAAAATCAAGAATTTAAGTGAAACAACTTACTTTAGGCAGTGATTCAGTGTTAACAAGTCTTTGCAAACGCTTGATTACACTCTTGGCAACAGTGTTGATAGCAAATGGGTCACAAAGGATCATTGCAATATCTCTGTGAGGAAAAAATTTTTTTTTCAATTAGCTCTGAGCCCTAAAATACTGGAAAACCTGCAGGTGACTTACACTGTTGTCTCACTTGGAAAAAAAGAATACAACACAAACTTAACATCTAGGGGCTGCCACAGCTTCCCCCAGTTTTCTGAGGAATATTGCCTCTCTACCTTAAAAATTTCCTATCCTTCCCATATCACTGGTAAATTTGCCTAAATAGAGAGTATCATCAATCTGTCTAACAGGAGACAGGGCTTGAAATAACAGTAGCTCTATAGTAAAAGTCCAGTCAAAAACAAGGTTTAGCCTGGTCAATTCCCTGGATGGCCTGACCTTTTGTCCAATTTTTAAATCATAATGGCAAATTCAGATACAAGCTAAGGTCAAGTTTTATATACAGCTCTATCATTTTGTCCGCATTGAGTTTTAAGGCTGCACGTACAATGAAAGAAAGTTAAATATACTTTTTAGATGAGGGAGGTGGGGGAGTTATTGAGATATGACATAATTGATATTTGCCTGGACAAATATGGGTTGTGACCAGAGCCAGCCAGCAAATTATTTCAAGACCCGGGAGATAAAGATACATATCAAACCTGAAAGTTAAAGTGCTGAAAAGTTTCCTTATATAGGATAATCAACCTTAACACTCCCACAATTTAGTTTGCAACTTAACCTTTCAGCCACTACACATTTCCACATACTAAGATTATCAGAAAAACAAATTTCATATCATAAAGAGAAGCTGTGTGTTTACTACTCCTAAGAGTTAATGGGTTAGGTAGAGATGACATTAAAACAGTTGTCAACCATAAACCTATTGGTGTGACCAGTATCTAATTTCTCACTACAGTACTACCACTGAACCATTCATTAAGATCAAGAGAATAACAGATATGATCCCTAACCTAAGAGACTTTGATAATGGAAAAATACTCCTAGTCAGTACCAAAGGAAGTGTATAGAGAAGAAAGTGAATAATGTAGGTATTGATGTTGGGTTAAGAAATGTTCTAATTTCATATTCTAATTATAATATACACAGCTCCTTACCCAAGAACCTGTTCTTCACTATGCTTTGCATGATCCAAGAATCCTTGTAATTCCTTTGTCCTTTTTCCTTCTATCACTTTTTCTCGAATACAGGCATCAAGACACCAAGTAAATTTATGGCATGGATCAATGTCCTTTATGTCTTTAATTTCAAGATCATGCACTGCCATCAGTAACTCTGACCTAAGAGTGCAGTAATGAACCTCTTTGGTTCTTAAAAACAACGTTCTCAGGAATTGTAGCACTAGATTATACAGTTCAAGAGATTTTCCTATCATCTTTGCTAAGTTTTGTACAACTGGATTCTGTCGCCTTGTTTTGGATGGAACTGAAAAAAATGTGTGCGAATTTAAAGGTTCTGTGGAGTGAAGAACATTGTACTTTTCCTCTACATATTGATTCAAAAGGGGACCGACCGCATCCCCAAACAGTGCATGATGCTTGATCCAGATCTGCCTTTTCACCTCAATTGAGCAATCTTGGTACAACTGAGTATCATTTGCCAGTTGTTCAAGGCATTCTTCAGGGACTTTTGGGAGATATTTCATGACTTCCATCACGACTGGCCGGAGATGAGCCACGTGGATAAACGGAAAGCACTGATCGAGCAAACTCTTTAGTTTGTCCACTTCCAAAACCTTCACTTGATCAAGCAGTTTTTCACGCAAGTTTTCCATCACAAAACTATTGAACTGTAACCTGCGGACGTCATGGAGGTCTAAAAAGGGCAAAGCAGGTTGCAGAGAAGGCAGCATGATACTGTTTTCCTGTTGAAAGTTCTCTATGAAGTTGACAGTTTCGAAATCTTGTGCAGTAGTTAGTCCTTGGGTGATAAACTCTGGTCCCGGCAGTCCTGCTTGGTCAAAACCAGACATGACGATAGAGAAATGTGTACTCTTCAACACCTGTTTTCAAAATAGTGAATTTCACTCGAATACCCAAGTAATTTAAGTTTTTGCTAGAGACAACTTTTTCGCCATGTTGGCGGACATCGGCCGAAGCCGAATGCGCATGATCTGTGCACACACCACAAAGAATGCGGGGACTTTTATAGAAGCCATATTTCATTTTACCCACAACCCTGTGCAACCTACAAAGAGGCAAAATGGCGGACGAAGTGCACATAGACGAGAAAGTAAAAAGATACGAAGAATTTTTGAATGAAAGACTGAGAAAGGATTTAGAAACTGTACTTAAAACGCAAGGACAGGTAAACTCCAAGATCGCAGAATATTTGCAGCTAAAAAGTGTCATAGAAAACATTAAAAACCGCGATGGAGGTTCCGGGAAAGCGCTGAAGACACAAGTAGATCTCGGATGTAACTTTTATTGCCAAGCGCAGATTACAGATCCGTCAAAAATTTTAGTCTCAGTAGGCTATGGATTTTATGTGGAATTCACTTTGGATGAGGCTCAAGAATTTATTGAGAAAAAATGCGCCCAACTAACAGCATATGCCTCGAAGTTGGGAAATGACTCCGCTAACATAAAGGCTCGTATTAAACTAGTTATGGAAGGGCTAAGAGAGCTGCAGGACATTGGACCACACAGGGACGAACCTAGACCTCTATGGTAGAAAAGACTCTACCGCGATGATTTGCAATATCTGGGAGTTTTACATGTGAGGTACTATGTACCTCTGGCTCATAAAGGAAAGATCATCAAAGGGCTCCAGAAAATCCATCTGAAACCAAACAACCTGCTTCTCACTTCGTAACATGCGATGCCAGCAATTGTTATCATTAAGTTCTAAATAGAATAAGATAGATGGTTAGTTTTAAGCTTGATAAATAAATAGAGAAAGATGTTTTACATCTTGTTGCAAGCATGGGACAAAGAAAAAACTCTGAGTCCCCATGAGGAATTGAACCTCAAACCTTCAGATTCGACACTTTGATGCTCTATTACTGAGCCAAAGACACTCTATGGTGAGCAAGGCCTATCAGGAAGTTCATATGACACACATCCTGCATACTGTAAGGATCAGTAATGTCAATAGTGTTATGTTTATAAATAGAATAAGATAGATGGATAGATGTTCTTTGTCCCACAATTATGACAAGATGTAAAATATCTTTCTTTATTTCTTTACTGAGCTTAAAACTTACCATCTCTCTTATTCTATTTACAAACATGATGCTATTGACATTGCTGATCCTTGTGGTATGCAGGATGCATGTGATATATGAACTTCATAATGGGCCTTGCTCACCATGTAGGTTCTGTGGCTCAGTGGTAGAGCATTGCGGCACAGAATCTGAAGGTCTGATTCTCATGGAGACTCAGAATGTTTTCTTTGTCCAGTGTAGTAGTAGTAGTGTAGTAGCCATGTTAGAACCCATGGAAATTATAAAATGTGCAGAGATTTTGATCCCTTACCTTATAGATGCACGGTAGTATTATCACAACCCACTGATAGGTATGGAAATATAGTTTTCTTCTTTGGCTAGTAGTTTGGACAGTGTCTATAGTGTGTGGTATGTTCAAACAGAGGTATTCTCTCTTACTTCATCCTGAAAATCCACTTAAGAACACATATCACAATTTCTATTTTCTTAAAACCCTATATTTGATTATGAATATAACAAGAATAAAAAAAGGAAACTAAACTTGGTTGAAGATAATCCAGATAAAGTCACAAATAATGTAGTTTTAATTTCTTCCTTAACGCAGCTGAATAATCTTATTTATAATTTTCTTGAATTACTTTGGTTTAGTGAAATTGTTTCCCCAAAGTTGAAATCTCCATTAGGGTTAAATTTCTTGTCCCATAATCACTTTGTTACTATGAACACATTTAGATGGTCCAACAGTGGTGGTATGAACCCATAATTCTTAGAAATGGTTAAAATCTTACCTCTACCTACAATATTGAATTACACAGGAAACAAGAAGAGGGATAAACATACTTATCCCCTTAAATGTATTGTCTTGATGTAAAAGCCAAGCATTTATACCAGACTTGCTGATTCATACTGGCAATATATATATTAAGAACTAATAGGGAAAGTTGCAAATTGGATCTTGGCAGATTTAGAATAACCCTGGGTACACTTTACTGTTTGTCAACAGTTGTATTTGTTTCCATACATTCCTAGGTGGAAACATTTTATTTAAGTTAGAAGAAGCTGTAAACTGTAATGCCAGAAAAGAAAGAAAACAACTGGACAAAAATAAAAATAAAAAATTATACTGGGTTAACTAGAAAACTTCAGACCACTCAGTGGAGTTTTGAAAGGCAATGAATATGTCTCCACTAGGTCCTCGTTAATGAGGAGAAGTTCTTAAAATGATCTACATCAAATCATCATATTTATGAAATATATATTTTCAAAAACATTACAATTTGAAAAAATATATGAAATATATACACCTTTTGTTTTCTTGTCAAATAGTCTCTTTTTTTGTTCCACACACCTGACAAGAGATGATCAGCAAGTCCTTTCAAAACATTCCTGTAGTGCAATGTTGTAATTTCTCCTTTACTATTCAACTAATAATTATGTATCTATATATCTATATATATGAAGCTACAGGGAATGGGTGGTGGGGGGGGGGGGGGTGACTGCTTAATACAGGTTCCACAGAGTATGGGTACTTAAGAAATAATAACAATTGCTGTTTATCCCATAACTGACCATGTATGTACAAAAACTCACTCAAAATAGTACTAACATTGATTTCAGATCCTAGTTTTGTTTGAGTGGTCCTGCTTTAAGTGACTATAGAGTACAGGTGGAGGACAATACAAAAAGGCTGTTGGGACTTAGTTTAGAGTGATGGCTACTGCTCAAGATAAGTGAAAATTTCAGTAACCAAGGGGTAACAATTTATGGACTTTGGAAAGGGACAGCAGGTCCAACTGTATTTATTTATCTTCTTTCCAGTAGAGCCCATTTGAATAAAGTTTCTAAACCTAAAGCAAACCCTTACATTGAAGCAATATATAAGACCAATGAGAACTCAGTTAGATTCTTGTGATCAGTAAAGGCATGGGAAAACACTCAATCAAGTCATGGTCTGTTTGGTGTTGGTTTTTGATTGGTTGGGAAGTCAGTGCAGTTAAGGACAACCAACAAAACCTGCACAATTTCAAAGTAAGTTTGTCACCAATTAAAAATTGCTCTTAGAACAATAATATTATGTTTTAAAATGATATTCTGTGCTTATCAAGTGCTTGAAATTGTAGTAACTTATTTCAACACAATTCAGTTTTGAAAGCAAATTTTACTGACTCCAGCAGTTTATTTCTTTAATTCAGAGTTACTAGGGGGTTTTACCAAACTGTGGATCTTTAGACCAGGGAACCTCCAAATCCTGCAGAACCAGCGGAACCTTTGGAACCTGTATTTTTCTTCATCAAAAAAAAAAGACTGAAAAAGCAATAAAAAGACTGTAACACTGTTTGAAAGTTCCTTTACAGGTTTGGAGAAGATAGTGTTAAAAGAAGAATACATATTTTATTGTCCTTGACATTCAACCTCACACAGTGAGCCTCTGTAAATATACAAATATGTCCAGGTTGCACAATAGTGAAGGGGGACAGGAGTGCCAGAGGAGGCAGGAAGTGGGATCAATATGAGGGAAGTGGGGGTAGAAATTAAAAAGGAACTGGTTTGTTGTTTATTACTTCTTGTCATTCAGTCAAAAACCAGCACCCTGAAAATTTTTTTACTTCCATTCAATGCCACTAAGGCATTGAATGAAATTTCATAAGGGAGAAAATGTAAGTTTTTTCATCAGGCTGAAGAAAACAAAACAGCACAATACTGGTCAAATTGGATACCCTCAAAGTCACTCATTGGTCATGAATGAATTTGTCAGTGTCTTGCAAGCTGTAACAGTTGAAATCCTCCAGCGAACAAATCAAATCAGGTCATAAGTTGAAGAAATTTGAAAGGAATACTGAACCCTTAAACATTTTATTTGTCTTTACAGTTTCATTTCTAAATAGCATGATTCCAGTATGTTAGCAATTCCTAAATACACATTTGAAATGTAAATTTGAAAGCATTCCCACTGTTTTGCAGTTGATCAGCAAAAGTAAACCAAACAACATTTTGTTGGTCAAGGGATGTTCAGGACATGGTGTACACCATGACTAGCATTCTTGTAAATGCAGGTTCCTTTAAGCTTCTTTTGCCAAAAAAAAAAAATGATCAGAGTCCAAGATTTGAACTGGAAGAAGAGTGCTCAAATAGTTTGGGTCCTAAATTAACATCAGGGTGTGGTTTACACCCCTCAATGATATTTTGGTGTTGCCTCAGCCATTTTTTGAATGAGACAATGTTACTCCAAATTAGGCATATATTTACATTTCCTTGTTTTGCATTTCTTTTTCAAAGAATCCTAAAAATACATATATCATAATAATAAGAATCTATTCTTGCTTGACTGAATCATTCCTCACAGATGCACATTTGGACGAAAATAGGTACAGGGGAGAGAAGGTCTAATGCATCAAGTTTTGACTTTGTGTTTGAAAACTTAGTGCCAGGATTTTACGGCAAAGAGGTGCTGAGAGAAAGTAGAGGGCGCAGGAAATGTCCAGCCCGGGACATAGTATGTGCCATATATAAAAATTATTTTTCCTACCGAAGGATAACCGCTGGAAAGGGGTTGTTGAAGGGCTGAGTGACGGGTCAAAGTCCAAATGCAGTTCTGCTCAATTTATATCAGCCTTCAGGACCTCAACATTGACTGGTTCACAAAAAGAGAGGAAAAGTTTACTAGAAATGTGTTTTGGATGATGCTAGACGATTATGATACGACGAAAACTTTTTTAATCGGTAGAGCACGTGTCGATCACGTACCTCATTATGCAGCGGGTATATAAATAAACAAAACTTGTTAAAATCTCGATCAGGACCTCACGTCCTGCCAAAAAATGCTCTATCATCCTATACAAAGAACAAGGTGACAGCCTGTGTGCGTGGAAAGATGGTAGTGGCCGAGTAGAAAGCGGGTAGAAATGGGACTTTGAAAAATCCGGCGAAAACTTGATCATGATTCGGAACATTTCTCGTTTACCCTTACGGTTTTTGCCATCGACAAAGAAAACCCCCCGAGGAACAAGGATTTGTGGAGGATCTTTCCTACAACATCAATATGTACACGACGAAAGGATGGTTAAAGTGCCTGACTTTTCACAAGAATTCAAGGGACAGGACAATTCATTCCCTTGCCTGACGGAGCAATCCCCTCGGTAAGTTCTCAATATTCTTTGGTTTTAAATTGGTGTAAATCAGCCGTTTTAAGTCTTAAAATGTGAAGTTAAATGTACATTTACATGTAAGATCTGGTAGGATACAGAAGCCTTAGCCATAGCTGTAACCGAAAAACTGAAAAAAAAAACCGGCGCCAAACACTCTTCTGCGAAGAGCCAATGGCCCGTTCAATCCTGTGCCAGTGGCTTGAACTTGCCTGTAGAGTTCTGCTCACATGTCAGGGCCTAACGCCCTGTACATTTTTTATGATACCGTTATTGGTGTGATCGATGTTTGAAGCCAGAGAGATCTACTAGAAAAAACTAATCTAACATTTGAGAAGAAATTTTTTTCGTTATTAAATGGAGATCAGATTGAAAGTTTGTGTTATTGTCAAGGCCATGGCGGGACTTTTCCATCGCTCGTGGAAAATTCCTGTCGCGACATCCTTAATCGTATCAATTCATTTCCATCTTACAGCCGGGAACTTTGATACGGAGAAGGTAGCTTGAATGTAGTTCAAGTGTGTTTTAACTAAAGAATATATTTTATCTTATTAATGTTAATTTAAGTATTTAACCACTGAGTTGACCAAAGTAATTGTTATACATATCAATACTTAAACCTCAGGAAATAGATGTGGCTAATAAAATTAACCATGCATGTTTGTTTTAAAAATTGATCATTTTTTGCACTTGAGAGATGAGATAACTGAAGAAAGGAAGATCAGTAATATTCAGACTAAAGGGTTGATCTTTTCTGCACAAAAAATGACTAAAGCAATACTTATTGGCAATCTAGACAAGTGAGAACAGGCCTCCCCATGAAAGGATTTGATGTGAAACTTCTGTGAGGACAATTAATTCAATTGACTGAGCATTTTTTTAATTTATTTGAAATCAAACATTTGAAGTTCCATTATTTTTAGATAACTAAAAAGACAAATGGATTAATGAATGTATGAAGTATTGTAAGGTATCAGGTAAATTCATTAGTAAGAATTCACAACATAAAACAGCCACTCAAAATTTAAATTTAAAGTTAGACATTGGGAGCTATGAAAAACACTAAACAATTTACATTAGTGCTAGTTTCTAAGTTGAAAGGACTGTGCAACTTAATGTTGACTGCTTCCTCCACTTTCAAGCATCCTGCCTTTTTCCTTAACCTGCTGCAGTCCCTTGTCTCTCCCCATATTGTCAGCTAAGTTGACTACCTGTCTTCTACTACTTGTAGTTGCTCTCTTGATTTGTTACCTGAGCATGCGTGAAGATGCAATGACTCTGAATATCTCAGCTCCACAACATATTAAAATTGTGATTTGCATGAATTTAATTTACGAAAGTCACAAATGCCTTATAATATGCAAGGTTTGTCGGCACAGGGAAACATGTTCCCATGGTTTAGAGTAATGGCTGAAAAAAATAAACCATATCAATGCTGTGTAATTTCTACCATTTTTTGCAGATCAAGGCATTTTGGTGCAGAACCAATATATTCAAAAGTAAATTCAGGCTATAAGACATTCTTAAATGATGAACCATTCCACTTCAAGTACAATGATGGTGTCATACCACAGTTACAAGTGGCGTATGAAACATGGGGTGAATTGAATGAGGCTAAGGACAATGTTGTTCTGTTGTGTACTGGCTTGTCTGCCTCATCACATGCTAAAAGTCATCCAGTAAGTTGTCTTTTAGGCTTTCACAATGTGTTAGGCTGGGAATGATTCATTCATGGGTAAATTTAAATATTTTGAAATTACAGGCAAACCTCACTTATTCAAACTCCTAGGAACTTGGCTAAGTTTTGGAACGTTCACACAATTCTTAATGGTCATTCCGCACAACAGTTATAAGTGAGAAACATCAATATAAAAGGTATACTAATTGATACTGATAAGACATCTCACCTTCACATGTCACTTTCAATAAGATCCAACGGCGAGAACGTAGACATTTATTTATGTAATAACTTCAACTAGATCGAAACGCTTGTGAACACGATCACTATTCTTACTTGAAGAAAGGAACAAATCTTTCTCTCTATGAAAATGTAAAGAACTCCCTATTCAAACGATTACTTCTTTTACTTTTCCTTCGTTAAACGAAAAACCTTTTAGTTTTGAAAGTACATCCACTACAAACAAACGAACATGACAACCCAATGCTAAGGACGCCATGTTGATTTCGGAAGTAATTGTCACCAATCCTCCCTCCTCTGAAGTCAAAGTAAAAACCTGCAAACTGTTTCACTTTTATTTAATAGGAGAAAAGACCTATTTACAAAATTTCTGTGTAAATATATAAAATTCAAGTTCACGGCCATGTTACCCGATGAATCATGCAAATTTTAACTCACTACTCAGTCAGGACTCATAGAAATTTAGCCCTTTCCTGCATTCATTTAAGCTATAGTACATCTAAATTTCTTTATTTGTTTTGATCTTAAGCTTGTATGATTACTTACCGAACGGTGAGCATATAATCTTTAAATTATTTGAATTCTTGACACTTTCATGAAATCAATTGTTTACATCACGGTCGCTATGACGCTTATCGATCGATACTGAACTCTTCATCGCTTAGGTAATTGTTATTAGAATAATTTGAAAGGTTACAACTTGATAGATGTATTAAACTTCTCGATCTTTAAAATGATTACAGATCGAACTTGTCTTTCTACAAGATCACTAGTTACAACCTACACTGACACGTTCAAGTTGTCAAATCACAACACTTGCATGTGCCGACATTCGATGTGAATCACTCTCTGAATATCGAGTTATCAACGTTGAACTGTTTTTGCTGTATGTATTACCAGTATGCCTAATTTTCATTATATAACGAAGATATAAGAAGCAAGTTTTCAATAGCTTTATTTGAAACTCTTACAGATCGATAAAACATACTATTTGAAGGCGATCGAACAAGGAGGGAAGACTGGTGACAATTACTTTCGAAAACAACATGGTGTCCTTAGCGTGGGTCGTCATGTTTGCATGTAACTTTATGTGGATGATACTGTCAAAACTAAAAAGTTTTTTGTTCAACAAAGAGAACGTTATAGAAGTAGTCGTTCGAATAGGGAGTTCTTTCCATTTTCATGGAGAGAGAGACTTGTACCTTTCCTTTCTTCAAGAAAGAATAGTAATTGTGTTCATGAGCATTTTGATCTAGTTGAAGTTATTATGTAAATAAATGTCTACGTTCTCGCCATTGGATCATGTGAAGGTGAAACGTCTTATCAGTATCAATCAGTATACCTTTTATATTGATGTTTCTCACTTATGATTATTGTGCGAAATGACCACTAAGAATTGTGCGAATGGTCCAAAACTTGTGCTAAAAGACTTGTGCGAAAAGTCTTTTGTGCAAAATGACCGGTTACCCTGACATACAGTGAAAATCAGTTTGTTTCAAGTTGCTGTAGCATGTGAATGTTGCTAATTCTATCATTATTCAAAGCTGCTTTAATGGAGTAGCATCAACATTGTTTCAGTGCCTCTGCTTTGTTTGATGGGAAATAGTTGTATGGGATCTTGTACATGATAAATTAGTATTTGTGAAAAAATGGGAACAGAGAGGCGAGTTGGGATAATCAAAAATGCAAATAATCAAGATCCAGACAATGGAAGTTCAACTGTAACTCTTAGACAGTAGGGTATTCAGGGATGCTATAGTGCCCCTCACCAATGAAAATGTAGTGCTTTCCCCCCCCCCCCCCTAACTTTTCAGTATCACTTGCAAATTAATACTTTTCTTTCAGTAAGCTTACAATTCTTGGTACTTGAGGGTCATGGTATATAAACATGGAGCAGCTTCCCTTCACCCACCAAAACCATGAAAACATGACACTTTTGAGTTGTCTAAGAGCCAAAGATGTTTTGTATTTCTCAATGGCAAAGTATAACCTCACCAGGCTCTAATATTAACCTCACCAGTTAAAATTAGAGCCATGTTAAATTCTCTTCTTTACTAAGACACATGCCAAAAATCTAGTAGTTTAAGCACTTTCTCATGTGCCTAGGATATTTTGTTTGGTGGTTTAATAGAGTGAGGATTGTTGTTTGTAACAGGATAATCCAACACCTGGCTGGTGGGAGAACTTTGTTGGACCTGGCTGTGCTCTGGACACTGATAAGTTCTTCATCATTTGCTGTAATAATCTGGGAGGATGTTATGGATCAAGGTCTGCACATATGTTTCCTATTATTAAAGATTTTAAGTTCTTACTTTTTTTATATAATTAATTTTTTTTAAGAATGTACATAATAATTTTTCTTAAAATTTAACTTGGTGCTTTTGTTATCTTCACTCAAAAGACATTAAGACTTATTTTGAAATAACATTTTCCACTCTAATTCCTCTATTAATGCTTTTACATTATATCTTAGTGCTACTTGTAGAGGTTATAATTCTTTTGTTTATTAGTATTTTTTTTTTACAGTGGGCCTTCATTAATAAATCCACTGACTAAAAAGGTAAAAATTGAATTATGTTAATATTAAAACTAAAATATATTTATTTAACTAATTGAATGATGTAGAGCTTGGCCTTTGATCTGAAGTATGTTTTTCTAACATGGTTGTTGGGACTTTTTGTATCCTTAATAATTATACCATGTTATTATTAAATGATATATGTTTTCAATTCCAGCATTATGCCACAACATTCCCAATAGTCAGTGTAGATGACATGGTTCATGCATTCTTTCTCGCACTGGATTCTCTGGGTATCCAAAAGGTAACTCAACACTGTGATGTTAAATCAAATGAGCATTGTATCTGTTTCTTGTATTATTTGTTGCCAATCTACTAGCCACCAGTTTAATTGAGCTTTCTGGTGAGCATTCTTTGGAAAATTAGATGAATACAATTTTTTTTAACGTAGCCAAGAATTTATTCAATCTACGTTTGACTGTATGTGAAACAATTCATGACATATATGTAAAACAAAATAATTTACTGAACATAATTTTCTGGCCAGCACAATATTGAAAGAGGTGTTAGTAAATATTCACAGGTGTCAATGTGGTAATGGGTATTAATCATTCTTTTAACATCAAAGGCTTGTTGTTCGACTTACACATTTTTTCCCCTCAGAATGGAACAAATAACAAGTCTTGTAATTTGCCATAAAACATTTTTATAAATGGCTCTCCAGCAGAATAGACTGCCATCAAGTGTAAAGTTTCTTCAAATTCTTTCCTTCCATTAACTCATTTGACTTCTAATTTTTGATTGTACATCAATGAAAATCTTCAATTATTTGTAAAAATGAGGTAAACATTTGCAAGCAATAAAATGTTGTGCAAGAAAAAGTTAGGAGAAGTCTTTAGTTAAAATGAGGTGGTAACAGTTGTGTCCAAGCTTTCAATATCAGTTTATCATTTTATTGACAACAGGTTCATGCTGTAGTTGGTTCATCTTTAGGAGGCATGTCCTCTCTTTTGTCTGCTGCTCTATACCCAGACAGAGTAGGAAGGTAATAGGTTTTTTCCTATTTTTACTTGGCTTATTTGCCTAAACCTCTTGTTGTTGTGATACCCTTCAATGAAATAATTTAATTGTAATGCTTTTAAATCTCTTCAAAACAAAGTTTGTTGTTGCTGTTGTTGTTGTTTTTACTCTTAAGAGGGGTGATATCTCAGCATTTTGAAATCTTCATGAAGGGGCAACAATTTCTTGTGACAATATGATGGTATTGATACACTCACTGGCTTGTACTATCAAATCTGTAGAATTGCTTAAAGCAGTTCCTAAAAACATCTAATACTAGAAATGAGAAACACATAGAGATATGCATTATCAAGTGGCACCAGAGGAAATGGTAAATATTTAGGGTGTAATGTTTGAAGATACTTGGTACCCTTTTTTGATACATGTGCAGTCTAGTGGTTCTGAGTCTGAGTCATGGGCAAGCATTTTATTGTAGTCATATCTGTTTCTTTGTATAGAGTGGTGTCAATTTCTGCTTGTGCCCAGTCTCACCCAGCATCCATAGCTCTCCGTTATGTTCAGCGCAGAGTACTTATGAGTGATCCTAACTGGAACAAAGGCTTCTATTATGATGGACCATACCCGAGGCTAGGAATGAAGCATGCTCGGTCAGTTTCTTGTAAATTACAAGTGTATCTTCATTTGAGCCTCCTATACTTTCATAAGTCATAAAATGTTAGAGTCAGTGAAAGTGTGGCTGTAGGTTGCTTTCCAGTAGTCCATGGTTTGTTCTCTAACATTGAGAATGACAGTGTGTCTTTGTGTAATGTGTTGTTTGATCTTTATTTTCTTTAACCCTTTAAACCCTAAGAGTATCCAGCATGTATTATGTAATTAAATCCTTAAAGTAATACTACTGAATCATTCATTAATTTAAGATCATGAGAATACAGGAAATAATCACCAAGCTAAGAAGCAAATTTTCCTTTTAATTACTAAAGGCAATTAACAGAGAAGTGTATGGAGAATTTGGATACTGATGTTAGGGTGTAAAGGGTTAAATTTGCATTATGTTTTCTGTAACAAAAAGCTTTCCTTATGCTGTGGTTTTTTTGTAACTAGTGTTCCATTTGGCATTTTTAAAGAAGTTTTCTTTCATTCAAAACAGTTGCAACTCAAGTTAGGCTTAAATTCTTGACTAGTATATGTATGCATCAATACATATACTAGAATCACAACACAACCCTCCAGTTGATTGCTGTTTGACAATTATTAGGGAAGTAGCCACCATCACTTACCGCAGTGGCCCTGAATGGGAGCAGAGGTTTGGGCGAAAACGCATTGATGACCCCCCTGAAGTGTCTCCAAACCTTTGTCCTGAGTTTGAGATTGAAAGCTACCTTGATTATCAGGTACCAAGCTTAGTTAATAACTCCTCTTACCAGCTATTAACCAACAGTATAGCTACTGTAGCTTGCTATCAGTATTCATAATGTTACACGGTTTGCTCATCCCCTTCTTCTGTTCCTTTCACATGGTCATCATCAAGTTGAACTCATTTGGGATGGTCAACACAGAAATGGTTTTATGGATGCTATAACTAAGTTAGTTTTTGTAAGTTTGACCATACCTTGTGTCCGATGATCTTGTGAATAGAGAAACTGTTGGATTTTGAGCTCAACTGAAGAAAGGGTAGAATTTGGGACAACTGTTTTTACTCTTACCTCCCTGGACAAGTTTTTTCGGTGGATGAAAAAAAAATTTTCATAAGAATAAAACAAATCTGATTATAGTCATTAATTGTTTCTAGACACATTGACATACTTCTGGGTAGAATTTTATTTACAACTGATGTAAGATGACTTACATAGCCTTGTGATATATTTTTAGTGATAGATTGTTTGTTTTATTAATAGGGAGACAGCTTTTGTTACAAGTATGATCCCAACTCACTTCTGTATATATCAAAGGTAACTTCACTAGTTTATGCTTTATTATGTAGTCCTTTAAACAAATTCATTGATTTTTCTCATCAAATATTTGCTGACATACATATTTTGTTATTTACTGCTCTCAGGCAATGGACCTGTTTGACTTGGGAGAAGGCTTCAGTTCGCTTGTGGAAGGTGTTGCACGTGTTCAGTGCCCCACCCTTGTAAGTTACAGTATACTACCTGGTCTTCACAACTACAAACTTCATAAGATTTTGTGATAAACAACTTTGGCCTAGTCCACCATGAGTTTCTTACAATGCAGTGGAACAGGATTCAAAATACTAATTAGAAGGTCGTAGATGGCACTGCCATTAGGAGCTCTCGGAATTTGTGTTGACTAGAACATGCCTGTTTGTTTAACATCATCTTTCACTTAACTTAATAATTTTAACAATATTGACGATGTATTCAATAACAAAACATTGGAATTTTTTCCACTCAATTTTTTTTGTTCGTGGTCAAACAGTCATTTATAGGTGAGGTTCACTTGCAGGTGTTAGGTGTGCAATCAGACGTGCTCTTTCCAGTCACTCAGCAGAGAGAAATTGAGAGACTTCTGAAGGAAGCTCGTATGTGTTTAGTCTACTTATCTTAGAGCCTTTCTTTCTACCACTAATGGTGAAAGTAGATGCAAAGTTTATGGTATTCATTTGGGTGTTATTGAAACTATGTACACATTTGAAAATCAATTTTAATAACGTTACTTATTGCGTTGGGAGGCCCCCTTGAAATCCAATTGCTTTTCCATCGTAGATTTTTGTCAACGACTTTGCATATGTGATTTAAGTTTATAAATTGTTTTACTTCAAAATGGGTGAAATGACTAAACAGCTATTGTAAGTGGCATTTTATGCGGATTGCTGAATTGGCTGAATACCTTTACTCAAGATGTAATAAGAGCAAGGAATGATAAATCTCGGACTAGAATAGATATGCAATGGGAGGAGCACGTTTTCAATGCATAAGTGTGGTGAGCACACTCTATCTATCTATGCAGGGTTGTGTCGACACACTCTGGGTCCTTATGTTTTGCTCAAGAGGTTCACACACAATTTCGTTTAAATTCAAGTGAACTTATTCCATTTTGCTCAAACAGAAAATCATAAAGTGACGTATTATGAACTACCTTCTATATATGGTCATGATACATTTCTCCTGGATGTTGTCGCTGTTGGCGCAGCAGTGAAGGTAGGTCACAGGATATCATATCTATAAATTGATCGTATTTCAAACTTGTTTAACCTCATTGCTTAACCATCCAGTAGGAAAGTTATTAAGCTGCAGGAAACTTGTACGCTTGTACTTGTACAATTATTTTATCATATTTGTTTGGAGTGAAAAAAATTGAATGGTCGAATTATGCAAAAGTGTCGTTGTTTCTACTGCATCAATAGTTTGCAGTTTTGTCTATAACCAAACTTAGCTAGCATATCAAGTAACGCATACAGGGCAGAATTTAGATTTATGCAGTGCGGAATTGAGGCTGTGGTTGTTTTTGTTGTTTTTTTTCCCTTAATTTAATTAAGCTATTGACTTTTAACTCCGTTTAAATTTTTTAGGGACACATCGAGACAGATCTGAAGATTCACGGGAAAGGAAAAGATCCAACAATGAACAAAAGCAAGAACTTTTGACGAGAACTAAGCATCACTTGTGACATCACCACCTTCCCGTCATGCTTTGTACATTTCGCTGTTAGTTCAACTCCCATTCGTTTCCCAGGCGCAAACGGACGTAACACTGATTTTAACTTTTACGATCAAAACACAAGGGTTAGAGCTATCTTTGCAAAAAATTAGATCTGTATGAGTAATACACAACCAAATTTTCTTAGTTAACTTATTCTAATTTATTTAATAAAATATCAGGATTACAGAAACCAAAAACGTCGGTTACCCGTTTTATGGTAGAAATTTTGACAGGATGTGATATTTGAAATAAATTATAATTGATCTGTGAATGATAAGGGATGAACTGATAATCATAGGTTAATGAACAGAATTACAATCCGGAACTAAAAATTCCACTATTAGAAATGATGAACAACGAAACCATTACCAGTGCATGTTCAAAGTTTACACGATATCTTCATGTATCGGGTTAACTCATGTTGTGTACTAGGAATTACAAGTGATAGAGTTATTGGTAGAAAATTTCAAAGTACGCGAGAATTGCTTGGAAAATTGGCTAACAGTAGAGGTCACAGTAGAGGCCACAGTAGAGGTCACAGTAGAGGTCACAGTAGAGGCCACAGTAGATGTCACAGTAGAGGTCACAGTAGCATTTCGTCTATCCGATATTTTTTCATTAAGGTAGTTCAAGATGTTTTTTGGAAAATGTCTTGTAATGCGGCAAAGCCTAGTCAATAGTGACAAGTAAGTGAGTAAATCATGGAAAACTTTTTAAAGCAACGAAACGGATTTTTACCCTGGCAGTTGAACCAGAAATTAAATTTATTTTGAGGATCTTTTCAACCTTTGTTGAGTTAGAAACCACAATGTAAAATAAATCATTTGCTGTGCATGACAAACACGCAACTCTGCCGCTAACACTGTCATGGTGCTATCACGCAGACGCACATCAGTCATCGCAGCATCTTGATTTAACTGAATTCTTTTGGTACTTTTGCAATCTGATTCGTGCGAGCAACATAATCTAACGAGTGTTATTGGTGCAAGTAACATACTCAGTGCAACATAATGGGTACGAGAAACACACCTAAACGAATGTGATTAATACAAGCAACTTATCCCAACAAATCTACTTGGTGTGAGCAACATACTCTAAGAAGTCTGATTGGTACGAGTAACATACCCTGTGCAACCTGATTGGTGGAGCCACATCCCCTGTCCATTCTCAATGATGCTAGTAGTACCGCCTTTTCTCGACTAGGATGTAATTTACAACTTTTTTTCCAAACCACAAAAAGAAATGGACTCCGATATGTTGACTGTTCGCTTAGATCAGGTGAAAAAAACAGTGTTGCTAATATTTTTGCCTTGCTCAAAGCAGCTTATGACACGTCATAAAGTCATCGTACTACAGCTTGTATATGCACTGCAATCCCTGTTCATTTGTATAGTTATGTAATCTCAAAATGAAAAAAGGAAAGGAAGAGAAACTGCCGCTCGGTACATTCTGGTGTATATCTAGTAGACTTCTAGAGCGAGTAGACATTTATAGACGCAGATGTCGTCTACGAACCAACTAGAAAGTAATAGAATAGCGGAGCCAATAAGCCCTGTCATTCGTTAAGATACAAATTAAAGCAAGATATAAATCTGTTCTTACAGCGGTTAGGGACTTTAGCGGACCCGTGGTCTGTACTCTAAACAGTATTTCGTGTGTCACGAATTTTAAAGAGGAATTTCAAACTTCCCTCAACCTTTCCTCACTATGAGAGTTACGTTTCATGTACTAATTTGGAGTTTACACGCGTCACGTCAAACCATTTGCGACCTTCATCATTACTTCAGAGCTGTCGAACTGAGAAGAAAGTATAAATGTCATTCTGCCAATCAGACGAGTTTCCGTCATCCTGAGGCAGGTCTTACGCAATGCTTGCGTGACCTGACTCAACTTAAAGGCACTGATCACGACCTTTGTATGATCATACTTTGTGTTGAATGAATTGCGCAAAATGGCGACTTTTCTTATATCGGTGTTTCTCGCTACTCTTTCCAGCTGTCTGGCTGCAAATATTGTCATGATTCCCATGTGTGGCAGGAGCCATTACATGTTTGTCTCCCGTCTTGGACAAGAACTGGCGGAGAGAGGTCATCAGGTATGCAAATTAGAAATGAGACTTCGAACATTCTAACTCAGCTTCTTGCACTAATCAACGTTAGGGCAGCTGAATGATATCTAGATACGAAACTTATATAATCGTGTTTAGGCGAGGAGTATATTTCATAAAGAAAAGCAGAATATAAGATGAATAACGACTTCATGGACTGCTTTTATATTATTTGCTGACACAGCGACTTACTGACCTCGCTATGTGATGATTAGTTACAGTCCTTGTGAGGATACAAATTTTCGCTGGAACAAATGGGAAAAGTGACTGCCATAGGAATAATTCTCGGGCAAAGCACAGTTAGATTGAATTTGTTCTTCAACTTTTCAGTTTTTAGGTATCTACTAGTCTGTGCCACAAGGCTGATTAAATTTTGTTTACTTTACTGTGGTTTGATAAGACGCCAAACGTGACATCAATAACCTTTTCTCCTTTTTTTTTTTTAACTAATCCTAAGAAATTATTGTACCTACCGTAAATTTACTCAGTCTAAATAAGTACTGATGTGACGAACCCTGAGACGACTAATTTTTGTCTGGACTATTGGTAATTTAGGAAATGCAATGCTAATGTAGAGGTATTGTTTATTTTGTAAAGAGATTGTCCAACGCGCCTAAAGAAGGAAGATTCACTCGCTAAGGGAACATGCGCACAAAACATTTGTACGGCCTGCAAGTTGCTATGAAGTTCAGCATCAAATCTTCTGCACTGACCTCAGTTATTAAATTTACTTTCTTTGCTAACTCATTCGGTCAATCTTGAAAACGATCATATACTGCTGAGTCAGGCGGAAAAAATATAGCCTCGTCACTCTTGATCAATATCCGAAAGGATTACATTTTAACTTCATCTGAGATTTAATTACCCTTTTCCGAAGCACACCAATATGTCCACTGGGGGTTCATTAATTCCCATGGCTCTCAGCCGGGTGTGTTTTGGAGAGAGAAAGACTTTTACAAACTTATAAGAGAGGCACAGTAGGAGTGATTGTTTTTGTTCCGAACTCTCGCACTTCTTTGGTTGAAAAAACTTCAATATTTTATAACCAACAAAGGTAGGCTTTCAGATACAGGTATATTTTGAAACAAAACAAACAGCCTACTCCAAATCTGGAAATCATCAAATGTATTACGAATTCTACGTTATATCCCTTATGTCCATTGTCACTTTCTCGTGTGTTTTTGTTTCAGCTTTCTGTTTTTGGGGGGCGGGGGGGGGGGGCTTATTTTAGTAGGGAAAGGGGGTTAACTATTGCCCGGTAAGGCCTAAAAATGATGTTTCCACAGGTAAAGATATATGTGGGAGCGACACAAACGTATGCTGTAAATGATTCACTTGTGCGAGTCTTCAACGATGACAATTTTGCTCCAGCGTTCCGGTCAGCATCAAAGAGTTCTCGAACCTTTAAATCGAAAAGCCCAAGACACACATGGCAAATGCTCTATATGATCCAATCCATTCACTGTGATGACCTTCTCAGTAATACAGATGTCATGGAAGAGATATCTCACGCAGACCTCGTTGTTGGTGAATTTATTTACCTCTGCTCGTCTTTGGTCGCGGATAAATTCTCACTTCCACTTGTTCTAATATCAGCTGCCACATTAGATACTCCCACAGCATTCGCCTTCGGCTTACCTGCCCCTCCTTCCTACATACCACAGATTGGAGTTTCTCTTTCAGACAAACTAACATTTACAGAAAGAGCATGGAGTCTTTTACAATGGATTATTCTATATGGATCTTACATTTACGATATGTGTCCGCCTTATGAGAAGATCAAGGCAAAGTACGCCATTACACCCAGCAAGAGCATACAAGAAACACTTGGCAGAGTTGACTTGATAATCGGTCAGATGGATTTCTTTATAGAGCATCCAAGGCCTCTTTATCCGAGTAAGTGCCAACACTGTTTTAAATGGGCATCCTTTTTTTTTTTTTTTTTTTTTTTTTTTTTTAATTCCTTTACTACGGCTATTATAAACCTATAGACTACGTGCTTCTCGTGTGCCTCACTTCCGCTGGCTTGTGCGACGCAGTAACATCACAATTTTTTTCGCTGATTTTTTTTTTCGACTTCGCTACGGACTTTTGCCGAAAAGGAGGGAATGGTCGTAGTCCAGTGTAACTCGGGTACTTAAAATCGGCAGTATGCGTGAAAGGATACAGCAAGTTGAATATTACTCCTAACTGCTTTTATACTTGCAAACTAAGGTTTCAATGAATTTGAGCCAAAAAAAAATTAAAGTTCACGATATGGATTTTTTTTAAGTCATCCATCTAGGTGCGGGGCCTCACCAACAGAGTTTTACTTTCTTAACCTCATTGATCAAACGATCAAGGAATGAGCATTTCAAGACTTTAATGCTCCATATCGAGGCTTGGATAAATCTGTATGTTTTACCGCCATTCATTTCCTTGCTTGAATCGCGCTCTAAGATAGTGTGAACAATTCTAGATTTTCTAGAGTCATGTAACGCGAGCTTACTGAAGAAAGCAATCCAGCGGATAGGATGAGATTCTGAGCCTCGAAGAGAGAAACGAGATTTATAGCGGATCATCTTCCATAGTGAATATCGTGAGATCTTCATTTCATTCTAGATACACGTGTTGTGGGTCCATTCCTTGCTAGTCCAGCTAAATCTCTACCAAGCGAGATAGATCAGTTCTTTCAGAAGGCTGGGGACGAGGGCGTGATCTTGGTGTCGTTTGGTACCGTGGTTGAAGCAATTAGTGATTCATTACTGAAAATTATGGCTGAAACTTTCTCCAAACTACCACAGAAGATTATATGGAAACTTAAGCCCAATGGTATGTCTGTCTGAAAATATAAATCATGTATTAGATTTAACACAGCAACGTCGATAGGAAGAAATTTCTTTGGACTGAATGTCTTGTAGGCGAAATCGTGCATACCCTTAACCAAAACTGAAATTATTCCACCAAACTGGGCTATAGGAGTTTCGTGGAAAACAAGGCGTTTTACAGGGTGTAGTGTTATGTACTATGTAGGAAGAACCCACAACTTTATATCAATTAACCCTTTCACTCCCAAGATCTCATTAGTAATTCTCCTTACTGTCTGCCATTCGCTTCTTATGATGTTAGTTCCTGGAATCTGGTATTGAATCAACTAATATTTTCCCCCAAGTAATATTTTTCTTTATTCTCATCACTTGTCTGTTTGATATTATATTTATTTAGTAAGGAGAAATTCTGTCTTGGTCGCCTATGGGAGTAAAAGGGTTAATAGAGAATTTGAATGAAAGAAACATCATATATCTGTAGTGCTGACAGTTCAAAGGGCGATTGACTTCTTGAAGTATTCATTAAAAACAAGACAGACGTACAATGTAAAATAATTATAACAAGAAAATAATCTTCTGCTTATAACTATCGTATTGGTGCTACAACCGTAATAAGCTTCTGATTGGAGTTACTCCCTTCAAACGATATTGACAAAGAACGTGACGATCCAACGAGAATAATATGACAGAGTACCTAATAAAGATGACACAGTATTTGCGTATAGATTTTTCTCGGATGTCGTAGCAAGTCATGATCTTCTTTCTCAAATTTTGTAGAAATTTCAAAAATCACCGTTAGCGACAACATCAAACTGTTGCCATGGCTTCCCCAGAATGACATTCTTGGCCACCCTAAGACACGCCTATTTATCGCACACGCAGGACTCAATGGAATGCTAGAATCAACCTACCATGGTGTTCCTATGATATGTTCACCTTTCTTCGGAGATCAACCACACAACGCCCTGGCTGCAAAGCGGGCTGGGTTTGCTGAGGTGGTGGACCTTGATACTACATCAACAGAGGAGTTTTTTAATTTGATACAGAAGGTTTTAACAGATCCAAGGTTAGTATCACAGAGTTAAAATACTTTTTCATCGCTTCTTGAAAACATTCCTTCACGATCATAAATAAAATCCTTATGAAATGAACTTCATAGAGAAAGCTCCTTGATACAGCGTAGCTCACAGCGCAGCGGAGCTCCATACCTACAAAGACAAATTTTGGTAAGCTATGAAGCCGCGAAGTTTGTTCTGTCACGTACGTCAGCACATACAAGTTGCTATATTAAATAAGGCGGATCAATTCTCAACCCGTCAAGGAAACGTTTCCTCTTGGTCCATGACCGTGAGAAAATAGAAAGACCCTGGGATCAAGGCCCTTCATACATCACTTGATATTGCTACTCAGTTTAACTCCTTACCTCAAAACTGATACCGATATTAACAGTTGCAATTTGATTCATTTAGCTACCGAGAGAAAGCAAAGCGAATATCAAAATCTGTTCAGCTGTTACCACGTTCACCCGTCAAGGAAGCCGCTGATTGGGTGGAATATACACAGGCTCAAGGTGGTTTACAGTACCTAAGACCACGTGGCCTAGATCTGCCGCTTTATAAGCTCTTTCTTCTTGATGTTTTGTCCGTTGTACTCTTAGTTTCAGTTGTTGTTTTATTTGTCATCATTATCATGTTTAGATCTATAATACGTTGTTTATTAGGGTCCTCGAAGAAAGAGAAGGTAAACTAAAACGAGATCGAGTTAGGAATTCATTGTTATTTTGGTTTACATGGCGACTTCTGAAATATAGTTACAGGGCTAACGCTCGGAACGTCAGCTTCAGAAACTCCTTACGGTGGCCAGTTTAAATTAGCAACTCACTTTATGATACCAAATAATCTTGACATACCGAAGAGTCGAGAACGAATTCTTCGTTATCCTTTACTCTATTTGATGACTGTGTTGCAATAAATATGAAGAGGCAAAAAAATGTTGAAATTGACCTTTACGCAAAATCTGCAATATCACCGATGCTCATACACAGGGTCGCAGAAAACATCAATACATACTTGCTTATTGTCTTTTGTCGTTGCATTTTGTATCAAAAGCAAAATTTTGTGGGGTAACAGACATTGTTACTTGGTGAGCCCGCGGTGCCGAGTGTCAAACTCATCATGATACTAGTAGTTTGGGAGGAAGCACTTGAGAAGAATCTCTGGTACACATGCATTTTAGGCTGCTGAACGCGTATCTCAATAAACACTTCTTGGTTTGAGTTATATTTGAGTTGTGGAAGAAACTACTGGACTACCAATCTATTCCACAATAACTTCGTCTGTTGCATGCAGAACTCTTGTCTGAACTTTGCTGTAAACTCAGAAGTGTATCAAGGATGTGTAATTTCTCTGCTTTCCTGTTTATAATCATTATAAACTGAGAGCAACCTACCCTGCGCAATCTGCTCAGTGCGACTAACATATCCTGTGCAATCTGACTGCTGCGAGCAACATAACCTACGCAAGTTGATGGTATGAGTAACATAACCTGCGCAATCTGATTGGTGAGAACAGCACTGCTCTCGATGACTTTGGTGTGATTATTATAATTTTCTTTGCCAAAGATATCTCAGTTAAATGAACGGCCTCCAGGATGTTGACTGCTCATTCAGATTAAATTAAAAGCCACTGCTGGGCTAAGTGAAAAACATGGTCATGTTGGTATTCTTTTGTTCAAAGCCTCTCATTTCCCCATAAGCTTATCGTACAAGAACTTGTCGATGACTCAGTGAAATCCACGTCAGATCATATTGTCATCTATTTTCGAACTGTAAAAAAATATGACTGTAAGAAATGAACTAAAAGATAAACGACGAAACGTTGCTTTTCGGAAAATTAAGCTTCTCGGTATTGTCTGAAGCCTCTAGTCATAAATTTCCAGAGCGAGTTGACGTTAGGTCTGTTAAAGGGCATAATAATTTGTTTCGTCAGTTATAATTACGTTCAGAGCTCTCAAACGAGAAAAATTTCTCATTTTGGCTCCTTGTCAGCGGTATGGTCGCCAGATAATGACATTATTTGTACTACAACTTGTAGATGCACTGCAATCTATGTTAGTCTGTACTGTTATATGATCTCAAAATGTAAAAAAGGGAAGAGAAACAGCCTCTCGGTGCAGTCTGACGTCTATTAGTAGACCTCTAGAGCGAGTAAACATATAGACGCAGATATCATCTACGAACCAAATAGAAAGTTTAAAATAGCTGAGCCAGTAAGCCCTGTCGTTCGATAATAAACAGATTAAAGCAGGATAAATCTGTTTTCAAGGAGGTCAGGGACTTAGGCGGCCCCTGGTCTGCACTTAACAGTATTTCATGCGTCACGAATTTTATGGGAAAAATTCAAACTTCCTTTAATATTTCTTTTCAATAAAAGTTACATGTCATGTAGTAATTTTAAGTTTTAACACGCGTCACGTCAAACCCTTTGCGACCTTCATCATTCCTTCAGAGCTGTCGAACGTAGAAGAAAGTAGGTGAGTTTCTGTCGTCGTGTGGTAAGTCTTACGCAATCCATCTGCTTGCGTGACCTGACTCGACTGAAAGTCACTGATCTCGAACTTTGTAACCATGTATTTAGTGTTTAGTGAATTGCACAAGATGGCGGCTATTATTATATCGGTGTTTTTCGCTACTCTTTCCAGCTCTCTGGCTGCAAATATTGTCACGATTCCCATGTTTGGGAAGAGCCATTACATGTTTGTCTCCCGTCTTGGACAGGAACTGGCGGAGAGAGGTCATCAGGTATGCAAATTTGAAATGAGACTTAGAACATTCTAACTCAGCCTCTGGCAGTAAGCAACGTTAGGGCAGCTGAATGATATCTAGATACGAAACTTATCTAATCGTGTTTAGGCGAGGAGCATATTTCATAAAGAAAAGCAGAATATGAGAAGAATATAACGAGTTCATGGACTGCTTTCATGTCATTTGCTGACACAGCGACCTCCTCACCAACCTCGCCATGTAAAATAATTAACTACAGTCCTTGTGAGCTTGAAAACCTTCTGAATTAGAATTTTCGTCGCCGCAAGTGCTACAATAACCTTAACACCCTTTATTTTTAACTAATCCTAAGCAAATAACGTACCCACCGTAAATTTACTCAGACTAAGTAAGTACTGCTGTGACGAATTCTGAGCCGACTAATTTTTCACCGGACTATTGGCAATTTAGGAAATGTAATGCTAATGTTGAGGTATTGTTTATTTTGTAAAGAGATTGTCCAAAGGAAGATTCACTCGCTAAGAGAACATGTGCACGAAACATTTGCACGGCTTGCGAGTTGCTATTACTGAGTTCAGCATCAAATCTTTGCTCTCATTCGGTCAATCTTGAAAACGATCATATACTGCTGAATCAGACGGAAAGAATATAGCCTCGTCACTCTTGATCAATATCCGGAAGGATTACATTTTAACTTCATCTGAGATTTAATTACCCTTTTCCGATGCACACCAATATCTCCACTGGAGGTTAATTAATTCCCATGGCTTCTCAGCCGGGTGTGTTTTGGAGAGAGAAAGACTATTACAAACTTGTAAGAGAGGCACCGTAGGAGTGATTGTTTTTGTTCTGAACTCTCGCACTTCTTTGGTTGAAAAAACTTCAATATTTTATAACCAACAAAGGTAGGCTTTCAGATACAGGTATATTTTGAAACAAAACAAACAGCCTACACTAAATCTAGAAACCATCAAATGTATTACGAATTCTACGTTATACCCCTTGTGTATATCCCTTGTGCAAGTATTGCCGGATAAAGCCTAAAATACTTGTAAATATTTCCACAGGTAAAGATATATGTGGGAGCGACACAAACGTATGCTGTAAATAATTCACTTGTACGAGTCTTCAATGATGACAATTTTGCTCCAGTGTTGCGGTCAGCATCAACAAGTTCTCCAACCTTCAAATCGCTAAGCCCAAGACAAGAATGGCAAATGCTCCTAATGTTCCAATCCGTTTACTGTGATGACCTTTTTAGTAATACAGATGTCATGGAAGAGATATCTCACGCAGACATCATTGTTGGTGAATTTATTTACCTCTGCTCAACTTTAATTGCGGACAAATTCTCACTTCCACTTGTTCTAATATCAGCTGCCACATTAGATATTCCCTCAGCATTCGCCTTCGGCTTACCTGCCCCTCCTTCCTACATACCACAGTATGGAGTTTCTCTTTCAGACAAGCTAACATTTTCGGAAAGAGCATGGAGTCTTTTACAATGGATTATTCTATATGGATCTTACATTTACGATACGTGTCCGCCTTATGAGAAGATCAAGGCAAAGTACGCCATTACACCCAGCAAGAGCATACAAGAAACACTTGGCAGAGTTGACTTGATAATCGCACAGATGAATTTCTTGATAGAGCATTCAAGGCCTCTTTATCCGAGTAAGTACCAACGCTCTTTAGAATGGGCATTTTTTATTTTTTTAAAATTCCTATACCACGGTCACTATAAATCTTTTTGTCTAGAGACTATTTGATGCTTTAAAAAGGACATTGAAAATTTTCCCAAAAAGGCTTTAGAGTAAAGGAATAAAGAAACGATTAAAATCTAACCCTGAGCCTAATCGCTCCAACTGGGCCCACTCGGCTGTACGACGAACTTAGCGACGAACTCCGCGACAAACTTCGCGACGGACTTCGCCGAAAAGGAGGGAATGATCGTAGTCTTATGTAACTCGAGTACTTAAAATTTGCGGCAAGAGAGAAGGCTACTGCTAGTTGAACATTATTCCTAAATATTTTTATAACTGCAAATTAAGGTTTCAATGAATTTGAGTGAAAAAAAGGAAAGTTCACATCATGGAGATATTTGTCATCCTTTTAGGTGCAGGCCCTCACCAGCTGGGTTTTTGACTTTCTTAACTTCATTGATCAGATGATCAAGGAATGAGCATTTAAGAACTTTAATTCTAGACTTTCTAGAGCCTACTGAAGAAAGTAATCCAACGGATAGGATGAGATTCTGGGCTTCGAGGGGACAAACAAGATTTATAACCAATCATCTTCCTTAATGTATATCGTGAGATCTTCATTTCATTCTAGATACACGGGTTGTGGGTCCATTCCTTGCTAGTCCAGCTAAATCTCTACCAGACGAGATAGATCAGTACTTTCAGAAGGCTGGGGACGAGGGCGTGATCTTGGTGTCGTTTGGCACAGTGGTTGGAGCGCTGAGTGATTCATCACTGAAAATTATGGCTGAAACTTTCTCCAAACTACCACAGAAGATTATATGGAAACTTAAGCCCAATGGTATGGTTGTCGGAAAAATCGTATGGTTGTCGGATCCATTAGTAATTCTCCTTACTGTCTGCCATTGGCTTCTTATGATGTTAGTTCCTGGAATCTGGTATTGAATCAACTAATATTTTCCCCTAAGTAATATTTTTCTTTATTCTCATCACTTGTCTGTTTGATATTATGTTTATTTAGTAAGCAGAAATTCTGTCTTGGTCGCCTATGGGAGTTAAAGGGTTAATAGAGAATTTGAATGAAAGAAACATCATATATCTGTAGTGCTGACAGTTCAAAGGGCGATTGACTTCTTGAAGTATTCATTAAAAAACAAGACAGACGTTCAATGTAAAATAATTATAACAAGAGAATAATCTTCTGCTTATAACTGTCGTATTGGTGCTACAACCGCAATTAGCTTCTGATTGAAGTTACTTCCCACAAACAATATTGACAAAGAACATGACGATAAAACGAGGATAATATGACAGAGTACCTAGTGAAGATGACAGTATTTGCGTGTACATTTTTCGCATAACTCTTAGATAACGTCGCAATTCATTATCCTCTTTCTCAAATTTGCAGACATTTCAAAAATCACCGTCAGCGACAACATCAAACTGTTGCCATGGCTTCCCCAGAATGACATTCTTGGCCACCCTAAGACACGGCTATTTATCGCACACGCAGGAATCAATGGAATGCTAGAATCAACCTACCATGGTGTTCCTATGATATGTTCACCTTTCTTCGGAGATCAACCACACAACGCCCAGACCGCAAAGCGGGCCGGGTTTGCTGAGGTGGTGGACCTTGAAGCCACATCAACAGAGGAGTTTGTTAATTTGATACAGAAGGTTTTAACAGATCCAAGGTTAGTATCACAGAACTTAAATACTTTTTCATCACTTCTTGGAAACATTCCTTCAAACTAATACAGATATTAACAGTTGCAATTTGATTCATTTAGCTACCGAGAGAAAGCAAAGCGAATATCAAAATCTGTTCAGCTGTTGCCACGTTCACCCGTCAAGGAAGCCGCTGATTGGGTGGAATACACACAGGCTCAAGGTGATTTACAGTACCTAAGACCACGTGGCGTGGATCTGCCGCTTTATAAGCTCTTCCTTCTTGATGTTTTGTCCGTTGTACTCTTAGTTTCAGTTGTTGTTTTATTTGTCATCATTATCATGTTTACATCTGTAATACGGTGTTTATCAGGGTCCTCAAGGAAAGAGAAGGCAAACTGAAACGAGGTCGAGCTAGGAATCCGTTGTTTTTCGGTTTACATGACGACTTCTGAAATATAGCTACAGGGCTAACGCTCGGAACGTCAGCTTTAGAAACTCTTTATGGTGCCCAGTTTACATTACCAACTCACTTTATGATACCAAATAATCTTGACATACCGAAGAGTCGAGAACGAATTCTTCGTTATCCTTTACTCTCTTTGATGACTGTGTTGAAATAAATATGAAGAGGCAAAAAAATGTTGAAATTGACCTTTACGTAAAATCTACAATATCACCGATGCTCATACACAGGGTCGCAGAAAACATCAATACATACTTGCCTATCGTCTTTTCTCATTGCATTTTGTATCTAAAGTAAAATTTTGTGGTGTAACAGACATTGTTACTCGGTGAGCCCGCGGTGTCGAGTGTCGAACTCGTCATGATACTAGTAGCTAAGGATGACACACTTGAAAAGAATCTCTGGTAAACATGTTCCGCTTTTTAGGCTGCTGAACGGGTATCTTAATAAACACGTCTTGGATTGAGTTATATTTGGGTTATGGAAGAAACTACGGGACTGCCAATCTATACCACAATAACTTCGTCTGTTACATGCAGCATGCAGAACTCAGAAGTGTATCAAGGATGTGTAATGTCTGTTTTCCTATTCATAATAATCATAGACTGAGAGAAACCTACCCTGTGCAATCTGATTAGTGCGACTAACATATCCTGCGCAATCTGACTGCTGCGAGCAACATAACCTACGCAAACTGATTGGTACGAGTAATATAACCTGCCCAATCTGATTGGTGGGAGCAGCACTGCTCTCGACAACTTAGATGTGATTATCATAATTTTCTTTGCCAAAGATATCTCAATTAAATGAATGGCCCCCAGGATATTAACTGCTCATTCAGATCACTGAATTAAAAGCCACCGCCGGGCCAGGTGAAAAACATGGTCATGTTGGTATTCTTTTGTTCAAAGTCCGTCATATCCCCATAAGGTTATCGTACAAGAACTTGTCGATGAACTGAAGTCCACGTCAGATCATATTGTCATTTATTTTCGAACTGTAAATAAATTAATATAAGAAATGAACTAAAAGATGAACAATGAAACGTTTCTTTTCAGCCTCTCGATATCGTCTAAAGCCTACTGATAAATTTCAAGGGTGAGTTGACGTTAGGTCTGTCAAAGGGCATAATAATTTGTTTCGTCAGTTATAATTACGTTCAGAGCTCTCAAACGAGAAAAATTTCTCATTTTGGCTCCTTGTCAGCGGTATGGTCGCCAGATAATGACATTATTTGTATTGTCATGTGATCTTAGTGATGCGGAGATGGGAACTCCCATCCACCGGCTCCCTAGGTTGCGAATAGGGGAACGGCCTCTAGATATAGAAGTTAGCTGCGAATAACCAATTAGCAGTGCAGGACAAAATAACAGGTCGCCCTTTGGCAAGGCGAAACACATGTCAGCCAGGTAGGATGTTGGATAGCAGAATGATCGAAATACTGAAACGTTGGTTCAAGCTTCTAGAGGCGAGGCGATTCACAACAACCAATGTTGATTGTTTTGGCTAGGCACAAACGTTCTGATACAGAGTACTACTCACACTTGTATGGAGTAGCGACCGCAAGTGTCAAACCAGTCCTTGAAAGTATGAAATGACACAAAACTCAAGGCGTTCATCCCGCATCGCTCGTCGCGCGCTCAACTAAGGAGCGCGTCCTGTAATGACGTTTCAGGTTGCAGTCGAAATCAACTACTGAAACCAAAGAGACCAAAACAAAAAAAGTCAATTCCAGACCGATGAAGGGAAAGAAAGACATTTTCATTGCGACCTTTAATGTCCAAACACTCCAGAAAGAAAGAAAGATACCTGAACTAATCGCCTCAGCTGATTCTACAAAACATGACATCATCTGTATACAAGAACACAGATTTATACATTAGGAATTTGCAACAAAAGAACAGATCTTTAGCAGCTGGAAACTGATCACCTGCTCTACATGGAAGAATACTGTGAATGCGGCCACTGGAGGAACCGGAATACTATTTAGCCCACAAGCCTACAATGCTCTTACCAGTGCTGAAATGATAACATCTAGAATTATGATAGCTACCTTCAATGGAAATCCTCAGACCACTATTATCTCCTGCTACAGCCCCACCAACATAAGCGATGAAACAGAAGTCAAAAAGTTTTACCAGGAATTGATATCAGTTACCAAACAAGTTTCCAAACACAATTTATCACATAAACTGCGGTGTTATACAGAGATTTCCGGCCCTGGGAAAAGTCGTAACAACACACGTGAAAAGATATCGTATTTTTTCCACGTGTGTTGATATAGCCAATCAGCTGCTGACACGTCACTCGCCTTTGGCGCCCTTCGGTCAGGTTGATGAATGAACGGCAAAGTCTTCACGATTCTCAATACAAGTTGTTTGTCGGAGGGTTCTCGAATTATGGCGGCTAAAGCACTAAAAAATCCGTATCGCTGACATACAGTGAGGTTCAAACTTTCCTAGAAGGGAAAGAAAACCAATATACTAAAAGAAAAACCGAAAGTTACTTATTCAGTGGCTTTGGTGTTAGTATTTCTCTCGGCTGAGAATGAAAATCGACAATTGGAAGATTTGCCACTGGTCGATTTTGGCCGTTTACCTGAAAGACTTCTTCCATCGGTAAGGATAGAGTTAGCCGGCGCCAACGCACTCTACGATTGTTATTCGGGGATTGTCGATTCATTAAATTTCATTTATTAACGAGATCGGCTTTTCTTCTCAGTAAGAGCTCTTGTGTTTATATGATAAACAAAATAATACATGGTTGCTTGTAGATATGGAATTTCTCTTCTCGTGTTCAACTCGACATCCCACTCGTTAACTGCGCTCACTCGTGAGCTATCGATTTAAACACTCGAAGAGAAATTCCATATCTACGCGCACCCATGTATTATTCTCTATATATATTATATCAATTATTGCAGGCGACTTTAATGGACATCTTGGACAACTTGATGGCTTCAAATACGCATATCACATTCAAACCAACAGAAATGGCTCCATGCTAAAAGACTACATCAATGAGAACAATCTCTTATGTCTCACAACAAAATACCAGGAAAGAACAGGTCAGCTATGGACACACAAATCACCGAACAGGAGTAAGGCACAGTTGGACTACGAGGTCATCAATCGGAAGTGGAAAAATAGTGCAAAGAATTGCAGAGCATTTAACTCATTTGTTAGCGTAGCGTCAGACCATCGTGTCGTCTCCACCCAAATACGTCCGAGTCTTCGAGAAAATAAAAAGAAGAACAGCAACACTTCTCCATACGACTGGACACATCTAAAAGACAACCCTGAAATACGCAACACCTTATTACCAGAGTGAAAAATAGATTTGCTGCTCTACAAGACACAACTCTGACAAACAGTGCTAAAACAAAATACAACCATTTTGAATAAGCATGCAAAGAAACAGCCGCGGACACCATCCCATTGAAACCCAAAATCAAGAAACGAACACCATGGGAGACTGAGGAAATTTGCCAAAAACGTAAACATCTGCACGAAGCCGCACAAGTTTGGAAAATAGATGACTTCCACCAAGTGTTGTTGGATTTCTGCAACAATGTACATAATCAAGACCCCATAAATAGATGGAGAAAAGGATGCCTGCTGCCAATCCCCAAAAAAGGCAACCTCGCGATCACCAAGAATTATCGCGGAATAACATTGACAGCAATTCCAGCAAAGATTTACAACCTGATGCTCCTTAACAGGATAAGACCCAAAATCGACCCAGTCTTGAGAAAAAACCAAAACGGGTTCCGCACAAACCGATCAACCTCGGGACAAATACTCACCATCAGACGTATCTTGGAAGGCATAAAATCTAAAAACCTTCTAGCTACTCTCCTATTCATCGACTTTTCAAAAGCCTTTGATTCGATCCACCGCGGAAAGATGAAAGAGATCTTATCCGCCTATGGAGTACCCAAGGAAACGGTGGATGCCATCATGATTCTGTATCAGGACACCTGCTCTATGGTTCGCTCCCCTGATGGAGACACAGACTTCTTCGATATCAGTGCTGGAGTCCTCCAAGGTGATACACTAGCCCCATACATATTCATTATATGTCTTGACTATACTGCGTAAAGCTCCGGACAAGAACAATGAACTTGGCTTTACCCTCGCAAAGCGGAAGAGCAAACGCTACCCAGCTATGAAAATAACAAATGCAGACTATGCTGACGACTTAGCAGTACTGGCTGATGTCCTAAAAGATGCAACATTCCTGCTGCACAGCATTGAAAGAACAGCAAAGGAGATAGGGCTCTACCTCAATGCAGATAAAACAGAGTTCATCTGCTTCAATGAAGATGCGTCAGAAGGGATGAGGAGTCTTAATGGTGAGAAGATAAAGCAAGTGGACGATTTTGAATACCTGAGAAGCTACATCACCTCTACCAAACATGATGTTAACATCGGACTAGGAAAGGCGTGGGATTCTCTAAATCAACTGGACAAGATATGGAAATCAAACCTTCCTGACGACCTGAAAAGAAACTTCTTTCGAACAGCAGTGGAGACTGTCCTTTTATATGATTCAGTCTCCTGGACCTTAACAACACATCTGGAAAAGAAAATCGACGAAGCATTCACTAGAATGGATCACCCCACAAATGTAGAGCTCTACGGCCACATCCTGCCAATCAGTAAATCAATAAAGGATGAGATTCGCAGGGCATTGTTGGCGCAGTAAAGAAGAACTTGCAGGGGATGTATTACTCTGGAAGCCAACACATGGACATCAGCCGAGAGGACGCCCAAAAAAGACCTACATTGACCAGTTGATGGATGACACAGGATGCAGACTTGAAGAACTGCCAATTGCAATGGAAGACAGAGAAAGGTGGAAGGAGCGTGTCATGGAATACCGAGCAAGCGCGACTTGATGATCATGATAATGATGTGATCTCATGTGATCTCAAAATGTAAAAAAAACGGAAGAGAAACAGCCTCTCGGTGCAGTCTGACGTCTATTAGTAGACTTCTAGAGCGAGTAAACATATAGACGCAGATATCATCTACGAACCAAATAGAAAGTAATAGAATAGCTGAGCCAGTAAGTCGTTTGATAATATACAGATTAAAGCAAGATAAATCTGTTTTTAAAGCGGTCAGGGACTTCAGCGGCCCCTAGTCTGCACTTAAAACAGTATTTCATGCGTCAAACTTCCTTCAATATTTCTTTTCAATAAAAGTTACAAGTCATGTAGTAATTTGAAGTTTTAACACGCGTCACGTCAAACCCTTCGCGACCTTCATCATTACTTCAGAGCTGTCGAACGTGGAAGAAAGTATTAATGCCAGTCTGCCAATCAGACGAATTTCCGTCGTCGTGAGATAAGTCTTACGCAATCCATCTGCTTGCGTGACCTGACTCAACTTAAAGGCACTGCTCACGAACTTTGTATGATCATATTTTGTGTTGAACGTATTGCACAAGATGGCGGCTTTTATTATATCGGTGTTTCTCGCTACTCTTTCCAGCTGTCTGGCTGCAAATATTGTCATGATTCCCATGTTTGGGAGAAGCCATTACATGTTTGTCTCCCGTCTTGGACAGGAACTGGCGGAGAGAGGTCATCAGGTATGCAAATTTGAAATGAGGCTTCGAACATTCTAAGTCAGCTTCTTGCACTGAGCAACGTTAAGGCAGCTGAATGATATCTATCGTGTTCAGACGAGGAGCATATTTCATAAAGAAAAGCAGAATATGATATGAATAAAACGATTTCATGGACTGCTTTCATATCATTTGCTGACACAGTGACCTCCTCACTTTAACTTTTTCGGTTAACTTTGTCTGGGCCACAAGGCTGATTAAATTTTGTATACTTTACTATGGTTTGATTAGACACCAAACGTCCCATCAATAACCTTTACACCTTCTATTTTTTAACTAATCCTAGGCAAATATTGTACCTACCGTAAATTTACTCAGACTAAATAAGTACTGCTGTGACGAACTCTGAGCCGACTAATTTTTCACTGGACTATTGGTAATTTAGGAAATGCAATGCTAATGTAGAGGTATTGTTTATTTTGTAAAGAGATTGTCTAACGCGCTGAAAGAAGGAAGATTCACTCGCTAAGGGAATATGCGCACAAAACATTTGTACGGCCTGCAAGTTGCTATTAAGTTCAGCATCAAATCTTCTGCACTAACCTCAATGATTAAATTTCCTTTCTTTGCTAACTCATTCGGTCAATCATGGAAACAATCATATACTGCTGAATCAGACGGAAAGAATATAGCCTAGACCCTCTTGATCAATATCCGGAAGGATTACATTTTAACTTCATCTGAGACTTAATTACCTTTTTCCGAAGCACACCATTACGTCCACTGGGGGTTCATTAATTCCCATGGCTTCTCAGCCGGGTGTGTTTTGGAGAGAGAAAGACTATTACAAACATATAAGAGAGGCACAGTAGGAGTGATTGTTTTTGTTCTGAACTCTCGCACTTCTTTGGTTGAAAAAACTTCAATATTTTATAACCAACAAAGGTAGGCTTTCAGATACAGGTATATTTTGAAACAAAACAAACAGCCTACACTAAATCTGGAAACCATCAAATGTATTACGAATTCTACGTCATATTCCTTATGTCCATTGTTCCTTTCTCCTTTGTTTTTATTTCAGCTTTCTGTTTTTTTTAGTGCGGGAGAGAAGGGGGGCTTATTCTTACAGGGAAAGGGGGTTAAGTATTGCCCGATAAGGCCTAAAAATACTTGTAAACGTTTCCACAGGTAAAGATATATGTGGGAGCGACACAAATGTATGCTGTAAATGATTCACTTGTACGAGTCTTCAACGATGACAATTTTGCTCCAGCGTTCCGGTCAGCATCAAAGAGTTCTCAAACCTTCAAATCGCTAAGCCCAAGACAAACATGGCAAAGGCTCCTAATGTTCCATTCTGTTTATTGTGATGACCTTCTCAGTAATACAGATGTCGTGGAAGAGATATCTCACGCTGATATCATTGTTGGTGAATTTATTTACCTCTGCTCGTCTTTGGTCGCGGATAAATTCTCACTTCCACTTGTTCTAATATCAGCTGCCACATTAGATACTCCCACAGCATTCGCCTTCGGCTTACCTGCCCCTCCTTCCTACATACCACAGTATGGAGTTTCTCTTTCAGACAAACTAACATTTACAGAAAGAGCATGGAGTCTTTTACAATGGATTATTCTGTATGGATCTTACATTTACGATATGTGTCCGCCTTATGAGAAGATCAAGGCAAAGTACGCCATTACACCCAGCAAGAGCATACAAGAAACACTTGGCAGAGTTGACTTGATAATCGGTCAGATGGATTTCTTTATAGAGCATCCAAGGCCTCTTTATCCGAGTAGGTACCAACACTGTTTAAAATGGGCATCTTTGATTTTTTTGAAATTCCTATACTACGGTCACTTTAAATCTCTAGACTACGTGCTTTTCGAAGAAGGCTGCTGTTACTTGAATATTTCTACTAAATGCTTTTATACCTGCAAATCAAGGTTTCAATGAATTTGAGTAACAAAAAAAATGAAAGTTCACGTCACGGAGTTTTTTCCTTTTAGGTGCTGGCCCTTACTTACTTAACTTCATTGATCAGATGATCGAGGAATGAGCATTTAAGAACTTTAATGCTCCATTTTGAGGCTTGGATAAATTTACATGTTTTACCGCTATTTATTTCCTTGCTTGGATCGCATACTAAGACAGTGTGAACAATTCTAGATTTTCTAGAGCCATGTTACGTGAGCCTACTGGAGAAAATAATCCAGCAAATAGGATGAGATTCTGGGCTTCGAGGGGACAAACAGGATTTATAACCAATCGTGTAAAATGTATATCGTGAGATCTTCATTTCATTCTAGATACACGTGTTGTGGGTCCATTCCTTGCTAGTCCAGCTAAATCTCTACCAGACGAGATAGATCAGTTCTTTCAGAAGGCTGGGGACGAGGGCGTGATCTTGGTGTCGTTTGGTACAGTGGTTGGAGCGCTGAGTGATTCATCACTGAAAATTATGGCTGAAACTTTCTCCAAACTACCACAGAAGATTATATGGAAACTTAAGCCCAATGGTATGTCTGTCTGAAAAAATAAATCATGTATGAGATTTAACAAAGCAATGTCGATAGGAAGGAATTTCTTTGGACTAAACTTCTTGTGGGCAAAATCGTGCACACCATCAACCAAAACTGAAATTATTCCACCATACTGGGCTATATAAGAGTTTCGTTGAAAAAAAGGCGTTGCACATGTACCATGTAGGAAGAATCCACAACTTTATATCAATTAACCCTTTCACTCCCAAGATCTCATTAGTAATTCTCCTTACTGTCTGCCATTGGCTTCTTATGATGTTAGTTCCTGGAATCTGGTATTGAATCAACTAATATTTTCCCCTAAGTAATATTTTTCTTTATTCTCATCACTTGTCTGTTTGATATTATGTTTATTTAGTAAGGAGAAATTCTGTCTTGGTCACCTATGTGAGTAAAAGGGTTAATAGAGAATTTGAATGAAAGAAACATCATATATCTGTAGTGCTGACAGTTCAAAGGGCGATTGACTTCTTGAGGTATTCATTAAAAACAAGACAGACGTCCAATGTAAAATAATTATAACAAGAAAATAATCTTCTGCTTATAACTATCGTATTGGTGCTACAACCGTAATTAGCTTCTAATTGAAGTTACTTCCCACAAACAATACTGACAAAGAACATGACGATCAAACGAAGATAATATGACAGAGTACCTAGTGAAGATGACAGTATTTGCGTGTACATTTTTCGCATAACTCTTAGATAACGTCGCAATTCATTATCTTCTTTCTCAAATTTGCAGACATTTCAAAAATCACCGTCAGCGACAACATCAAACTGTTGCCATGGCTACCCCAGAATGACATTCTTGGCCACCCTAAGACACGCCTATTTATCGCACACGCAGGAATCAATGGAATGCTAGAATCAACCTACCATGGTGTTCCTATGATATGTTCACCTTTCTTCGGAGATCAACCACACAACGCCCAGGCTGCAAAGCGGGCCGGGTTTGCTGAGGTGGTGGACCTTGAAGCCACATCAACAGAGGAGTTTGTTAATTTGATACAGAAGGTTTTAACAGATCCAAGGTTAGTATCACAGAACTCAAATACTTTTTCATCAGTTCTTGGAAACATTCCTTCAAACTGATACAGATATTAACAGTTGAAATTTGATTCATTTAGCTACCGAGAGAAAGCAAAGCGAATATCAAAATCTGTTCAGCTGTTGCCACGTTCACCCGTCAAGGAAGCCGCTGATTGGGTGGAATACACACAGGCTCAAGGTGATTTACAGTACCTAAGACCACGTGGCGTGGATCTGCCGCTTTATAAGCTCTTCCTTCTTGATGTTTTGTCCGTTGTGCTCTTAGTTTCATTTGTTGTTTTTTTGGTCATCATTATCATATTTACATCTGTAATACGGTGTTTATCGGGGTCCCCAAGGAAAGAGAAGGTTAATTGAAACAAGATCGAGTTAAGAATCGTTCGTTATCCTTACTGGTAAACTACTTCTGAAGTATGGTGACAGTTTGTAGCCTCTTCCGAACTCTTCTCTTGAATAATTGAGACCGAGTTTCTTACTTGAGGTACGTTGATTTTCATCTAACTCTTAATTATCTTTCCACCATTGACAATTACGAGCATATTTAAAGAAGTTTACGAGGTTTCGAAAAGATCTGATTCAACAGTTCAGGACGAATTCTTTGTCATCGCTCACGCCATTTTGATGTAAACTGTGTTGAAATAAGTATTGTCACTGCATTGAGTCAAAGTTAAAAAGCGTTCACTAATTTGTTACATTTTATGGTGAGCCCGCGCTGTCGATTGTCAAAACTTGTGATAACTGTGGATGAAACACTTACTATAAGAAGAATCTCGGGCAATTATCTTCTACCTCTAAGGCTGCTGCACGCGTATCCAAAAGAATACTTCTTTCGTTGAATTATATCAATTTTATTTGGATACCTCATTCATCATAATTTCATTTTTTGATTCCTAACTCCAAAGCTTTATTTACATGGTCTCAGGTTCCCAAAACAACCCTCCCCTTCAAGACAACTTTAAGCAGCGTTCATATGGAAGTTGTGAGTGGTAACAGTTGTAGCCTCGCTATTCTCTCTGGTGACAGCTGGGCAGGTTATATATCAAATAAAATTTGAGCCGCCTCGTCTCGGGCAGGCGAGCCGAAGTGTTTAGATGGGAAAAGGATGACCCGAGGCGGGACAACTCGCCATCCCGAGCTGTCTCACCCCAGAGACGAGTTCACCATTTTCATTTAGACATTGGTTGAATATTTCAGAGAAATAAATGAAGAGATAGCTCGACCAGGGTAACTCGGGGGAAGGGTTGTCTGGGGTATTCAAGACCATATAAATCACGTACCACAGTGAGGAGAACGTTGTTATTTTGTTCCATCCGGTTTGACCGGTTTTAGAATGATTTGGATTCATATCTTAGTGAGTAAACACACCACCAGAATCCTAATTTCACCACATTTCGAGTTGCGTGAGTTAAGTGATAAAAAAGACATTTGGAAAAATATAAAGCTTATTCTAAGTTAATTTATACTTGTATGTTTATTTTGAGCAAAGTCTAAAAAGACTTAAAAGATCATTTTCTAAACCAAGAGTTACGAGTTACGCAAGTTTAGTCATAAAAAAGGCATTTAGATGTGCACTCTGACTTAGTTAAATCCTGTAAGTTTAGTCTACGCTAAGTCTAAAAACGTTGAAAGAGCAGTTCCTGAATCAGGATGGGACTATTCAGCCTCGAGCTTTTAATTTTAATTTTACGAAATATGCACCTAAAGAATTTCAGTAGATTAGTTTTAACAACTCGTTTGATGGCGGTTTAAATGAGCTCTTTTTAAGTCACGAAATTTTCTAGGTCAAAACCAGGTTGACCAGCAACATGGGTGACCTCAATCCTACAGTTCCGCGAAAACGGTCGTTCTTCGCTAATGGATGAAAATCGAACTTAATCTTTACGGGATAACATCTCATTGTGACGCAGATGCTGCTGAGTCATAATAAGATGCTAATGCTTTCCATTTCCGGTCACTAGTTCATTGCGTGTACAGACTTGCAGCGAATACGATGTCTCTTTTGATCATAGCGGACGCTTCCTCCATCTTCTCTCCAAGCTTTGGATCTCCGATGATGCGAGCGGCATTTCTAACATCACGACACGTCTCATCTAATCGCTGAATGCAGCGAACAATGATCCCTGAATAAAGAAAAAGAAAGAAGTCCATGTTTAAGTGAAGTATCTCAGCTTGGTGAAACTCAGTTCAGAACTGTAGTTCAGTCCAAAAAATCGATAGATTTGCAGTTCGAATCCTCACGTGTTACTCTAATGCTCGTAACAAGTGTTCAACATCTTTCTCTAACCCATCTTAATTCAAAGTAAGGAACCCCTCTGACACTTCACCTGCAATATCTTTTTTTGGTCGTGAAAAAGAATTACTGAAAACCACAACGTATGAATTGCATGTCAAGAGAAAAAAGTCCTAACAATCAGTTGGTGTAAGAATTCCGCAGAGCGTTAAGTAACAGGAGGCTAAAAAATCGTTAGTCCTCCGTTTCGTAACCTGAGTTATGTTGGCAGGTTTCTCCTACCTTCCTGCACATCTGTCAAGTTGGTTATTTCAGAGAAAGGCATTCCTCTTGCCCATTCAAACACAGCCTCTACCAGACCAAAGTTGTACTGCTCTTTAAATTCTTCAACAGACGTAGACAGACCAAATTCAGACTGCAGGTCAGCGATTCGTTCTGCCATTTGTAATATGAACTGCTTGCCCTGAAAATATGAAAACCGAATTCCTGATGACAAGAGACAAACGATTCATCGAATTTTCCAGATTTGTTTATCTAGAAACAATCAGGGCTCCACAAAGCGCAAAAACCTTAGAAATTGTATTTTCTTTAGAAAATCAATTTGTTACCAAAGCGAGTGCAAACAAACATCATATCACGGTACTAGAGGCAGCCTCGAACCGTGCATGGAGAAGGGACGCAATATACTCGTTACGGAGGAGTAGAGGTTATTGTCTCTTCCTTATAATTCTTTCCATGTTAGACCATGAGCAGTCCATAATGTTTGGAGAGGTACTTCGCGCGAGTAAAAAAACTTTGATGGGAGCGCACCGCTTAAGTCTGGGAGTGAGGATTTTCATGCTTGTCACTCCAAGAGTTCCGCGCGGCGTGCATACATGTATTTTTTTCTACTCGCGCCACGGACTTCGCCAAAAAGAGGGACTGCTCATAGTCTATTTCTATTCAAGAGTAAACGATAAGACTGCACGCCACACAGCACCTCATACACAGCACATCCTACACAGATATACGTGTATTTTTATTTCCCTACCTCTTCTAACGTCTTGGTTAAATTTGGCTTGCTGCATCGACGCTGGAAAAGAGAGAAAATTAGAAAGAGTGCTACTTTGGTAGAAAAACCAAAATCGCGTTAAAGATTAAATGTTAATAAGTCTTCTTAAAGTCATTTCCGGGCTCTCAGGTGTTTAAATATAGTCTGTGAAAAAGGGTCCCAAACTAAATGCAACGTTTACCTGCTGGAATACAAAGCAAGACAGCAAAGCCACAATCTCCGTGGGATGAAGATTCGTGAAAGCATTTTCAAACACGAGTTCTGTGATCATCAGTTCATGGTTACTTATTTCGCACGCCACTCTTCCCTTCAACTGCACAGCGTTATTCGCGTCCACGTAACGTAATTTACGTAAAACCTGTAGAATAAAAAGCAACGGCGCTAAGAAAATGGATTGTAATTAGTTACCTGGTATGAAAAGTTTAGACCTTGTTTTGAGGGTAAATAGCATTTTCACGACGACACACGAATTTGATTGTCAAGTAACAGTTTTACCTCTACTCTTTGCTGAAGTTCCTCTCTATGTTGGAGACTCTCGTCGGACAATAAATATCTTAGGACGGTCACGTGCTCTCGTAATTTCATCTGTTTGGCGACTGTTTCAAACTGGAATGGAAAACAGAATACTTCTTTATCTTTCACCTTCCCACTTCCTAGTGCCCTATACACCACGAAAACTGAGTTATTAAGACGCAGACGTTTCGTAAAACAGAGAACAAGCAAGTCATTAAGACTCCTTTATTGAATTTGGAAAACAACCGGATTTCCCTATAGTTTGTTTACGTTATCCTCTAATAAATAAACTCACATGCTCTGTAAACTTGGGGCAGTTCAAGCATGCGAAGTTTGCCAATTGTTCTTCAAGACTTTGTTTTCTCGCTATTGTCGTCACCATGTCAATGTCCCGGATGTTAAAGTCTTTAATAGGATCCATGGTGCTCAGTCCCTCGGGATTAGCCTCGGATAATCTAAGCAGTTCTTGCTCTGCACTAATGGTAGTTTTTCCTGGTAAGTCATTCCTTTAAAGAAACCGTCAAAGTTAATTCTAATTCAACTTAAAAGTCACAGAAAACCTTCACTAGAAAAACAAACTAAAATATAATCAGAGCGTTTGTGACTCACCTAAATCTTGGCAGCATTCTCTTTTTATGATCGTCTATTATCTTTGCAGTATCAACTTTCATTTGACGAACAGAAATAGCAGTGATAGCATTTCCATTCACTTGTAAAATTTGGTGAGAACATCGTCCCTTGGGTAAAAATAAGTTTTGTTTTATAAAAGGCTGCACTTCCTTGTCCATATCTGATGCGTCTACTTTACTTTCTTTTGATGAATTAAATTCGTTGTCCTCTGTAACGAAATGCACAAAGACAAGTTCACCTGGAATTATGCCTGGCAATCAAATTCTTCGACAAAACGTTGTAATTACAAATGAACTCTTCCAGTTGAATTTTTCAATAATACTGAGGAATCTTCCCCTCAATTTCACACATAAATGCACATCTATTCAATCGCAACCTGTCTTCTTCGTCGAATGGCTATCTATTAAACGATCTGGAGTCAAACAATTCCATTCGCTGATTGCAAGACCTCAAAGACTTAAAAAACCTATCTACTAATTTTCTTACCTGCTTTGTTTTCCTTTGGGTCACATATTACTAACACTTCAAATTTTCTTTCCGTTGGACTGGACACTACTTGAGACTGCATGGTCAAGTGGCCTTTGGAAGAAGTGTTTCCTGCCTGCAAAATGACGGCTAAAGCGTTCTTGTGCTCAGCGGTAGTTATCGTGACGATGCGCCCTGGAGAGAGGGCCCGCTGACCATGTGGAGACGAATGTATTGCCGCCTTATGGGAGAAAATAATCACGCTGCTTTACTTCGTTCATCTTTGAATTTATACAATCTGCTTGCAAACAGGACAGTGTAACTATCAGACGCCACTAAAATACTAGGTAAACCTATTACAAGGAACTGAGATGTTTGATTTCAAAGTAACACGGAAACGCATTTTTACACATGAATGAATTGAAATACAATAAGATCAAGTGAAAAAAAAATTTCATTGCACTCGTCTGGCTAGCTTGTGTAAATTGAAGCCTAATAATTGATGGTCACACAAACGACCCGGTATGGCTAACATGCGTATCATTACCTTGACAGTGTTAGTTAGTGGCGACAGCTCTTGACAAGCCTTGAAGTAAGACTTAAGATCTCCAGAACAAAACGTACAATCCACATCGTTTATATGCTGGAGTTTTTCCTCCACTTCCTCCATTTGGCGTTTTCTTTCCTGAGCGTCTTTCTGCATATGGAACTCAGCGAAACTTCTTTTCAACATGTCCTCTACACGTAATTCCTCGACTCGCAACAGATTCAGTATCATAGAATACGTCAAACGAAACCTAGAAATAAGCTGAGTTGGTTTACCCTGTTAAACAAAAGAGAAAGAAAAGACTATATTGTCACTAGAAGTTTCACCTATCTATGGTCAGTCTTCAGTCACTCTTATTGATTTGACAGATTAATATATAGAAAAAAGCTACTGACGGGTTACAAAACAGGCCCAACGCATCCGGAGACAGCGCTAAAATGAACCAACAGCAGCTTACCATCGCCCTACATTAACAACACATGATCATTTGACCATATCACCTGACGAAGACTTGCAGTAAAGTAGCCGGAAGGTCGCCATCTTCAATTGGCAACGATCGTCCATCGTGAGACAAAACATTTCAAAATGTACATCTATTTCTACTACGTTGAATTTTGGACGATCATTCATCAAATTATAAGCCAAATTATAAATATGGAAAGAGGAGACGAAGATCGCGAAGATTACCACTAAATACAACTGAATGACAAATTTTAGTGTTCACTGAAATGTAGTTCACCCTACCAGCATCATCTTGTGTAAGTCCGCCATCAGCGGCACGTTCCCTTTGCAGAGTATGATTACAGTCCCAGTAGGGTCCAGACCTCTCCGGCCAGCGCGGCCAGCCATCTGAATATATTCACCAGGCAGCAAATCCCTAAAACTTGTCCCATCGTGCTTTCTGGTTGTATCAAACACCACTGTACGAGCCGGCATGTTGACGCCCATGGCAAACGTTTCAGTGGCGAAGAGGATCTGAAAACATGCCCAATATTCATTCAACATCAGGCTGTCAAAATCGCAACAAGAACAAACACACCACTACTGAATATCATAGCCATATCAACCCCTACCCGCCCCTCAACACCGCGGTCAATACAGCAACAAGGTACTGTAAGAGTTCTCCAACCACGAATATATAAGGCGCGAAAACACAACACCCATGAAAAACTCACCTTTACCAAGCCTCGTCCAAACAGCATTTCCACCATCTGCGTAATAAAGGAATTCTCTCAGCAAAACTGACATTAACCCTTTAACTCACTGAAGTGATTGACATGAAACTTCTCCTCATAATATACTTACATTATCCAGCAAACAGGTTATAAGAATACTACAACTTATCAGGTGGGATTTATCCTGATCTAATACCAAATTCTTATAAATCCCGTACGGGCCTGAATCTTTTTCAGGTCTTATTTAAACTACTAGTTCAGTAGTGTTTATAGCTGCGAGGATCTCTTATATTCGTTTCTTCACCGCAGTGCATATATATGATTTTCATATATCTACAATCATTATTCTTATAACTAATTTACAAGAAAATGTAACAGCTAGAGGGGAGAATTAACAATCAGATCTTGGGAGTTAAAGGGTTGAGGAGTTTTATGCTCAACACTATCAACCCAATAAGAATGTTCGCGGATTGTGAGGGTTGCGTGACAACTTTAAGGAGACAAGACAATGATGTTGTAGTGGATAATTCTGGCTATAATAACAACTGAAAATCACGTTACCTAACTGGAAAATAGATGACAGGTTACTCGACCTATTCAGGGTAGAATCATTGTCGCAAGAATAAATCTACCCCAGGATAATATTACCACACAGACCTCTTTAATTATAGGCAGTACTCCACTGTGGTGAACACCAAGGCCGCGCTTAAGGAGCTCTTGAATCCTGGAAACCTACATGACAGGAAAAGGGCGGAACTTTTTTTAATTGTAGAGTGACTATGTCCGCAAAAAGAGAATCTTGCACTTGCAATAAGATCAGCGATAATTCCCAACTACAGCAAGCAAATTTTTCTTGCAACTCTTCTTCAATGACATGAGTTGTCATTGTGAAAAAATTAATTTTCAAATATGTAAACCCTCTGGCCGGAAAGATTTTCGTTCGGTGAAGAAAGCGGCACAAAAATAAGCATTTCTGGTTCTAAGTGTACTCCCTCTTAGAACTTGTCTCACAACGACTCGTAAGAATACCCAGATAAACATGTGACAGCTCTCGCGACCGAATGTTGAAGATAAGTTAAACACAAAACAGTAGGGGTGTTACACTACGCCACTATCTCAGACAAAATTTAACTATCTCAGGCAAAATATCTCGCCATAGTTTACGTGGCAAAAAAAATTGAAAGGCCACAAGAGGGAAATAAAACCTGACTACCCGAGGACCCGACTGCAAAACGCAACTTTAACTGCAAAATAAATGCGCAAAAATCTCACTTGTGGCAGTTGTCTGTCAGGACCTTTAAGTCTTGCTATTGCCTTTTGAATGAAAACATGGATCAAACTCTTCTCGGTTGAAGTGGTGAGATCAAGATTACTGAGTTGGTCTGCGTTATCATCCACTCTCTTCCTGGAGAAGGTAAAAGCGACCACAGGAAGCTTCTCCTTCTTGCGAAGCATTTCAACCAGAGACAACCAGATGTTACGTTCCTACGAACACGCAGACTCTTGGTAAGTTTGGAGGGTATAATACACCGACCACCCCACCCTCATTCATCAGCTAATATAGTTATAGCGGGCAGGCCGACTTTCAATGAAGGAACTGCCGTTAAGTATCTCCCTACTGAAGTTCGAAGAATAGCAAAGTTAGTGCTTGTTGAAGTATACGTCCTAACATCCCAAACGTCATCGTTTTAGTCCCCTTTTTGATCGTCTCAGCATTCGCCAATCTTACACTGAAATTCTCTTTCTTATTTCAAGTTTATTATCACCTCTTTGTTGTTATCCTAAAGCATTAAAATCTGTCATCCATACGAGCACGAGTTTCGTTTAAAGTAATATAGAATTTTGTAAAGGAATCATTAAAATATTTTCAAGTATTTGGCTGCACACCTCCTTAATGTTTGTTGTTTGGTGAGTTTTGGAGCCATATGCATCCTTTCCTTTCCCCTCTCTCGCTTTCTTCGCCGCCACAGCTGCTTCGTAACCGCGCGTCAGAAACTTACCGTCAGCATCCACGATCATAAACAGTTCATTGCTTGTCTTGTTACTATTGCCTGTGTATAGGAAATGCTGTAAGGGGACTGGGCGCTTGGGAGTGCTTATCACGTAGATTTTCTTCTTCTTGGTGCGTCTGTGAGAGAAGCAACAAGAGGAAAATTTGAGCTCATTTCAGCAAGTTTGATGGGGCGCCGCTGACTTGAAAAACAACTGATCTACTGATTATTTCCGCCACAGTTCCACTGTATGGCGATGATTTGCGAAGGCTCTTCAAGAGCCCTGCTAGCGATTATTAACGAAAATTCTCGAGTAAATCCTGAGAGATCATTAGAGGATGCAAATTTTGGCTAGGCAGATAATAAAACACCTAAGTATAGCAAACTTCATGACCGAGAAAGAGTAATAGAGTGATTTAACTACTCACCCAATCCAGTCGGCAAATTCCAGCGTGTTAGGTACAGTTGCAGATAACAGAATGATCTTGACTTGCGCTGGTAACATAATGAGAACTTCTTCCCAAACGACACCTCTCTGTACAAAAAAACGGAAAATGAAAACACATCATAGATACTGACTGATGTCCCACATACATGTAACAAACGTAAAAGATGTAACATGCAGTAATGAGGTAAAAAGATGAACGTGTTTAACATCGCTGCCTCGCGACCACTTAGCCAGTCACTTAGTGTGTGGTTTTAGGAAAGCTAAGGCGATCGCTTACCTCTGCATCGTTTATGTAATGTACTTCATCAAAAATCACCCACTCCACGTCTCTGATGGCGTCTGAACCATTGTATAACATGGAACTGTCAAATCAGAAGTAGTATTTAGTGTTGAAAGTTCCTCGTGAGGCTCTTTCCAAACAATTTTTTGTTCTTAAGAAATCAAAGCACTTCATATTTTGCAAGAAATGAGACTAAACGTTTTTAGTGGAATCTTATATAACCCCGCGAAGGGTTCGAAAACGATAATTTACGAGGTGTTCCCCCGACCAACATGGGAGAACAGTACATAAACAATCTTACGAAGGGTTCTAAAACGACAGCGCAACATCTCACTGATTATGTTGCCAAACGACAATTTATGCGGTGTTTTACCGACCAACATGGGGAACGCTACATAAAAAAATCGTGCCTTCATTTGGGCGCCCTTTCTTTCGCTAGTTTGCTGTAACTTTTGATTTATCAATTAAATAATCAGATTTTCTAGGTGGTTTTTGCCATCAGCTGAGCAAAATCATCAAAAATACGTGCAATCCAGTGTTCCAGATCAGTTTAATTGAAAATTGGAGACAGACGAAAATTAAAATTGTCGCACAGGGGCAAGAGATCACAGAAGCTTGGTTATTGTAAAGCCCCATGCACAGAAAAACCCCGTTAACTTCGCACCTGGTTTGTTTAATTAAAGGTAGGAGTTTAAAAACCAATCACAGACAAAACTGAGAAATGAGGACTCAGTCCTCATTTCCCAGAAAACCCTAGCCACTCTAAAAGAACAAAAAAATGCGATACTCACCGCAATATTTCCGTAGTCATAATCAAACAGGACGCCTCAGGTCTGATCTGCACATCACCTGTCAGCAGACCTACATCCTCAAAAGTGTCCTTGAACTCGCGGAACTTCTGATTGGACAAAGCTTTGATTGGTGACGTGTATACTGTCCTACGCGAGAAGACAAGGGAAACCTTCGGCTTGAACGTTTACGTAAGGTACCTATGGCCTCTGTTGTTTTTTTTTTAACGAGAACCTGACAACTTGGAAATAAACAAACAATAACGGAAAAACCCTCACTGAAAAGTCTCTTGATCGCTTAGTTCCTTTCCCTTTAGGTACTGATATTTCACAAAATAAAAACAGCCGTAACATTTGTGTTTTCCTGCTTGCCGAAATACATTTTACATAGCAATTTCATTTCCTTTATTCTAACAGTAAAATGGTCAATGCGAAAACTAGGAGTAGAATGTTCACTAAAGCTTTTCAAGAATAAGTAAAAATTAAAAGAGGCAAACAGAAGTTTTAAGTGCCAATGATAAACTTAGAAGAAACACCACCAGGACAAAGGTTTCAATGACTTTTCTCCGTGAGCGCCTGCCGATGGTTTTATAGGCGGCTATGCGCGAATAGGATCCGTAAGGTGAAATTCGAGCGAAAGAGCCTGCTTGCAGGCTAAACAGACGACGGTAAAAAGTCTTACAGGCGGGGGTAGACTGGGAACCGGCTTTAATTGAAACTTCTGCCACGCAGACGAGTACCTTGTCATGTGTTTACTAGCCAAAGCAATGGCATACTCTGCCACCACTGTCTTTCCAGCTGAGGTATGAGCGGCAACAAAAACACTTTCGTTATTTTCTAAACAAAGCACGGCCTGCTTTTGAAACGTGTCCAGCTCAAACTTCCACTGTAAACATTAAAGAAAGTAAAGGGTTTTCTTTTTGGCTAACATACACGAAAACCCAACGGGCACGAACACCACTACGCCGCAAAAAAATGCGGTTAGATTACTGAAAACTGGGTTGGGGCTATATAGAGAGGAGGCGTTTTTTGAGGCGCAGACGGCAACTGGAAGAAAAAAAAAGACCTAATTCTGGTGCGCTTTGACACCCATGTATCGACCGTAAGGTCATCGTTTTAGCGGCATTTTAAACGAAATTGTGCTTACCAAAAAGGTGTAGTGAGCAAAAGGAATGAGAAATTTTGACTTCAGGCTGCCGCCCGCGTCCCAAAAATGTTCTTGCTTAACCTCCCTAATAATGAAAACCCCGAAGACCAACGATGAACTTCTGTTTACTGTAATATCGAATGAACTGAAGTAAATCCTTCAAACCGAAATACTTAAAAAAATCAGTTCTTACTGCTTACATGAAAAGGTTGACACGCTCCAAAAACGAAAAGAAACACGCGATCTTTCCTTTTCCATCTTTCGTTTACATTTTCATGTCATTTCAAAGTCAGTAATACGACTGTTAGCCGAGATCCTGATTTTAATTCCTAGTTAGCCATACGTTTTCTCAATTTGTAAGGATCCGATTGTTCCTCTTTTCATCTCTAAAAACACCAAAAACACTAAGTACATTACGAAAAATTAATCCTATGTAAAAGATAATCCAAGATAAGCGTTAATCGTGTTTTGAACAAACCGATAGTGCACCTCATGCGCCATATCAGGAACTCGCTTATGGAAACCTTTGACAGGTTCTGTGACGTTCACCATAACAGCCCACTCCTCTTTGATGGGTTTGTCTGTAACTAACGATGAAGAAGTACGTGTCTTTTCTGAATCGCTTCCCTAAAGAAATTAAGATAACATGAAAAGATTATGTCTTGGCGTCAAAGGTAAACTATAAACAACATGCTAGTTTAAGCCTCTTTGTCAGAGTGCTGAAGGCAAGCTAATGAACGACCATATTGTTACACAGTTAAAACAAGTAAAGAGAGAGCCACTTGATTGCTTTATGAATATTCCTCCTGTGCCCAGACCTAGCATGAGTTCTAACTTTTCATCTGTCCTGACACTAGATGGACTGAAGTAAGTCCTTTTACAAATAAAAGTACAATTCAGGGCTTCACTCACAGATTGACCTATTATACATAAATTTGACTCGACCTAAAGATCACTTGAAACAAACGTCTTTTGATTCAGCTCATTATTGTTTGAATAAAACACTCTGTCGTTAACCGACGAAAACTAAAACTATATAGCATCCAGCCCCCATTTGCGTTCTTCATGATGCAACACTGTAATATCTAGTGGTAGATCCAGTCCTTGAAGTACAGGGAAGGCAGAAGAGGCAGGGGAGGGAGTGGAGGGAGAGGAGACACAAGTATATTCTCTATGTACCTCGACCAATACTTTCTCAAGACTATCCTGTCTTTGGAGACTTCCTGTAAAAGGAAAAAAGGAAAAAATTTATTTCCTTTTAAGAATCTTGTTTACCGTTTCTATATTAAGGCTTGTTTGCTCATGCTCCAAAGTCACTTCAGTAATTGCTTAGGGTTAGTTTCAAATCTCCTTTTCCTTCTCAGATATTACTTTCCCATGATCAATCCATTGATCTTTGTGTTGACAGTTAAAAGGGAATTTAAAAGTACATTCACTGTTCTCACCCTCTGTGCCATCCTCTGGATCACTCACAGATTCGCTTTTATCAGAAAGCTAAACACAGGAACATCAAAGAAATACAAGTAAGTTATCAATCTGAAGATACAACAGATGAAATATTATTCTACAGAAGGAGTGACTCTTGATTGGGAAAACTTGCTTACAACAGGAGGCTTTGGACAAAACGTATGAGCAACGGCTCATACGTGAGCTGTTAAGAGTTGTCCTTGAGACAAGTAATACAAAAAAGCAGAAAATGTATGAAAGAAATGATTCAACAAAATTTTTGAAAGCACCAGATATTTTGTGTGATAACTTGGACACTCAGACACCATGACCACCAGAAATCTTTCTGAAGTGTCAATGCGCCCATAGGGAAAAAGCTGATCAGATGTGAGATAACAACAATAGAGTAATAAGCTGGTGCTTTGATGGTTTGTATGTATTCCTTGACCTCCATGTCATATCACCATCATATTTTGTTGACAGTTTTCTGATTTCAGCAGTGACTAAACTGAATTTGATTGAGTGCTTTCACTAACAGAGTCACATTGCACCTTATCTATGTCTTCCTCATCTGTCTCCAGGTCATCACCATCATCACTGTACTCTAGGTCTTCCAGTGTGGTACCAGCCATGATGTCAGACATAGCCACAATTTGAGGTACAGGTGCCATGGAATCTCTCTCTGAAGACAATTAAATATACAAAAAATGTATCAAATAACTGTTGAACATAACTGTGAACAAGGGATATTAAAATAAAATTGTAAATTCAGCACTCAAGGAAAGTGGCCCACATTGCTGCAGCTTATCTGATTTCCATAAAATGAAGTGACTAGGAGTATTGCTAGCATACAATTGGGTGGGAAAAAGGCACTGGAGAGAGGCAGTGTAAGAGGAAAGTGCCTTGCCCGAGAACACAACACAATGACCAGGTCAGGTCTTAAACCAGAACCTCCCAATCTGGAATCCAGCATGCTGAATGTTACAACCTCCAGTTCTCCCACAAATAAAGATTATTGCCTGAGATTAAACACTGCTGGAGAGTCCATGAGGCAATATGATACTATGGTTGTTTTTTGAGTGATCTGACCTTGGTCTTCCTTATCTTCAGTGAATCTAGCACCTTTTTTAAAGCCTGGTGGCACAGACAGAAGATCTACAGGTGTAAAAAGAATAAATACAACAGTAAGGATGTTTTCAAGCCTTCGCTACAAATGCAAATTACAGTACATACTGTCAAGCACATCACTGGTGATGTAAAAAACAAAGACAGGGTTGATTGTATCATGTACCTTTCTCAAAGTTCAGCTCACCATCAAATACCAGACCTGGTTTTGTAGTTTCCAAGGTCTCCATACCACCTTCAAAATTAAATGGAAAAAAAATTATCCAGAATAGAAGAGGCAACATTATCAAGGTTCACAAAAAAAAAAATAGCCAGAGTTAAAAAACAGTTTTTATCACTTAAACTTGATAGAATTACATTTTTTATACACAGCGACTGATGTAATTTTGCTCTCTTAAATGTTTATGATGATTTTCTGTCATTCTTTTGACAATCCAGAAATTACAGCTCTAGAAGGAAAAGAAGAACTTGCAATAAATGGAATGGAATGTGTTGCATGAGATTGGCATTTACTACTATTCATTTGTGAAAGTTGCAGCCATAGAAAACCAGTATGATGAAACTACATTTATCCCTCTTTTTGTCTATTTAACTGTTAGCTACAGATAAACACATTGCTGGAAGCTAACTTCATGTTACCTGGTAAAAACGGGTAATTTGTAGACTCTCCCTTCACCGATGCTGATAGGGGCCCAGGTTGTCTTAAAAGTGACATGGAATTTTTTGATGTACATCCTGTATCTGTCAACATAACCTGGAAGTAAAAAGAATTACAAGTATCAAATATCTATTCACTAATGACAAGTATAATTTATAGTCAAATTATCTTGTGGATGTGTAAAATTATCTGTTGTATGCTTGTATGTTTCAACCAAAGTCCAGCATATTCTCCAGTAGTCAAATTAATTACTAATTGAAGTTACAATTTAACATAGCAAAACACAGAAAGACTAGGTGTCTAACTGGAGAAACTGGAAAGAGAAATGGGTATGATTCTTTACCTCGTTATAGCCTAGAAGTTCTCCTGTTGTTGGATTTCTCTCTACTTTTAATGTTGATGGAACAGGACACACATCTGAAAACAACAGACTTTCTGGGTCTCGTTCACGTGGCCAAAATCTAAAATTTGACAAGAAAAAATATATCTCAACCCTTTCATGCTTACACTCCCAAGATCTCACTGGTTACTCCCCCTTACCATGCACCATACAATTCTTATAATGTTAGTTCAGTGGATTTGGTATTGGGTCAGCTAATAAACCCCTTAAGTCTATTTTCTCTATTGAATTTCATATCACTTTTCTCCATGATTTTGTATTAATATTCCAAGGAGAAAATCTGTCTTGTTCACTCAAGGAAGCTAAAACGATCAATGGCAGAGATTAAAACAAAATAATATGGTTTCCAGGCTGTTCTTTTTCCCCTGACTTCTTTATGCAAACTTCCTTTTATTACCTCTGTGTTCTTTGAAAGTCATGGATGGGCAGCACTGTAGGATCCAGAAGATACTTTTCTAAATCAGTCTTTAGATCTGGTGCAAACAAAGGTGGTAAACCACATGGAAGCTGTGCAGAGGAAAAACTTGATAAATTTCACAAAATTTTGCTTGACTAACTCTAAAATTTTGAGAAAAAATTCATTTCACATCACTCTCCGTACTTTACATGGTGAACACATTCCACGTGAATAGGCTAGACAGGACATTAAAGCTGCTTGAATAACAACAGATAAAAAAAAAGGCAGAATATGTTTATCATCTTACTGTTGTTAGTGGTTTTAATTCCTTTTTTGATGACTTATTGAATGATTCTGGTATGATTTCAATTGTGCCTGTACACCCAACTTCCAGAAGATCAAAAGCATATTCCAATGCATGAGATTCATGCTCTGTATCTGGGTAAAAAAAAGTTCACAGATAAGAAATTACCACTTTTACTGTTACACCATTCCTTTAACTTTCTTTTTAATATTGTCAACCCTGAAATCATGTAATTCCCTTTTCTAGTAAAGACAGACTTACTAAATGCATTGAAAACTGAATACCACTTTAAATCTTCACTACTACCCACAGAGCTCAATGACAATTTTCACTACTTGGTTCCAAAGCAAAATAACCATGCTCTTTCTACACCCCATATATAAATAAGTAAAAGGGCATTCTTGGGATGACCAGTTCACAAGGTTTGACCCAGTTATATTAAAGTTTCTCATTGAGTCAACCAATTTATGCTGATTTTGTAGCCAAGTCTCTTTTTTTTTGTCAGGCTCCACAACTTAGATGCTAGAGTAGTATACCACCTAAATTTAAACACTAGTTACATAAGAACAGTTCCCTTTTCTATTGCATAATCATGTTTGCCTGAAGTTAGTATTAACCAGCAAATAAATATTAAACAGGTATAAAATGTTAGATAGTAAAGAGGTTCAGGATAAATAAAATGAGATGAAAGATTAAGTACATGAATGATTCAATAAATGGATAAATTAAAAAACTGACACTTTCCTTAAGCCTTTACCAGGGTGTTCTTGGGTCTAAAAACACATAATAACTTGGTCTCCCTCAAAGAAAAAATGTTCTTCACCATAACTTTAATTCTGCTATCTGTCACATCATACTAGGTGAGAGTCACGGATAAACTATCAAAATATTATCTGGGCGATATTAATTATTTCACTAAAATTTACCTCCTCATCCAGTCTGTATAATATTAACCAGTGGAACAACAAAAGCTTTAATGCACATAAAAAAAACTTTTGGTTCATTGTTGCAATGCTTTCGGATTTTCCTTGACGGCCCCAAGGAGTATACGTCATCTAAACTAAAACATTGACTAACTGAAAGCTCAACACCTCTTACCTTTCTCTTCCATGTTTCTGGCTTTAACAAAGACAAATTCTGTGCTCAATTGCTGTCATTTTCAGTGCCGGTTAATCCTCCCCCTCCGGCTAGCCGCCATGTTGACTGCGCCGCAAGTACTGGGTTGGACTCTCCTCAATCTCTCTCGAGAACAAATCTTGGCTCCAGACTTTCTCGCGTTATTTGTTTAGAAAACATTGCCCGAGGGGGAGCGTTTTGATAGAGGCTTACAATTTTGAAAGCACGCTATCTGGTCTACGTTTCTTTTTACGGTATCTTCGTAGTCGAGTTTAACGTTTATATAACATTTGTATAATCTATGGCTGATGTAAAAGATGAAGAATTTGATCTCACCTTTTTGGACGAAGATGGTATCGATGTAGATGTACCTGACGCCGCTTCAACCCGACTTATTCACCTCGACAAAGATACGGAAATCCCGAAACGATATTTGATTCGCAAGATTTTTTCACCGCATTTAGAGCCGCCAGCTCATTACCACCCTGCTGCAGAAGAGTCCCAAAGAAGGAAAAAGGTACCAGTTGTTTTGTGTCACCGTCTATATTTTTATGACCAAGCGCGCGACATTGTGCAAAAACCGAAAGGTTGTCTGTTGATTATAAAAGCATGCCCCGAGAGATTTGATTTCACAGATGTCAACGCCACAGGATAAGCTTAGCTTACGTTTAACAGATTTCGGACAATTGGAATGAAATAGTTCAAAGTGAATTCCCTGTATTTTGTTATCTAATCACCGGTTTTTTTTTTGAGGCTCCTCTCAAAATTGTCAGCCGACCATGTAGCTAATGAACGATGTTTTTGTGCGAAATGGAGAAATGATTGACCACAAGTAATGCGCTAGGTGCAGTTTTTGTCGCTGGTTGTCTGGTTATATCGTCTTTTATGTTATAAATGTTTTAACTGAAGATATTAACCCCTCGGTGTGTATTTAGTAGGGTATTTCCGGCTTTTTCTCTAACAGGAGAAAAGCGAAAGTTCGACATCGTTTATGAGCGGGAACTCAGTCGTGTGTAGGCAGTATAACTTCTGCCATTGCCCAAAAGAAATAAACATCTCTAAATCTTTTATCTTTGTAGAAACCTGACATGTTTGCCTGTTAAGCCTAAAGTGATCCCATTTGCTGTCAATTTTGTAGTATTTCTTTTATACAGCGATTGGCGTAGGCCAGCTTGAAGTAGACAAATTCAGCGCTTGCTGTTATTAGCATTGTTTTATCGCATTAATTTGACATGACATTTGTAAAAAATGGCATTATCAGTGATTGACATCTTGTCAAGTTTCGATAAATTGAGTATCAGCGGAAACGTGTTGAATGTCGTGTTCTATGGAAAATGGATAATTTTGAAAATTTAAACAATGTTTTGTCCATACTTTTAAATATTATGGAAATTTTTGCAGATGACAATGTCACCTTTAAATCTAGTAAATAGGAACACTGTGAAATTAACAAGTCTGTTCAAATTGTGTGTTTGACAGTTTCCTTTTTTATTTAAACACACACATGTACTGTTTATTTAATTATAAAAGGCATTTTTTCCTGCAATACCTAGGGAGCAGTCACTTTTTTTAAAAATTGTCATTAAAGTAAGTATGCTAATCAAGATGGAAATGAATGCAGCAGGTTCATTTGAAGAATTAGCAGTGAAACTGATAGTAGTAATCAGAAAAATTGTTTAGAGTAGTTGAGTATATCAGATTTAACAATTTTATCTTGAAAATCAGGAGTATGTTTCATTCTTCAGTTTCATCATTGAAAATATTTCCAAAGTACTGTGACTTTCACAATAAGATATGAAGATATATACATGTATTTATTATGCACCAGGCAATACTTGCATTCAATCCTGGATGTTAGTGTGACATAAATCTAGAAAAGGGGGATGGGGTAGGGGGGGGCTAAAACAGAACCTTGAGGTCAGGGAAAGTAGTTTCACCATTATTTTAACACTTTTGACTTTATTTCTGTGATTACTAAGAGTATAGATGTTGGATAGGAAGAAACCATGAGTTCCAGGGAAGTAGTGTTACTGTTAAGATTTTTAACACTTTTGACTTTATTTCTGTGACAACTACATGTAAGAGTATAGACATTGGATTATTGTGGAGGATTTTGTTTTTTTGTTGTTGTTGTTTTTTTTTTTATAATAACTGACTCAAAAGAATATTTCCATCAAAAATATTGTGTAACCAGTATGAGGGTTCAGAGATCTTTTAAAGAATTGTGAAAAGAGAAAATAGCAACAGTACAGTCTGAAAAAAATAGCAAATAGCATGGCATATTTATTAATAATTGTAATGGCACTGAGTATAGTCCAACTTGGTCTGTAATCATACAAGTGATTAACAAAATAAGACGACTGATAAGCACAAGTTGGATTTGCTAGTCACAACAATAACTAATGAATTAAATTTGTCGAATCACAAATAATTAGTGAAAAATAAAGCAGCTAATGTATCTCTAACATTTGAAGAAATTGTAATGTTATGATAAATCATTTAATTATGATTTTTATAAATACCAGGTATTTGAATTATTCAGCTACTAGCTAACATAGATTCATTCTCGATGCTAAATTACAATATCTGTGAAGGGAATACCATTAATACAATACTTTTTATTTCTCTTGAAAGGTTCACAGCAAGTGGGGTACTGAAGTAATCAAAGGTCGGCATAGTTATTCCAATCAAGATGACCTTGTAGCCTTATTAAGCTTTGAAAATACATCTAGTTCTCGTAATTCCAGCCTTGATGAAACAACCATCAGAAAAGTAAGACAAGTTTTATCACAGAAGAGTGGAGATGACAATCTAGAACCTCTACGCCATAGTGCTCTTCAGCTCTTAATGAAGTTTTCCAGTACTGCCACTTACGACAAACTGGGGCAATGTTTTTTAGAGGGAAAAATTGAGGAAATATCTCATTTAAAACTCACTGAGATTCAAGGTTTGTTTCAATATAGGAAGTGAATTTTATTCTCAAAAAATTGTGAGTGCAATTATGCATCTAATGCTGAATAAGTCTCCATTGTTACTTTAGATTTTATTTGTGCACAAAACTCTTAGTGGTAAGTCTCTAACTATTTATTGGCTTTACATAGTCCATTTTATCCGAAAACAGGACCCTGAAGGATATTTTTCCTACAGCTCCCACTCTCCCATGTTACATGAAGGTTGTTACATAAATTCACATTTACACCGAGAACAGTTAATCTTGTGAAGTAGGATTGAAATATAGTCTTATCTTATTTTGCGATGTTTTCATACATGCAAGTGTCATCATAAGCTTGTCTCAAAATGTATGTTTACCACCTCAGCTATGGGCTCATCCTTTACTCCTAGCAGGCTTAAAAAAAAAGGGAAAAAAGGATTTTACAGAATTAGCCATTCATATTAGCAGTGCTGCATATTTTTGCCATGATAAGGGGCTATGCACTCCCTAGAAATGAAAGAAAAATAACACTGATTTGATGTGTTTGTATCATTTTCAGCTGTGTCTCTAATAATTCCCCCACCATGCTTCATAGAGATAGCCATGCCTACTGATGAAGGCTCAAATCTCAAGGAAACCCTTTCCTCACTGTTGGTATCACATCATTCTACTTTCCCATTCTTAAGTGTTAGAGAACCAGAACACAAATTTAACAATGGATCAAGCCCCTCAAATTCTCCAGCATCTAAGACCAGACGGGTGGATAATGGTGGTCTAACAAAACCTGCTGTAGGTGTGATGCTAATGTTTACACAGCGAGCAGAAAAAAATTCTGAAAGCTGTTTGAGTGTAGTAAGAGGTAACTCTAAAGAATGGGAGCAAGTCAATGTGCCACAAGGAATTGCAGAAGGACCTGGTGATGAGGTTTATTTCAAAGCTGCAAATAGGGAAGGGCCTGTGTTTGCAGTCAAGAAACTGTCACCTGGTTCTGGAGTTCGCATTATACTTTTTGTGAACAAGGACATAGACGAAGTAGAGCACTTTTACCACCTGATCACTGGTAAGCAACCACTACACCTAAACAAGATCGAAGAAGGCCTTAGTACCCGCACATTCCCTCTATCACCCAAACTGGAACTGCAACTTGTTTGTCATCCAGCCCTTACATCACATCCTGTGAAAAATGCTGCTCTTTGCTTCATGTTGAAAGGGAATGATGTGAACGAAATGTGTTCAGAAATTCCTGGTGGACTTCGGAACATTGGTGAAGGACATTGGCAAGGAAAAGATCCAGAGGGAAATGCTGTTATACTTTATAGTTTACTAAAATAGACTGCAACTGTTGTTTCTTGGGTTGCTTGATAGATGTATATCTTGTGATATCTTTACCTGTAAGTAGCAGTTGTGAAGGTGTACATATTTTGTGCACTGTATATTTTACTTTCTCCAAGGTGTGGCTTAGTCAGTTTTCTTTACATAAGGACAAACATGACTGACCTGAAAATTTTGATGTCACCTCATTTTTGGAAGAAATAAAAATTTATCACTAACCCTTACACCCTAATATCAGTGTCCATGTTCTCGATACTCCTCTCTATACATTTCCTTCAGTAATTTGTTATCAATAAAAGCTTCTTACACAGAATTAGGCTCACAATCACCTTTGTTATTCCCATGATCTTCGTGGAATATTCAGCTGTATTACTTTAGAAATTAGATGCTAGTCACTGTTGAAAGGGCGAAGTTCACAGCATGTGGTTATGGAATATCCTTATATACAGCTTTCAGAAAGCAATCAAGTGTTCTTTCTCTAGTCAAAGAGTGTTTTTATTTAATTTAATGGATATTTTTAATAACTTTTATTTAGTAAAGTTCCTTCTGTCAGAATCCAAAAACTGAAAACAGATGAATATAGCTGAAATCAATGTAAAGTGAAAACTCCAATGGCATGAAAAAAGTTTTAATAACAACAGACTTTGTTAAGACACTCAGAGGACTATATAGATTTTGTACACATTCTGTAGGATAAGGTTGTGAAAAAATCTCCCTTAAATTAAAGCAAGGATATTATAATATTTCTACAAATATCCAAGTAGAATCTACTCCACAATATGAACTTCAACACTTAATCTGCCTTTTTTTTGTTGCTTAAGATAGATAGTAACGTATAGAGGTAACAAGAAATTTGCTTTCCGTGGCAGTCACGTGTAGATATCACATATGGATTAATTTAGTTTCAATTAAACATCTAGTATCACTGAACAAGGTATGGTACTTAGTGGTATGGTATTCATGGTAGGTTATTGAAGGCACAGCTGTTGTAACTTACCGGTAATCAAACATGAAGCAGCAATGGTAAAAGATTCTCTGTCTGTTTTGTCTTATTTTTTTTATTTTTTTTTTTGTTGGTTGACTACACTTGCTGATGTTTCTGAATTATACTGATTGAGAAGAACAATTCTACAACCTCACTTACCTGTTTCCCAGAGTCCTCTCTTTTCCTCCCTTGAGAGAGAAGCCTAGGAAAAAGTTTACAACCTCACTTCAACGTTATTCGTCCAATCTGCACGATTTTTGATCAACTGTCCTTGACAGCACACAAAACAGTTTAATACGTCCCTTAGTTTCCTGGTCTACCTTGCAAATGTCTAAAGTTAACTCTGTTGTGACAGTGAATTTATTACTATTATTTCAATTATGTCTAGTCTTGTTATTAATGAGTGCCAGTATTTCTTTGAAATAAGGAAATCATTTATTACTAGCCTGTTAAACCAGCGGAAGGGGCTGGTAACTTCATAGTTTTACCATAGTGAATTAACTGCAATGATGGAGCCCGATTTACGTCTTTCCCCGTTGACATTGTCCTTATCTTTGACGGGAGTTGCAGAACTAGATCCCCACGCCGACGTGGAGGTAATGTAAAGAATGAGTATGAAATCCCTCTCTTCAATATAAAGCCCTAATTTCAGCAGCTTAGCGAAGGGCACCAACTCTCCGATAAATTTGGGCTTTATACTTCCCAAGGTCAAGCAATACTGAATATATGGCAATTTAATTTTCATTTAAGGATTAACATATCAAATATAGGTCAATATACAGGTGAACAAATATAGCAGGAAAAAAAGTCTTTTTTTTTTTTTTATTCTTTGGTGATTAATAAAAGAAATGATTAGACAATTAGCGCGCTTAGCTCGCAGGATTGTGCGCGCCACCAAGCACACGGGTTTCTTTCAAGAGAAACAACTGAAGGAAGGACTTAGGGCCGGCTATTTACTCGAAGTCTAACCCAAACCACGGTTTTACGCAATCAGTTGACCTGAGGCTTTCTTTGCATGAGGGTTGATTTAATCAAACAAATATTCTGGCAATGTTAACTTTAGGCCCTCTTTACACTGTTCACAAAGATAAATGTTCGGATAAAAGGTTCAGTTGGATTGAGGATCGTTTAGGACGCAGTTTCATCAAACGACGGCTGAATTTCTTTTAATGACCATACCTTAGAATTTTAACTAAGCCGAGAATCAAGCGCTCAGACCATTACCAACCCGCACTGGGCAACTGGTAGAAACAGACGCAAAGAGAACAGGGAGAGGGCGAATGAATTACCTTGTAGCTGAATTTTAACGGCATTGTGGACAACAAGGGAACGAAGAAAAGTTAAGAGACTTTATTTATTCACTTAGAGACTGTAATTGCCAAGCTAATGGATGTCATTGCCGTCTGTTTTCTTTTGAAAAACTATTAAGGAAAAATATGCAGGTGAACAAATGAAGCGGACAGTTAAAAACGCCACTTCTCCCCTTTTATAATCAATGCCAAAAGTTACATTGTCTGAAGTGTAAACGTATTAACAGGCTGGAATTGCAACTCACTCGAACTGACTGAGGCATTTTAGGTGAGTTTGATTCTTTATCATTACTTCCTTTTTCCAAAAAATATTTCTTTCGTTGTATACTAGTACTCACAGCGAAACGTTTCGAAGCTACAGTTTAGTGCAATTACACACACCCCTTGATCGTGGGAGACTGAGATCTCAAAAATTTACTCTTAAAAGTTAAAATTAGCAAGAATTAAACTCAAGGTCCAACTAAAAGATCACAGAACTCAAAAATTGTATCTTTGAATGGCTTGACTACACAAAAATCCAGATCACTAACTATCCTGAAGCGAGGGACTGATCACAAGTAACCTCATGTAAGAGAGACCCCGGGCGCCATTTGTAGTAGATATGCTTCAAGATCCTTAAACCGCTTGACGTAAAAGCTGGTAACACCCTGCAAATCTTTCATGACGTAAGACTGTAACTCACGTGTTGTTTGATTGATGTAAGTTAGAGTAGACTTACCCTCCTGCCCCTCAGTTTCTCTAATGAGTAACCCTGAGCACAAGTGCTCTTTCCGGTTGTACTGTGGGTATGGAGGTAGCGTTGTCAGTATTACTGATCGGTAGGCGATGGTGAAGTGGTCTCTGCCATCACTTGGAGCTCTGCGTGACACTAGTAGTACTACGTCATCTGGTTTCGTTGCGTTATGCATCTTGTTCTCTAGCACCATATGGAGTATCTCATCATCGTTATCAACGACTTCCATCACTTGAACTTTAATCAAAAGAGGATCCCATTCTTTGCGGGCTTTCTCGTCCCTCAGTAACGTGAAAATAACTTCAGCCCGGAGCTGAATAGAGAGCGAGACCTTTACACAGAGATAGTTGTCACTTTCACACTTGGAGAGCGTGACACCATCAGACGATTGCACCTCTTGCCATTTTGTTAGCTGGTATAGTTTCACCAAAGCCTCTATGTTGTTATAGTTAAGCAACTGACCATTGCATTGGTTCCAAGGTACGGCGATCACAGGACCAACAGATTTGCGGATTTGTTCACGCTCAAAGCGCAGGCGTTTTCGAGCCATAGCCTCTAATGCTCGTCGTTTTTCTTCGTCCGTCCCCATCCTTAACTTGGGTAACATTTTTAAGCCTCCTCTCCCATCACCGCACCGCGGAGCCGCAAAAATCAAGAACGCACTATTTACATGTCGCACCTCACCACCGATGGAGTAAGCTTCTACTCGACATCCCACCTCCATATGGACGTCATACGTGTTGTTCACCATCGTCTTGATGACCACTCGGTCTCCCACTTTGATGGGTCCACGGAACTTGACCTCATCGACTGCTTCCAGTTGCGGGTAAGACCGACACAAGCGAGTAGCTGTGATGGTGCAAGCGGCTACCATCCATGCCATGATCTGACCCCCGAATGCTGTTTGATGATGGTTTGCATGTGGAGGAAGAACTAGCTCTACACTTTCTAGCGAGGTATTAGCAGGTACAATGTCTCCGTTAGTGCGGGTCTCATTCTCCGAACTGCACATTTCACAGTCAAGCTGTTCATTGTGCTTTTTAGCAAGCTCTCTCAGGTTGACTGGGTATTGAATACGCATTCTCCTCCTCTCGTTGGCGAGAGTGTATTGTGATTTCTCCTCCTCTGTGAAAGGAACCACGGGGGTCAATTGCTGTTTTTGGTGGTTCTTATCCAGGGCTACGAAAGTAAAGAAAGCGTTGCAAACATTTTTTATCTCGCCACTAAGCAGGTCTTCCACTCTTATCGACACTCCAACTTCCATACTTGTATGGAAAGCGCGATTTACTCTCGCAGTGATGTTAACCACTTGGCCAACGTAGATTTGTTGTTCAAAGTAGAGTTCGTCGATGGAGGCCGTCACACAAGAAGTTCGAGCGTGTTTCTCAGCCGACAGACAAGCTGCTGCGTCCATCCACTTCAAAAGTTGTCCACCACTGAGGCAGTGTTCTTGTCGCTCGTTTGTATGCGAAGGGAGAACGAGCTTATTCATTTCAACTTCGGTAATATTCTTGTACGAATCCATTGTTGCAATTACTATTAACTTGTTTCCTCTTTTGTTGTGACCTCGTATCTATATTCAATGACTCAATAATCGAGAATAACCGAGAATAACCCAATGACCCAATAAACGAGAAAAGCGAGAATACCAAAGGCAGTTCGAGTTATGACTCACTGCCGTGAATTTCAGCTCCTCTGAGTCAGATTACGCGGTTCATAGACTTTACTTGCATTGACGTGTTTAAATAAGTTTGTAAACACGTGAAGTAATTTGCATGTTGTGTGACCTCATGTTCTTTTGACTCTTTAAGAAAGGGATGGCGTGACAAATGGACGAAACTCCGGCTTAGAGATAAAGGAACACATCAACCAAAACATTCTCAAACAGCATACGAAACTTCACCCCAGAGACAAAAGATAGTAATATTGGAAACTCGCCAAATCATACTCACAAAGCTTCGATAGTCTCACGCTCTCTAAAAACACATTTCTGATATTTATCTATCTTTTTTCGGTTTGCTTCTTGTTTGTTTGGTTGTTGTTGTTGTTGTTGTTGTTTTTTTTTCCAAGTTTTGCAATTTTTCTTTTTTCCTTGTCCCTTATTTTTTGTTAACTGTAAAGGTTTGATTGAGAGTTTTGTTTGAAAGGAAGTGCATTGGTTCACCTGCGATAGTTCTCCTTTATTTTGGGATTGAACATAGTAATGGCGAAGGGGGTCGACAGGTCGATGTAAACTTCGTGAGAAACCTGAAATTGTCCAAAGAATCAGCTCCCTCAAAGCATACATAATAATATTAGGTATGAAATATAACAATCCTTATCCCTTCAGTATCTAAAATCGAGCAGCCAAACGGACCAAAAGGCCATTGAAAGATAAAAAAAAATATTTTTAAATCCTTCTTTTTAAGAAAAAAAATCAACAATTTATCTACTTTCGAGCTCGTAGGGTACGCATGGGTGTACCTGCCATGATATCAAATAGCACATATGAAAGAGAAAAGGGCGAAGCCTATGGTGATGTTATCATGACAGGGTGGGAACTACCCAGTCAAATGAAAGAACCAGAGGAGACTGGTTGATGAGTGATGACGTTTATGAAACATGCAGTGAAATAAGTAACTCGCAATAGGCCTCATTATCAGCACTTCCGAATCGGCGAATCTAACAAGATTTCAGTGAATTCTAACTTTCCACCCAGTCGTGTTCAGGAGGTCGCATTTCCTCCCACCCCCTGAAAAAGAAACTCCTAGGAAGGCTACGGCACTTTTCCCTATCTCTTAACCCCCCCCCCCCCCCCCCCAAGGCTGATTAGTCTCTTCAACGTGAGGTTCAGTGATAAAGCTACAAAGTTTGTTAGTATGCGATTATGTTTTGATCTATTTTCTGCGCGGTTTTACTCAGACTACGTCACTTTTCGGGCAAAAAGGTATATAAAAATAAAAAACTTTGTGAGTGTTTACATAACTTAATCTGAGAACATGATTGTCTCTAGTGAATACAATCTTGGTGCTCCTATAAAAAAAAAAAAGAAGAAAAATAAGGAACAATTATTCCACAATATAACCTTGGAAGCCTGAAGAAAAATATTGTCAGTATGATAACCGATATTCAGCGGAAAAAGGAACATAAAATACCTGGCTCTCGGTCCATCTGAGGCATGAACACTACATACTCCATAGTTCATTGCCCAGAGCCCACTGAATATCAAGAATGGGCTATCACGCCACTGATTATCAGAGAATCCGCGTTTCCTTTCATTTTGCATATTTCTTTTCTAAACTAACATAAAAAAAAACGCGGCGATCATTTTAAGAGCGCTTCAGTAAGGTGACTTAATCTGCGACCAATCAGAATGTTTGCATCTTTATAATCGCCCTATGGTATACTAGGAAAATATAACGTGCAAGACTCCTGTAGATTACTATGGATACAATTGTTGTTATTAAGTCCGTAATTTGAATTTTAAATTCTATCTTTTGCATTTGAAGAGAATTTACTTTTCACATTTACGTAAGGCTTCCCCGGGCGTTCCTGATTCAGCCACTAATTTCTCTGATTCGTTACGTACAGCCAAAACAGGAGCTGTAGAAGAAACTGTAAAAGACTTTCACGGGCGCCACAAAACTATGACAGAGTGGAAATATTGTCGCTTTATAATGGTCATTGGTAGTTTAACTGTGCTCTTCCTGGTTGGGAGATTGTTGGAGTTGCCCTTAAAGAAGACTATAATAGGTAAGCTTGGCAAAGCTGCTCATTAAGAAAGAGAGGTCTTTTATAAAAGTTTACAAGAGGGAGGTATTTAGTTAAAGTATTTGAAGAGTATCGTTGAAAAAAAAAAACATATTATCTTGCCCTTTTAAGGGTACCAACAAAGTTTCTATAGTTTGGTAGTGCTACGAGAATGAAATGTACTCTTTTTGAAAAACTATCAGGTTTACATTCGAAAACCCGTTTTGATGTATTGGACAAAAAAGTTAATTCAAGTTGTTTTTATGTAGCCCCCCGGCGAGTTTTCGTTTCAAACTTAATCATGGATTTTTCAAGCGATAACGAATTGCATAATTCGTTGATACAGAGGCTAGTAATTCATCGCTGGTAAATTTGTCCTTTTGGGATAAAAACATTTGATGCCTGCAACTGCCACATCCTCGGAGACCATATCCCTCGGTAAAACCTTTGATTAGAGGTGAATAACTAAAAAAAATTCATGACAGTTATCAAGGAAAGTAAACTATAATCGCAGAATTTTTAATAATTCAAGTACTCTATCGTTTGATCTCTCTGCCTCCTAAGGGAAGTAGATTATTGTCGGTGAATTAAAACACCAAATCAGACATTTTTTGTAGCGGTAACACAGACTAACAACTCGGGAAAAAAAGGTTACGATTTTCTTCTTTTTCGGTTTTAAAAGAAAAACATTTATTTTGAAAATTTTGCAGAATCGGTCGGGTTTAATAATATTGCCATGCATTAACAAACTTTTCTTTCAGCGTATTCCTGTATTAGCTTGGAATATTCAGCGCAGCTGATCACAAATGGTCTTTATTTTGACTATATCATTCTCAAGAGTGTCCAAGAAGTAATTTAACCTTACAATATCAATACACTATTAAGCAGACTGGCGATAAGAAAATAAAAAAACCGAGGTAAATCATTTGATTAAAAAAAAAAAAGAAACAAACTCTCACGACTAATTGCATAAGAAATGTCAGGTAGAAGGTTAGGATGAGTGCTGTTTACATCTTGGAAATGAAAGGGTCAAAGGCTCGCCGAAGCTTTTAGAAGTGCGCCTCTGTTTATCCTAAGTTGTGTTATGTACCGCTGGTCATCATACGAGCTATTTGCTTGTTTTAAAAGGAATACAACGCTATCTGTTGGAGGGTTCCTGAAATATACTCAGGATCTCTATTTCTCTGTTTAAAAAGTAAACATACATTGATAAAATCTTCTTGCTTTGTACAGGACCATTTGTCATTGATCCGGGTGGAACCACAAAGAATAAAACGGTATCTATTTGTCTCTTGGTTAGAATCTCTTCTCACAGTTTTATTTTGTGTAAATCGACAACCTTTAAAATCCTAAAATATAACATACATGGGGCAGTAACGAAACCAAACTTATTGGAAACAAAAGACAAATGGGTAGCGTTTATTTCCCAGCGAGATCATACAACTGTAACAGTGTATTCAAAGACCAGGTTATGTCTCGGAAAGACTTCAGGTTAAATGGTCATTTTTAACTCTAGCCGCCTTAAGTTCTTGGCGTGTTTGAAGAAAATGCTAACCGACAAGAGAGATGAAAGAAAAAAGGTTCCTCAGTCTAAAATACTAGAATACCTTTCTTGATCTGCACAGTTCATCGATAAATTCCGTGGAAAGCCAGCTTAAAAAAAGGATGGTGTGCGAAATACTGGGCTGTGAGAATAATTTTCCATTCAGCGGAGGTTACTGTATGTCAGGTTGCTCTATTATTTGAAGTTGGACATTTTATGGTAAAAATTCTGTAAACCCATATCTCTTACGCGTGACCACGACAGAATTTCCCCTTACAATAACGATACAATAATGAGAATAAAGCAAAATATCAATTGGAGGATTAGTTGATCCAACACCAAATTCTCAGAACTAACGCTATGAGAATTGTATGGCAGACAGTAAGGAGAATTACTTATGAGATGTGGGCGTAAAGGGGTCAGTAATGGAATATTCAAGGAACCCTTGCTCGTACAGAAGCCCATGTCGTGTTATTTACTTCAGCATACAGGGTGTCGGTTAACCTCTGATTCTGGTACGTTTCGCAAAGTTAGCAAGCTTTTTAAAATTACTTTTCCCTTTATGACAACGTTCACAGCTAGTTAGGGTTTTTGGTATCAAATGGGCTCAATTTTAGGGTCTGTGCCCTCTTCACTCAACCTTTATTCAAAATTTACTGTCTTGCAACGCGGGGCCATCCTGTAAGACAGGGGTCCGCTGAATGCAAGTATAGAGGAGGACAATAGGGACTTTAAGAAAACCACGAAGGCAATGGCAACGAGAACGTCACGTAGTAAACAAAAGGTTTAATGAGCAGAACAATGGCCCTGCACTTGCATTGTAAATCTTCGTAAATTTCTTTGCGTCCTTTTATGAAATGACCAAAATTTACGAACGTGAACGACAACAGCTAATTTTCTTAATTTTCTAACGCTGTGTTCCATATTTAGCTTAGACAGTGGGAAGAGTATCGAGATTCGTCATTTTTTTAACCGAAGTTGTCCACGGCGTCGCCGTCGGTCGTTTCTTAAACTCCGTATTATCAGGACTTCCGCTAAATGTAGGGTCAGCTACACACTGGTTTCACTGTAACCCCCAGAATGTGCCTATTAAACATCGGAACAAAAATAAGTAGTCTACATAGTTTTGAGCACTCTTAACATTTGAAACTATTGTCACTTTTCGTGTGCTCTCTGCCACATGTGACTACCGTTTTTACTCTTACAGTCAAACACAACCTTGGCGGTTAACGATGCTTTTACGAGAGCCGCCAAAACACAAGCAGCAAGAAAAAGACACCTGACACATTATTGCAGGACACATTCTGAAAATCCAGAACTACCTGATAAACAGCAGCTTGGGCAACTTCTTGTCGACGATGACGAAAATTATATCTTTTGCTCTGTTCCTAAGGTTGCCAGCACAACAATTAAGGGAATTTTGTTGAGTTTGCGAAATGACAGCGATAAAATTGAGAAATTTTCCGTGCATACGCCGAGTTTGTGGCAACACATGAGTCAATTCAACATAACGGAAAACTCAAAACGTCTAATGACACATTTTAAGTTCCTTTTTGTACGTGAGCCGTTTCACCGTTTACTATCCGCCTACAAAGACAAATTCTGGGGGAGTAATCGAATCTACACAAATGGTTTTCGCCGAATAATAGTCCAAGAATTCAGACCTCAAGATATTGAAACAATCAGCACTACAGCTAACAATGTGACTTTCAATGAATTTCTCAGGTACATTTTAACTTATCCTGATTCCTTCATCTCCCGCGATGACCACTGGAAACAATACGGAAATCTTTGTTTCCCTTGTGTCATTCAATTTGATTTCATCGGCCATTATGAAACGTTAGACGACGACGCCACTTATTTACTAAAACTGGCGGGAATTGACGACCGCGTGGTTTTCCCGCCAATTCATTCGTCGAGAGCTGACGATGATTTCCTTAAATTCTATTCACAAGTTCCACACCAGCTTATTTTTCGAATAGGAGAAATTTTTAAGAAAGATTTTAAAATGTTTGGTTATTCCTTCCCTGGACCCTTAAAAGAATTACTTAAAAACTATACAATGAATACTAACTCTGATTCTAGGAAACATGAGTAAAACTCATATTTTTAAAGATCCATATTATTTTGTGGAGAGAGACGGATGACAAAGTATTTTTTCCAGGCTGACTATAGGTACTAGGGGAATCAATACAACTACAACGAATGCTCTGTCTCTCAGAAGTGGAAAAATAAAGTCACTTCTTGAAGAAATCAGATATCATTCTCTGGTTGTTTGGTGTGGAACATTTCTTTTGATTTTTCGAGCTTGGTGATGGATGCTTTTCTCTGGGAGATAATAAACCTGCTTGACTTGAAGTTCGTTTGGTGGCAAAACCAGACGAGCACAACTTAGACTCTTCGAGGGGTGGCATGGGACGTTTGCTTTCAGACCCTTCGGACTCTGTTGTAGCAGATATGATGGTTTCAGATACCTTAACGTCATCATCTTTTCCAGAAGCCACCGTATCAAGTGAGTCCTTTTGAATGACAAGCGATTTTTTTAAAACGGAACTTTCATTCTTTTGTTTGTCTGGTGTTGTGGGAACATTTGAGCAGAACCGTAACATGCCAGTGTTGGAGATCTTGCTTTTCCAATCGTACGCCATGTTTCCTATTTCCTTTGTCAAGTTCTTTGAGTTAATGATTGGCTAAAAGCGAACATGAACAGATTTGTCACCTGAAAAGCTCTGCAAATTTTGCCCCACATGTACTCGTTTTCAAATCATCTAGCCTAGATGAGTGTTTTACTTCAGAAAAAAGAGGCCAATTTCATCGAAAAAGTTAGTGTTTCCTCAGGCAGGTCACAACCGAGATATTAGACATAAAATAAACTTTACAGGAGAAAAAATAGAAAAAATTACTTCAAACACAAATCTCTCGTCGAAAGCTTCTGACCCTACCTGATCTTCATGATCTGTTCCCCACATAAAATAAATTGGTCCTTGTATTGAATTCTGCAATTCAGGCGAGCGTAAGCGCTTTCCCCAACTGTGGATAGAAAAAAAGAGTTACGGGTGGAGAGTGAGTTATGAGTAAAGTCACCACCTCCCTAGTTAAGGCAAATGCGAGACAGTTTGTCTCCCCAAACCGTGAGACCCGGGGGCTGATCAGGCTTCTGTTAAGGGTGAAACGTAGAAAAAACAGAGCTAAAAAAACTGTGGGTGGAATGAAAAGAGGAAGATGAATTTGTCCACTGCTGGGCGTTAAAACACTCACGTATACAACTGTGATATCAAACATAGGACTACTATAACGAGCGAGACTCGTAAATACATTGACACAGAAAGATAGCAACTGCTCCTACAAACCTCTTGATCTCCTCTTCACTTAAGACCCGTTGTTTCCCAACTCTGCGATGCACGCGGACATAAGCAAAGTCACATGACCCAAGCGCCATGATAATCGGTACCACTCCTCCACAACCTGACTCCTGTCAAAAAAACCAACTTTTTATACTCTCAGATTAATTTTGATGTCCAATTTTTTTTACTTTTACTCACCCTAACAAGACTCAGTATGTTTAGGATGAACACAAAAGAGTGATGAAAGCTGAAAAATTTAACAATGATGGAAGCTAAGGGAAAATTTTTTCTTTTTCAGCGTTGGTAGTAAAATGGAACAATAAAATAATGACTCCATATAAGGATCAATCAAACACTTATATAGAAAACATAATATGTGTCCTTGTAAAGTAAACGTTCTTTAAGACGTATAATCATCAAACTTGATATGTTCATGTTACTTGTAAAATGTACATAAGCCTACAGGCCCACAACTGCTTAATTTCATTACAACTTGTTCCTGTTTGAATAGCATGAAGCCAACAGAGGGTGTAGGGAGTGAAAGTACTTAGCCACTAACCCCCACCCCTCCCCTCTGCTGGATGTGAGGAAGGTCTATTGCGGCTAAACCCTTTCCAAAAGGCTTCTGACAGCTTCCAAGTATTCATTTGTACTCCAGGGTGCCCAAGTAAATAAGTAGGTAGGTAGATGTTCCAGAATTCAGTATATTAACAATTACTCAAAAAAGTTGGGTAAATAGTTGTGGATATTTACCAAGCCACAAAACAGCAAGATAAATATCCACCACTTTCACCAACACTGAGGTGTTTTTTTTAGCATAAACCACACAGATGGTGGGAAATTAAACTCTTGATGAGCAATTTTGATAGTACTTTCAACTCAATTCCAAACCAGCCATTCAATGCACCCTAAAAGCACTACTTGCCTGTATGGTATGTATTAAATCATAATTTGTAATGCTAATCTAACATAAGTGTATCCTGAAAAAGTGTAGCTATGATCAAAGGGATTTGACTGTCAAGATAAATGAAAGTACCTTCCCTTGTCCTTCTGCTGATTTGTTCTTTTCAACATAGAGCTGTAAACAAATTGGACATGGAATTTCAGAATTAATAAATGAACTCATTTTATGATACATTCCCAAAACCATCCAGCAAAGTTGGAACTAAAAACTGAGATCTCTATTGTGTCAAAAGTAGTTGTCATGACTACACCTGCTTGAACAATTGTCTGAATATTTTCAGTTTCCTAATACAAATAGAAAGGATGGAGGATAAAACTAGGAAAAAGTGCACAGCTATAGAGGGCTGCAATGAGTGGTCACCAAAACTATTCAGAATATAGAACAGAGGAAGAAAATTTACAAATATGACCAATTTGTAACTTAAATATCATCTAAATAGAACATAAACAGTAATTAACAAGCAAAATTTTGAGGTAGGTTAAGAATAAGAGAACCCCTAAAAGTGATTACAAAATGCTTCTCTAACCTCACTTTGCAGTTCATCAGCAACCACCAGACCTTATATGAAAAATAATCACAAAAAATAATTGATCTTTTATAAAAATGCACTGTTACAATATATAGTCATGTAGAGTCTGCACCTGAACAAAGTTCTAGCACACAAACTGCTGGAGCATGTCTTGGTTTCCATAGCATAAAGAGGAATCATAGAAGTATGGGTGTGTCCCTTAGATGGGGCACTTGTCAATCCCAAATTACTCTTTGTATCTACCCATGTTTCTGTGGCAATTCTTTGACACTCACTTCTGGGTTTTTTCAAGAAATATATAAGCAGGAAAACAATGTAACTTAAAAGGAAAGTACTCTCTACCTCTGAATAAAAAGCAATTCAGGCCATCAAACTCTTACGAAAGAATTTTATGATTTGTGATCTGTCATTCATATTCATGGATGGTGAGGGGCTCTTGTGAAAGTTTAGTGTCATACCTTTGTACAATACACTTTAGCCCCACCTAGAAACTCAGGAACTTTTAATCTTTTAATCTTTTCCTTCTAAGGAAGGTGTTGTATTACAGGCATGATAACATCTCAAAAGTAAACCCATTTGCCTCAGTTCTGGAGCAAAAATTTAGCCTCTGGCATTCTTCTAATTTTCTTATTCCAAATTACAAGTTGCTGTACTCACCAATATTGTGCTGTTTCAACCAGTCCAGGGTTGCATGTAAATTCTCAGTTGTAAACCAAACTCTTGAGCGAAACTCTACAGCCATAGGATAATTCACACCCAGAAATTTTCTACACTCCATAATGTGCTCCTTATTTTCATTGGTAGGATGAAAACCTAAGTGAAACTGAAGGATACAAAGTGATTTTACAAACAAACAATTAGCGATAAATATGAGATTGATCAAGCCTTATTAGCTGTAAGCAGGCTCAATTGGACAGCATGCTCATTTCTCTTGTGCTTAGACAACAATGTTCTTGTTATGTCACCAAGTACACTTGACACCATTTCGATGGTTTTCTGGTTTTTCCTCAAATCTTTTTCCTGGTTTTGATTAATTGTTAAAATTGATAACAGGGCTTAGCATATTCAATTCTGTTTGTAGTCATACTTTTCTTTGTGTCTCTTTAGCTATATCTTTAGGCCCCCTTCACCTCAAAATAACAAACAGTATGACTTTGAAAATGTTTTTGAATTCATAATACAATTTTTTTACTTTAACAAGATTGGAAAGAAATTTAAAGAAATGGCTGTGCAAATAACATGTACATTAATTCAAAAACCCTAACATGCATAATAAAGGAATATCTTGTAACAGAATAACTGGCTTTTGTAGATCATCATTTAAAATGCACATTCAACAACTAATCAAAATCAAGGAACATGAAGATATTCCTTGGTGGATGCTTCATTTGTTAATTTACAACAATTATCACCAGGTTACCTGGAAAATGACAACTCCCAATTTGTTTTTCTGATAAGCAGGTAGAATAGCAGAGTTGAATCTGTCCCAGAGCTTCTGTTTTTGCAGTACACTTAATTCCTCCCAGGTGATTGACATTTGTCCTCTAATGACATTCTGTGGAAGCTCATCTCTGACAACATGTGGTAGTGCTGACATAGAGATTGACTGAAAAACCAGAGCAGTTTCAATCCCTCTAGTCTGTCTGAGAGGTTTAACCCTTAAACTCCCAACATCTGATTGTTAATTCTCTCCTCTAGCTGCTATACAATTCTTAAAATAAATGGGACTTAGCAGCATACAGTTCAAGAGGTGACTCTTTTCCACTGTTTCCAGGTCAGAGTGGAATTTTAAAAAGTTAGTTTTTGCAGAGAGGGAAAAACTTAAAGACCTGGAGAAACACCCTGGAGCAAGGACAAGAAACAACAACAACAAACTCAACCAACATATAACACCAGGTCTGGGAATCGAATCTGGGCCACAGTGGTGGGAGGTGAGTGCTTTCACCACTGCGCCATCCCTAATTCCTTGAATTCTTGTAAATTAGTTGTGATAACTTTGTGTTGGATCAGGATATCACCCTCTACCAAATAAGTTTGAGTATTCTTGGTACCTGTTTGCTGGATAATACATGGATATAAGGAAAAGTTACATGTTAACCACTTCAGGAAGTTAAAGGGTAAAGCTCTCACTTGTTAGTTAATTTAGCAATATAGTCTCATGAGCTATAAATCTTTTACTATGTGAGTCAAGTCCTCTTAAGTCTCCAAAAACTATAAGCTCAAAGATGTAAGAGTTAAAATCCTTGTTCAGAAGTGTAAAGAGACTAGGAATGTATTTAATTCCTTTGAATAGAGAACTGATGCACTGCAAGATCCAGAAGATTTGCCAGGAAACCCATCTATCCTTTTTGATAGAGTTATATACTGTAGGAGCCTAGTATCTTGCTCAAGAACCAAACCAAATAATTCCTACTAAGTCTGAAATAAGAATTTTTCATTCAGAGTCTGAATATTGGATATTAGGCAACCATGTGACATGTGTCATTTCAAGTCAAGTATACTTGATGATGTTTTGTCTGGTGATCAGTATAACGAATTTGGGTCAAGAGTTCAACAGCATAAGCCCTAGCCCAGCTATTGTGTTATGTTACCAAATAACTTGTATGACCTTTCAAAAAGATTACATAAATAACCTGTTTGAGGGGCAAACAATGTAGCTCAAGCCAAGGGGGACTAATAAGCCCCATGGTCTAGAGCACAGCCCCACCAGATACAAAATACAATCACATCAGGGGAAGTAAAAATACTGTCACAAAAACTCTTCTACCCAAGGTAATAAATTTGTTGGAAAAGAATCACGACACTAGAGGCTTCCGATGCCCCTCGCTCCGCCTCCTCCACCCACCCAGTTGTAGTGATACCCCGCTGTGAAATTCATTATCATGTCCAACAGTTTATAGCTGTAACTTCTATGGTAACTCTTACCTTCCTTGTAAATAATCCAAATGCTTTGAAGTGGAACTTGAAACCCGTCGGAACGCACTTAAGCCATTTTTCCACTCTCATTGGACTAGGAATCGCATAATTACTCGTGTCGCATTCAACACAAGGGAAAAATCTAGAATAATGCAGTAAACGGTCTTCTGTTGTCTTAACTGAAGCTGGATAAAACCTTCCGCACTTCACAATCGACGAATCCGACCAACCACAAGTTCCCTGGAGAACTTTCCCCACGAGATCCGCACTATTCCCCGCCATTTTCTTGCTAGTACTTAGTCTCTATCCTAGTCTCCACTTAACGATTGCTCCTAGAGCATTGGAAAGAAAATTGATTCCAATATGGTGGACGTGTCAACATATTTGGGTCTTTCGTGTCTACAAGTTATTGTGAAACGTTGTTCCCCAATATTCTGAAGTAAAACCCAGAAACATGGAGTTTTGTTATTGAATTATTCCCTGATGTCATCTTGGGCCGGATTCACAGACGAGGAGCTCCTCCGGCTAAGACAGACTGCAGGAGAAGATAGGACAGCTCCAGGAAGCCTTAGAAAGTCAGCGATAAACACTGCAAAACGACAACGACCTCGTGAGAAAGTACGATCAAGAGGTACATCTTCAGGGAAACTAGATTCCGGGAAGAAAGAAGGAAATGAAGACCAGGGCGCGAGAGATTGCGCTCAGTTAGCGCCGCAGAACACAAGCTCCAGATCTAACGGTGGTCGCTCAACTTCACGACTTGATTCCAGGGAAGAAGAAAAGGAAAATTCTTCTCCAGAGTGTGAAAGGCGAGGAAAAAGTGTAAGCCAAGTGAAAGAAAGGAATTCTGTCCCTAAAGAATCGTCTTTAGAGACCAAGTCTCTGAAGAACGCCAATGATCAACAAGGAAAAGCTTTCGAGGTGGATGATGGCCATCAAGAGCAAAGCGGTATACTTACGGATAAAGAGGTGGAAATCGATCTCCCTAATATAATCGACGAGAATGATAGGTAGGATTAGGGAAAGGTATTATTAAAGTTTTATTTGATCAGTTTACACGGACAGTTGCTGTTGAGGGTACTTACCAATTTGCGAAAATTTGAACCCACATTCCATAATTGTAAGATTGGTCTCCTAGTGACTCATTTAATTAAAAGTAATTTTACTTCTTTTGCCATTGAACGCACTTTATGCCTTGTATGTTTGTCTTGTTAACTGCTTTCAATAAGCGCTGAACATTTTAGATAACCTATACAGAAAATATGGTGAGTAATCAATAAACTGTTTTGGTTTTTACACAATACCTGTAAGTGCAGTACATTCAATTTGGCAGAGGTACATGAAAATTTTTCGAATGTGTGGTATTGACAAAAAAAAAGTTGGGACACTTTAATCAAAAGACCAAAGTGATAAAAAATGATTTTCCCTCCTTTTTGTTTTATTTTACACTTGTACCCAACTAAGCAACTCTTTGTGATGAAAGCACAAGATGGGGGAGAGGGGGGGGGAATGGGGTTAAAGCCAATAAGGGGTGCACTTTGTCCAAAATGCATAGCAATAGGTGTTACACCCCTTGATGCTTACTGCATTTGTCAGACATCTGATAAAGTTTGCCTATTTCTAACAGTTTGTGACTAACTAAAGATGCTGCTTCCCAGTCAAGTCTATTTAGATTTTCTTGAAAAAATTAAGTTCTCTTTTTGAGCAATCACAGTCTCTGTATCCAAGTGAGGACCTATCCAAGAAGACAAATTATTAAACATATATTAATTAAAATAAACCTATCAATACTTTTAATGACATGTGAAATTCTCTAAACCTTTTGCATAGAATACAAGCAATTGAATTGTCAGCTTTGGAAAAGATGCAAGAAAAACAGAAACAGATTGAACAGGAAAATAAAAGAAAGAAAGCAGCTCTTCAGGAAACAATAAAGAAAAGGTATTCATTTACTAGTTCACAAATTCAAAAAAGGGCAAGTCAAACATATTGATTAATGATACTGTCTTTCCCTGATTAACTTTTAAAGGTTCAATTACAGGGGAATCAGTACAGGATAATAAGTGCCCCCATCAATTAAGCCTTCTTCCAATAAGCCCCCCTCCTTTCAGCTGAAATTTTGAATGAGTTAAGTTAAGTTAAGGATTATATAGGTTTTAAGTCTGAGGGGAACATATTGTCGCATACTTATTGACAGCAGGGTGAATATATCATATACAAAAATAGGAGAAAGCAGAGGGAATTTTCTAGACTGTGTAATGATTATATTTTGTGGTGTGAAAAGTTTGCATGAACAGAGCACTCATCAAGGAGGTCATTCATCACAATGGTTTCATTTATTACCAGTAACTTTTCTTCAGTTGTGATTTGTGCCTCTCATGTTGTCTTATTTTGTTTATTTTTTGTTTGGTTAGATATCAGAAAACCCAAGCAGAAGCACACACTCTTAGTTTAGTTCAGAAAGAGTTGAGCCATCTTGACAGTCTACTGTCTGCTGATGTAGCTATTCTTCGAGACAAGATAGAGGAGAGCAGTAGAGATTTCCTTAGTGCACAGTAAGTGAATAAGCACACTAACCAGTTTAAGTTTGTCAAGATGTTTCACAATGAATTCTCAGTTTTACATAGCACTTTTTCTCTAAATTTTATAGGAGTAAATTGAAATTAACTGCAGCACTGGCAACAGATATTTTTGTCTCGGCAGATTTCTAAGATGTTTTATTATTGACTCTTTAATCATCTCTCTGCCCCTAATGTCACTTCAATGAAGCGTTATCAAATTAGACAAGGGAACCAATCAAATTTAGCAGTTCCAATGGATAACATCTCATAAGATCACAGAAACATACACAGTTGCTTAAATTTATTTAAATCAGGCATAAATTTGTTGCCATACTATTTTGTGTTCTACTTGTCTACCATCTTGAGTCTGACATTTGACAGTTCCTAAACATTTCCTCGCTCAAACAAAAGTTCACATTCTGTCTTTAACAGGACTCTTATTGAAAGTATATCAGTATCATTGACCTCAACTGCACTCAATCTTTGACATGAAAGTCTGCTAAAAAATTGTAAAAAGTTTAAATTTTTGATTGCTAAACATGACACGTGTCCACGTTTAGATGAAAACAGTGGTAATGTTCACAGCAGGACAAACTACTTGAAACTTTATTTTCAGAAAGAGGTATGAAAAGGCAGAAAAAGAGTTCGTGGAGGCGAAGATGGATTTACACAGAAAAACGGAAAGGAAAGATTTGCTAACAGAGCACCTGTATACCATTATTAGAGAAAATGAATTAAGAAAGGCAAAAAAACTCGAAGAACTCATGGTAAAGCTTAATGTCGGGAACGATGTTGGCTTTTCAGCACAAAATGAGGGCGATGAAGCCATTATGGAACAGAACAATTCAGAAATTCCTGTACTATCAGAGGATAAGGCGAGAAGAGAGATTCCAGAATCGAATTCAGGTTCGGCTTTACATCCATGTCATGCAGTAGAAGACAAAACTCCTATCGAACAGACTGAAGTTGACATGGCAAAACAGAAAATGTTGTCTGAAGCGGTTTCAGAAAAAGAAGTTACAGTTCCGACCTGATTAAGCTTCCCTTTACTTTAGACAAACATTTCAAAAATTTAGGACCGGAAGTGACAATCATGACTCCAGGTGAACTACTTGGATATCGTGCTGGCTGACACTTCTTAGATACCGAGTGAACCTCATGAAATGCCAAAAAATCAGCAGAATTCGTTGGAAGACTTGATTTTATAGCTTAACTTCTCAATGGAACGTAGTTTTATATACTCCGCATTAGAGGAGTCATTCACCGTTCAGTTTTTTTAGCTGAATCTCTTCTGGGAAATAAACGTTGTAAATTACTATAAGAGGCTTGCTTATTTACTCGAACGTAACACAGACCTGTCGAATTAGCCACGCCCTCCTTTCGACCCTCCCGCCTTATATGAGGGTCTCAGTGGTGTTAACCGTTAGGCATAAAACGGACAAAATTGAACAGTTTGCTTTAAAAGTCTTCACCCCTTTGAGATCCTCTTATTAGCGTCTTTGTTATCTTCCACTCAAATTATAAAATAGTCGACCAGTGGAAATCGTGTTAGACACTAAAAACAATCAAACTCGGTCATTTGAGTGTTCCTGCGCTTCAAGCACTTTGCTTGTTCCACTTTGAGTTTTCATTGGCGAATGAAAAAGTTAATCTTAGTTCTGTTTGGTTACTAGGATTACTTTGTGAAACCTCTCTATTAAAGCAATTTCAAGTGTGTGTTTAGTGTAAGTGTTGCTCCAGGAAACTCGCGCCACTTTCTTAATTAATCAGATTCAAGATATAAACCAATGGTGGCTTGGTAACTCGTGTTATCGTGTTTTATTTTGAGTTCTACTGGGGCTCTTTGTGATAATTTATTCCGATTGGTTGAAGTGATTACTTTGGTTTTGGCTTTACAATCGAAATGCGCTTCACATCCTGTAATAATTTGCAGTTATGAGACAACGAGGATGAATGTAAGTGGTCAGAGTGAGGGGAGATAAAGTCCAACAAGGTTTATCGTTCATGGTGAGAACTTGCTGCTTATTTCATTTCGTCCTCAACTGAAAGACGTAAACAAAGCGGCAGAAATTTTGTCCTGGTCAATGTGTGACATTCATGAAATTTGCCATTTGTTGATTAATAACTAGGGATTCATAGGCAAATTCATTTCCTACCCACTTCCTCATCGTTAAACACCCCGAGTGTTGATATCGACATAAACTGAATCCATTGATCGTCTTTTGAGGAAACCACGAGGGTGCCATCGGAGAACAGGGCTATATCCGTGGGGCGTCCATCGATGGGGAATGCCTCGAGAAAAGTTCCGTCGGGTTTGTACGTTTGAATAGAACTAGATCCCCAGTCACACACTAACAATATTCCCTCTCTTGGATCAAAAGTCATTCCTGTCGGTAAAACCAGACGACCATTGCCATTAATTTCGTCGTCTTTACTCCCAAAATGCCGAAGAAAATCGCCATACTCGTTGTAAACCATAATGCAGCCTTTTTCCATGTCTGTCACAAAGTAATGCTTGTCATGGTAAAGGACTTTGAAAGGGAATAACAAAGCCCCTTCGCCTGAGAACCCGAACCTCAAATCGGGTTTTCCGAAAGGCGTATCCGAGTGTACGATGATGCACGCTCGGTATTGTTTCGCCAAGGGTTCGCATGTGAGTAAAAATCGTCCATACCGATCAGTTGAAACAAAACAGTATTTGACACCCCACTGTGAGCTACTTCTGTAACTCACTTTAAAGGTTCCGTCAATTGGGTTAATAAGATGTACGTCACGAGCACCGTTGACGGTGATCAAGTCTTTTTTGTCCTTGGAAAAAGCAACACCTGAAAACATCATGGCAGGCTGGGGAGAGTTCGCTGGAGATGTAAATCTATTCACGAAATCACCATTTCGATTCAAAATCAGAATATTGTTGTTCTCTGGATCAGCTACAGCCACCTGCTTGAGACCATCTGTCGTGATGCTTAAGGGTGAAAATGACTCGAAGCCAAAGTTTGAAGCAGTGATCTTACGCAGTGTTGTGAGTGATACTCTCATGAACTGCAGAGGGGTAGAGATTCCAATTTTCACTCCGCTCGGATCACTCATGGATAATTCGCCGATGCCCTGACTTTCCATCCTTTGCAGAAAATCTTTGTTTGCGTCAAATGAAGCAGCAAATGAATTTAACTCGTTCATCTCTTTGTATAATTTGTCCTCTGGGCTATTGTGCGCCAAGGAAGCTAGAGTGGTTTTCATCTTTGAAATTTCCCCATCGTTCTTCCCATCGTAAGTGTTCAAAGAAACATTAACGTGAGCTTGTACCCTCTGTTTGAAAGCTTCCGTATTTTCTTCAAGGCGGCTGAAGACGCTGTCTTGTTGAGAGATAAACTCTTCCACTCTGCTGATCAACTCTGTTTCGCTTAGCCTTGTCTTTCTGACAATCTCATCAGCCATTTTGTGAATTTCTTCTTTTATAGACTCTCCATGTTCGAATTTTCTTTGTCGACTCAATTTTAGTTCCTTCATCAATTCATCCAAAATTTCCACCTTTGTTACGCATGCTTGAATCCCCTTGGAAAGCTTCTCGCGTTCTTTTTGCGGCTCGGTTTGTTGTAAAAGTTTCACCAGGAACACGTTTGTCTGTAAATCATCAAGGTCATCCTCACGAATAAAAGATTTTTGTCGACACGTAGGGCATTGTATGTAGGCCGGTTTCGCTCGCATTATAATATTTTTTAGACACTGTCGACATACGTTGTGATTGCAAGTAGGCAGAACTTTCGGATCTTGAAACTCTTCTAAACAGACCGGACAACAGTAATCATAAAAATCCGTATCCTTATACTCGCTGGAAGCCATTTTCAGGCGGTATTTTTCAGACCAGTGGAGAAGTAACTGCCAAACACTTCCTGACAATACACAGCTGGGAGTTTAAAAGTTGTTCATTTACATTGGATAAAACCGACGATATGATAATGCGAACGTGTGGCTTTCAGATTTGCATACATGAAACAGTTTGATTGGGCTCAGCGAATGAGAAGTGAATCTCAAAACGTCACTATCGCAATATTAGCCTCAATGGACAAACATACATGACTCACCTTGGAAAAAATTAAATATCCATTAACGAAAATGGGATAATTGGGCGCACTCTCGTGAATATAATGACTCTTTCGTAGAACTACATCATTTATTTGCTCAGTTGGAACATCCAACTGCAATAATAAACAGAAACGAAATAATAATGAGCGAGCTCGAATACCGATTTTCAAACCTTGTCTTATCGCCATGCCGTTTGAACAATGAAAGCACTTTCTGCTGATAAAAACTGTATCGGAAAATTAATTTCAAAAATTCTGAAGCTTTGTTTTGAGACCAAGAAAAGAAACTTAGGGGAGTTCATTAAATTAGCATACCGTAAACTGCCGCTTGTAGGCGCCGCGCTGATGCAACTTCGCAAGGGATTTTAGAAGGGCTGATAAACGGTGGGGCTTATATTCGAGGGGGCTTATATTCGAGGGGGCTTATATTCGAGGGGGCTTATGACCGGTATAGAAAAAATGGTTCGAAAAGAGCCATAGCAGTACTAATTAGAACGCGTTTTGCGTTCACTAGTTCTTAATTAGGCTTCAAAACTTCATAAAAATCGACTTCACATCAATACCTTTGAATTAATGTGTATATGTTATCTCTTGGGGAACAAGGTGCACAAAGCGCTGGTAAGGAAACAAATACGCGAGACGCAGAGTGCATTATATAGACTATCATCATAATCAATGGCAAATTCGTGCTGTACACAAAAAAAGATCGTCGTTAAGCTGAGTGTATGCGATAAGTTGATTGTATGCGTGAAGTTGAAGCCTGTTAACTCAGTGTTCCACAATAATACCACAATGAAGCATTGAAAAGTTCCGTCAATGGTATTTTACATTGAAGTTTAAGTCATATAAGTGAAAAGTTGATGGTTAAAAAGAAGTAATAAACTTATTGCTCTGCAATAATTTTTCAAATTTTGTTTGAAGTGGTACAGACTTCTTATCTCTCAAAATACGATAAGCAAAAGAAGGGGCTTACATGATCGGGTGTATTTGGTGGATTGGCCAATAGACTTATTACCTAAGGAGGGGAGGGGCGGGGCTTATAAGAGGCAGTTTACGGTACTTGGCAGTGGTATAAATTAAAGCCTGAGACACAATTTTTAGAGTATCGGTTCCAAAAAAATCAAACAATACCATCATGTTAATATTTTCCTTTTTCTCATTCCACTCATCTCCTTGCTGTTTGAAAATGTAAGGATTCTGTAAGGAGAATGTTTATTTTTCTCTTGGGAGTAAAAGATCAACCTGTACTTTCACAGTTGAATATCTCAGTTGTTTGTTCTCGTAATTGTTTCTAACCTTGATATCTCGTCAAGCTTGGGATAGCTTAATCTCACCAGCCCCACACTTCGATAGAAAATTCTTCTTTTTATTTTATTTAAGTTCTTTATTCGTCCTGCTATTGTTAAGCGAGTTGTCTCTAAGTGTAATATTTGAATGATATGTGACTCGATTCGGTTTTCATTCCGCCAAATGTAGATTGAACACTGCATGTCATATCCTGTCCCAGCCATTCCAGGCGCGATATTAAAGGAGGAATAAAAACACGAGGGAGGTTTGGATCGGGTCTATCGCGCCGTTTTCTATTTCGCACGGATTTCGCGCCGTTTTACTTGGTAAATCACTATTTACCTATTCCCATATGGATTTAGACTTTTTTGACGAGTGTTTTTCACCAGTCGAACTCCGTCTAATTGCGTCATACTTATACGTCCCTATGTACATTTTTTAATTTTTCCATTGAATCAGTTAGTATTCTCCTAACATGTTACCAATTCTATTTATAATTAACAAACGATAATTTAACAATTGCCCATCCAGTTCTTTAGGCGTGTGGATTAACCATGATCTTACATCCTTTCCCAGATTTCAGCAAGTCAAAAGCCTGTAATGAAACAGTTAACAGATCAGAATTATTCCGACTTGCTTCCTGGCAAGGAATGGTTCTGTGTCATTCTGTTAAATTGTGTATATTATGGTATGCCAGTGCCAGTTGGAAGCAACAAACATATTAATAGGGGTAATTGTGAAGAACAGCTCCCCTCACCGACAGTCGGCTGACTGTTGGTTATCTGTCGGCCGACTGTTGATAATCTGTCGGCCGACTGTCAGCGATCTGTTGGCCAACTGTCGAACAACACCTTGCCGACAGTTGACCAACAGATTTATTTAGATTTTTCTGAAAAGGATAATTGTGAAGAACAGCTTCCCTCCACCAACAGTCGGCCAACAGTCTGCCAACAGTTGGCCGACACTTAACCCACAGGCCACCGACAGGTAACCAACAGGTTAGCGACAGGCGGTGAAATAACTTTACTAGTGCATTTTTGCACTCAAAAATCGATGTAAAACTTACTATAAATGCTTAAAATTTTTCAAAATGCCACTAAAACTTAAAGGCACACAAACATTCCCTGTGCATTAAACAAAAGTGTGTTAATATTCTCCATCAAAAAGTGTAGTTAAGAATCGCCCTATAATGCAATGCTATCCTAATTTTTGGTATATTGGTACATCATATATATATATAGAGACCGTGCGAAATTCAGAGGGGGATTGGGACAAGGTTAAAATCCAAAATGGCGAACGAACCAAGAATCAAAGTGAGTGTTGGAAGAGAAATTGCCTAGAAACTGTGCTGAACTAACATAAAAGAGCCAGTGACTATGGAGAGTTTCATTTTATCTTTTCGATGCAATTATCAAGGGTTGTAAATCATACACTTTTCAAGGCAATAATCGGCATGAAGTTACCGACATTCTACAGACAGATTGCCAACACCTTACCGACAGATCACCGACAGTTGGTCGACTGTTGGCCAACAGATGTCCTGCAGGAAGTTATCTTTTCAGAAAAATCTATATAAATCTGTCGGTCAACTGTCGGTAAGGTGTTGGTCGACAGTTGGCCAACTGTCGGCCTACAGATCGCCGACAGTCGGCCAACAGATAACCAACAGTCGGCCAACTGTCGGTGAGGGGAGCTGTTCTTCACAATTACCAACATGCCAGCCAACCACAGCATGGTAAATTTTTGTCACATTTACAATATTATTACCTGGTGATTACCCTCAGTACACAATCATCTTTCCAAGGTGGTGTTGTTTCTCTTTGTTAGCAAACTGTCTCAAATATCATTCTTAACATGTGTTTGATTTGTTAAGCAAATAAGTGAATACAGTGGTTGAGTAGTTCATTGTTGTATTGTTAGATAAACCATCTTCTTCCCTGTATTGCTCAGTCACTTTCCTCATCAGATCTGTTATCCATTTCCATGCTCATATCATTGTCTTCTTTCACTTTTGTGTTGACCTCAATTGTTAGCTGTTCAAGAGTTTTACCTAGCATGTGAACACTAAAAGTATCCTCTCGTTGAATACCAAGCGCCTTATGGAAATAGCCTATTGCTTCATGGTGATTTCCTAAGAGGCTATTGACAAAGCCAAGGGCAGAGAAAGTGGAAGCCTTGTTTGGAACAAGAACAAGTGCTTGCTTGTGGTATCGTAATGCTTCTTGGTATCTCCCTAGCTTGCGGCAGGCATGGCCAAGGTTACTGAGCAGTGTCTCCCAAGTTTCTGAGAGAACTTCCCCACTAGTGATCTGTGCTTTCTGGAGAGCTGCCTTGAAGTTCTTTTCTGCTGAATGATAATCTCCATTTTGAAAGGCAATCACACCCATCTCTTGCTTCACAAAGGATCATCTGGTGAAAGAATTAAAGCCTGTTCAAAAAATCTCTCAGCCAGTTTTACATTATTGGTTTTTCCATACTCCAGGCCAATATAGAGAAGAGGCAGATGGCATCTTGGCATTAGCTTAGAAGCTGTGAAGTAAGCTGCCATTGCTTGATCATGCTCTCCTTCTGCTGCAAAAGCATGCCCAAATGCAAGCCATGCTGGCCCATAAACTCGTTCTATACTGGTAGCTTTGCTAAAGTACCTCCTAGCCTGCTCATACTTTTCAATGACATAGTAATAACAGCCAACTGCACACCAAGCAACAGCCTTTTGAGGATAGTTATCAACAAGCTTATGTCCAAGGTAGAACAGCTCATTCGTTTTCTTCAGTTCTACCAGGCAGGTGATATGAATGGGCAAGCAAGCCTCATGATAAGGATCAGATGTCAGGACAGAAGATGTCATCTTGTAGGACTGATAGTAACTGCAGTTGTAAAAGTGCAGCTCAGCCATTCCAGCAACTACATCCAGGTTGTCGTACAGGGTTTCCAAACCAGGAGGTGGCTTTGGATCAACAGGTTTGCAGTATCTCTTCACCTTGCCTTCGTACAAGAACTTCAACAAATCAACCTCTTCAGGCATGCATTGCTCTGAGAAAGGCAGGGAAGACAGCAACTCTCGTTCCTCCTTATCGGTCAGCATGTGATGAGAAACAAGCAGATCAAACGCTTCAAAACAGTGCACGTCATTTTTGAGGGCATCTTTGAAACAATCTGTGGCTAAAGCTCGGTTATCCATAGCTTCATACACGACTCCTTTCAACAAACAAACTGCACTTTCGAGCTTTTTCGTTCCACCGACAAAGCAAATCTCCGCTAGATCCTTGTCTGCCGGCTCTTTTTGCTCCATATCCAGAACTTCCAGAGCTTCTTTCCACTGTTTACATTCTGCATGGCACTTGGCAGCCAGATAGCGGCAAGCGAGGCTCGTTTGAAGAACACCTCCTCGGTTCCTTAAAACGTGCGAAGCTCGATGGAATTGAGCAGTAAGAAATAAAGTTTGGGCAAGCCAGTAAACATCTTGGATGTCTCCATTAGACAGGGATACAGCTTCATCTGCCCAAAATAAAGCCGTTTTGTACAAATGCATGTCTATATATTGTCGAACAAGGTTACGAAGTTGAGAGATATCAACCTTCCCGCCAGTCTCCATGTTGGATTTTTGGGGAATACCGCTTGCACGTCATAAATTTACCGTTGGCATAAAATTATTTTGTGGGGGTGTGGAGAAGGGAGTTGAAAAAATATTGATCTACTAATTTGGTTATCTTTTAGTCCTTTGATTTTTGCTTCCCCCTGAATCAAAGTTATATATCTCATGTATCGTTCTGCATTATCGATATTTCAAATCAATTCTCAAACTTTCATTCCTTATTGATTCGTCCTTTCAGCTCTTGGCACCTCTCCCCACAGGAGAGGGGAGTAACGTTCGACAGATCTGCGGTAGAACATAATATCAATGATACAAATTTGTAAACAGTTAAAAGGTGATGTACATTTCAATATGTACAATTGTCTAATAGCTGTTGTCTCTATTTCTTGTAGCTTGTAGGCACAACAGATGTAAACAATGCGAGAGGTGATGCAATGTGTGCAGAGGCCATCTAGAACTTAAAGGTTGGTAGTTGCTAGTGTTTCATTTTAATTGTGATGCATACAACTTTACTTAAAGTATCTTCAATTTTTCAGTTATTTTTTTATAAAAGAAAATAACTCTATGTTAGTGGGTATAGCGGTATGTTGCTTGCACCAATCAGATTGCTGCATAGGGGTATGTATCTTGCCCAATCAGATTGCTGTATTAGAGTTTGTATCTCATGCCAATCATATCACAGCTTTCTTGCAAATGATGTAATGGAATCAGGTGGCAGTGCACAAAGAATGACATACACCATAAATTTTGGGCTAATTTTGATAAGTGTCAATAAATTTTTTTTTTTTCCTTTCTCTTAAGGTGAAGTGATGCAATATTTTTCGTCCATTTGAAAGTTACACAAAGTGGTCCATCTCAACCCGCCCAGCCAAAAAAATAACAGTTGTATGCTACACATGCCCATGTTTGTAATCAGTCATGGAAATCTTGTTTTTGATTGGTCTTATGCGGGCTTAGTTTTCAGTTAACTGTTTCTTAACTTCATTTAGTTACTTAGTGTTTAGCATCTATCTGAAGTGAACATTATTCACTTGCATTTATATTCACAGTTTCTGTCATTAAGAAAAGACAAAATCTTTTCATCACAATCTTGTTTCTCTCACAAATTGTTAGTTGATAATAAGAATTGGTAACAGGGCCAATAGTAATAGGTGAATCCGATTCAGTCTGTAATCATACAAGTGACTAACAGAACTGGATGACAGCAAAACTGGATTCTGATTTGTTAATCTCAAATATGGTTACTGAGTGAATTGGACAACAAGAAGTCCTAGTATAATTTACTTATAATTGTGACAATTTCCGAGAAAACAACTGTTTTTTTTTACATGGGCTTCCCATTCCAATCTTTGAACACTAAACCATTACAACCTTTGATAGAAGTGTAATAGAAAGCTTTAAGTTTTGTCTAATGTACTAAATTCTTCCGTTTGGGGAAATCCCCAGCTTTGAATGGAAAGTGGTGCCATGGTGACTATAATCAAGTCTGTGAGTGGTGGATTAATTTGAGTTCATTGATTGACTGATGTAGCTGTTGGTGAGGGGAGGTGTTCTTCACAATACCCTGAAAAGATAACTTCCTGCTGGACATTTGTTGGCCAACAGTCGACCAACTTTCAGTTAACTGTCGGTGATCTGTCGGTAAGGTATTGGCAATCTGTCGGTAGAATGTTGGTAACTTCATGCCAATTATTGCCTTGAAAGGTGTATGATTTACAACCCTTGATAATTGCATCGAAAAGATAAAATGAAACTCTTAATAGTCGCTGGCTCTTTTATGCACAGGGAATGTTTGTGTGCCTTTAAGTTCTAGTAGCATTTTGAAAAATTTTAAGCATTTAGAGTAAGTTTTACATCGATTTTTGAGTGCAAAAATGCACTAGTAAAGTTATTTCACCGCCCGTCGCTAACCTGTTGGTTACCTGTCGGTGGCCTGTCAGTTTAGTGTCAGCCAACTGTCAGCAGACTGTTGGCCGACATTTGGCCGACTGTCAGTGGAGGGGAGCTGTTCTTCACAATTACCTTAATAAGTTCAATAAGTCCTTAAGTCAGTTAGACTGTAAGGCAATCAGTCAAACAGTCAGTCATCAGTGAACCAGTCAGTAAGTCAGTCTGTCACTTTAGGTAGAATTCATACCTCATTAAGAACAAAATGTACGGGGAGTAACTCACCAGGTAAGACACAAAGATAGTGAAAGCAGTTTTCAATTGCGTCGAAACTAGCTGAATCCATGATTGCTTTCGTTTTCTTGAACTTTGCTCTGTAATTGGTCAGAAATCTCATGCCACCCTCTCAACCAATCAGGTTCAAAACTTAAACCAATCATGGTTTGTTCACTCGTGTTTTCCCACACTTCATACAGTTTGCCTGTTTTTAATTTGAGTACTCATGAGCTAGCAATGATGTCGACTTTAGCTCCGATCGGCTGTCATGATCACTTTGGTTTTGGTTCTCAAAACTCAACTGAAAACTGCTCTAAACAGCCAGTCATTTGGTCAGTCTGAAACTCACCTGTATAGTCTAAAAACATTTTTCTGTGCTACACTCAACAAGAAGATTGAACCACGAAACAACCAATAGAATTTACTGTCAACGGGCTGACATGTATAAAGGTAACGTCACCCATAACAAAGAAAATCAAAGGGAGGGGCAAGTTGTCTTACTTGTTCAAACTGGCTCATTGGTACTTCATGAGTGATGACAGGAGTAACATCAACTCTGTAAAGAACCAAGCTCAGATCAATTTAAATGTGTTCAAAATTAAAGCACGTATGGTGATAAAATTCATAGAAATCCTTGTTGGTTCTTCTCTGTGATCCTTCTCATTAGGTAACAGAAGCATGGCGGGCATCACCAAATGACAATGGCATTCAACTGATTCAAGATTAGGAATGGATCTGAAAACCGCCAGCCCCATGTTTGTCATGGATATGTTCCCTTTGAGGCTATGTATTTCATGGTGTTTGGGACCTGAAGGGCTATCTCTTGAAACATCAGCTTTAGAAACTCTCAAAGGTGGCAAACTTACATGGCCGACTCAGTTGATGAAACCAATTATCTTGAATATAACTAATTTATAAGGTTACTATCTTGTTACTGGCCATATGAGTTCATAGCTACATCATAGAGACTTAAAAAAAATTACATGTAATTCTTACTTGTCATTAAACAGTAACTCTTCTGATTTTTCCCAAGTGCTGAAAATCTTCCTGCCATGAACTGTTTTCATTGTCAGAGACTTGAATAAGATATCTTGTAGAAAGTTTTCTACATGAAGAGGTTGCTGAAAAGCATAAGAAAAAACTTGAATAAGAATGTTTTACTGAGAGCTAAAAAATTAACCTATGGCTAAGTAACCTCATTAAGATGGTAATATGAAAAAGTTAAAGCAGAACCACACTAATGTAAAGTAATCATGCCAAGTAAAGAGCATTTTGAGATACCGCAGCAAAGACAAACAAAACAAAAAAGGTTACCTTAAGTAATCCTACTAGAACGACCCTTCCACCTTTTCTGCAGAGAAACAGTTAAATATCCTTGCATAAATCTATCTGAAGTCTATCACAAATGCTGCATTCTGAATGGCTGCACTTCTCACTATCTATTCTGTGATATAGTGAGTAGCCTAATAGTGTGCAGTTGTAAACAAAATAAAACAAAAGCAGCAGCCGGAGAAGTATGTATGAGGTTAAAATGAAATATTTACCTCAATAGGGAGAAACAGTTGTTTACTAATGGCGCTGCTCCAGAACACTCAACAAGGCAACCAATGCCATCACCTGATGTTTCTTTCATAACTAGAGGGAAAGAGATCAAAAACATTAATTAAAACTACATTACCAGGTTGAACTCTTTTCTACTGAGTGTCACAAAATCAAACCAAAGTAGTTACAACAGACAATTAAGAGAAAGGAAAATACATTGAAGAGCCAATGGGAACCCAAACTAAAAAAAAAAAAAGGAAAACCACCCTAAAGCACAGGAAAATGCAGACAATAAAGTCCTGATTAGTGTTAGTTTTGCATCTGATTGGTTGATTTCTGGACCAATCACAGAGCTGATGAAAGCAAATCAATACAATCCCAGATTACTATCAACACTGAATTGAAAATTCCTCCAGCTACAACAAGTATAACAAATTAGGAAACCACAATTTTCATAAAAAACAAAAACAAAATAAAATTCAACAATATTTTAGGCTGGGGGTTCTTTTCCAGGGCACTGGAATGGATTGTATATATCACAACTGAGCTGAAAACAAATCCAGGGTGTGTGTTCTTTGAGGTCAAAAAATTCATCATATTCTGTGACCTTTTCAAAGACCTTTTTCATTTTTTCCATGCAATAGATGAGCTGGTCAGCCATGACAATGTGAGAAGGATCATATAGCGAAGCAGTTTTCTGCCTTCATTTTATCTCAAAAATGTCGTTATTAGTCACTTTCATGACTTTCAATGACCCTCATTCCAATTTCAGGTACAAATATTTTGTGGGCAAACATATAAGGTCTCTATCATGGATTATACCCTCCCCTCTCCCTTGGCACTGTATTTGGGACTAAAAAGAACTCACAGACCAATATCTTTGAGATTTTCCATCTTCCCATTAACTAATACATCTGCACCCATTTGCTTTGCTTTTTGAAGTCTTTCCTCCACAATATCTGTGGCAATTCTGAAAAATAAGGAGAAAATGAACAATTCTTGAGTATTTTATTGTTGGTCATATTTTTTGGACTGTTTGCCCCAGCGATAGAAAATTTTTCAAAATAGCAAAAGGTTCATTGTTAACAGATATGGCTTGTTCAAGGGATGTGGACAGAGGGCTAATACAGTAGAATGGGTTGTCTCTTGTACAAGCTGTGGAGTTATTTCTGAACCATGGATGGAGGCAAAATCTTAAGAGGGCTATTTTTGCTATCGGGCACTGGCACATTTTAATTGACAGCTGGTACATGATTGAATTTATTAAGATGAATGTTGAATCTTCAGGTTGTGTTAGGACCACTCCTACTGTAAATAGGCAGCTAATGTATGATCATTTTACAAGGTTAACACATCTAACAAAATGATGTACATTTTGACAGCACCCATGCTCTTGGCAATCCCAGCTGATATTAAGCCAATAGGACCACACCCTGCAGCAGAGTACAAAATATATAAATGCAAATCCCAGTTAACCAATAATTTTTTTTTCTATCTACTGGCATAGAACAGCAACCCACATGGACACATATACCTGTATACAGTAAGACTTAGCTTCTCCATTGCAATAATTGTGTGCTTTGCATAAGTAAAGAGGGCTTGTACAAATACAAAAGTAGCCCTTCTGAATGAAAACCAGAAATTCAACAGCTTAATCCCCTCAACCTAACCTTAGGTAGATTGGAGCCCATTGCTTTATGATGATGTTTAAAATATAATAATTCAGTCATTAAATCATAGGAAATCTGGCAAGGGCATACCCTTTAAAATTGTGTGTGTTATTCACTCTCCCAAACAAATGGATAGTAAATACATTATGCCTCAAAGTTTTTCCATAACACTGTCAACAGATGATGCTATTAGATCATATCAGATGTGGTCTAACCACATGATTCCATATCCATTTTAAGCACGAAAGAGGACACCTTTCAAACTCCATAGAGAAGCCAACTTAACAGTAAAAAAATTCTTCAAATGCATTTTAACAAACATAACTATTAACCTTGAATGAGTACACTGTCTCCTGTTGGACAAACCTCTTCCATTGCTTGATGCGCCACACCAAATGCTGTCAGTAATCAGTAAAAAATAAATAACTTCAAGGCAAACTATTGTTAGAATTAGCAAATTTCAACTTGTTTATAAACAAAAGCTTTCTTACGTTCCAATAGGCAAGCCCTGTCCACATCAAGGTTTGTTTTCAACTGGTAACAGTATCTTGCTGGAATAATGGTATACTGAGCACAACCTAAAGAAGGACAATACTGAAATCTCAAATACATATGTGAAAATGTGTTTAAATAATTAGGTCACAATCAGTTTCACAGCAAAGATAATCTTACCTTACAAAAGTCTGATAAAAAACATCCAAGTGGCTACAAATGAAAATTCTCTGTTTGTTCAGTTCATTACCTCCATAGATTGTTCCTCTTCCATGGCCAAACTGATTCAAGTTCTGGCAAATGTGGCGTAAGTCTGGTAAGTCAATTAATAGAATCTGTGAATCCATTGGTTAAGCTCAACTGTTTCACCTATTATTGAAATCACACCTCCCTTGCACCATTTCTGAGTATTTTGATGAGTTAAATGTGACAAAAAATATCCTTGCTCATCCCTACCATGTAAACACTGATAGCACTTTCCACAATAAAAGTGATTTTCACAACAAATACGCTGCCCAATGAAAAATTTTCCCTCACAATCAGGACCAACCTTCACTACCTAAAGACAAAATAATTCATTACGAAAAAGAAAAATAAGAATGGACAGTAAAAAATACTAAAACATCCATTACCTCTCCAACACACTCATGACCAGGGATGAAAGGTAGCATTGCTATTGCCTTTGCAGCTGTAAATAGGTAACAAATGAACAAATTAGACCAAAAAAACAGGAAGAACAGTAACTGTGAAGAAAAACCTGTTGGCTGACTGCTAACTGACTGTCACCCAACAGTCAGCTAACTGTCAGCTGACAGTTTTAAACATAACTGTTGGCTGGTAGTCAGTAATCTGTCCATGAGTTGTTGATAACAATATCATTGTATTACTATATCAATCCTCCAAATTTCTGTGGACGTAAACAGTACATTGGACAGGAATATGAATTCACTGAGGTTTAGGCCAAATTTAGTGCCATTACTTACAAGAGTTGCTGAGAGATTGCAAAAGGAACGTTGTTATTTTAATGCAATATCAACTCATTTGATAAGTGATTCAACATAATTAGCACAGTAAGTTCAACATCTAAAAGCATATGTAAAGTACAGTCACAGTTTTGTTTTGGAGGTTAATTCTTGGGTATACTGCCAATTGGTAACCTGCAGGTAGCCTGTCACTGGTCTGTTGGTTATCTGTCAGCCAACGGTCAGCAGACAGGTTTTTTCAGGGAGCTGTTCCTCATAATTACTGGTGGAACAATATTCAGTAATTAAATATCATTATGCGTGTGGTACAATGATTTGAACTAAGAGAGAGTGACATCTCATTTATTAAATGTAACTTCCAAAGATATGAAATAAACAGGAAACTTTATATATGGCATTAATTAGCCAGGAGGTAATCAGACCCCAAAAAAATTCAGATAAAAAAGAATAAGCATTAGAAGTATCTTAAGGTATATAGACAACAGAGTTTCATAACCTTGACCCTGTTGCCCAACCCTGACCCCTCCACCCATCCCCCTACTCAGCCTTGATCATGCACCTGTTCTCCTACAAATGTCACACAAAGTGGTTTTGGGAATATTGTAATCTTGCCTTGCATCTGAGCCTTGCATCTGGTAAATGTATAAATAGAATGTTTCAACGAAACTAGGGTGAAGCGGCGAAAGGGGCGGTTTCTCATCCACATTTTGACTAAAAATAACAGATAGATTGAGTTGTCACCTTCATCCCATTGATACAATATGTTATCCGAACCACATATAGAGACTTTAAGAACTTTTACGAGTAATTCGCCGTTTCCTGGTTGTGGAACAGGAATTTCTTTGTACACATACGATGGTTTCTCCTCTTCTTTGATAAGAACTTTCATGTAATCCGGTAATTCAGACATGTCGACAGTTAAGTGAACCGTAGAAGCGTGACTGATGACTAGATTTGGAACATCAACACTGGGAACTAGCGAATAGATTGAGAATGTAGTGGGAGGGGAGGGTGAAGGGCAGTTAACTATACGTGTTTTTTTTTCAGATTTGATTAAAAAATCCAGACATTGAAAAAAAATTTTCATTTTTCCTCAAATATTTTATTTATTTTCCTATCCATATAAGAAAATTTATCGGTTCTTTAGCTTTTAAGAACACAAAGTCCAATTGCACCTACGCAGTCTAGCCCAGTAGATAAGTCTAGTACAGAGACGGCTCAAAATGGCGGACGAGCTGGAGCAGATCGAATTAGGCTTTGAGGAAAGACTAGAAGAAATCAACAACTGGCTCAAAAATGGAGGATACGAAAAGTATAAAGAAGCTAGACGCCTTGCAGAGGAAGAATCCCTCGAAGATCCTGAAACTGATCCTTTTAAGTCAAAGTATAAAGCTAGAAGAATCTTGTTAGATTTGAAAGCTGAATTGGCATCATTCTTAGACGACGAAATCCCCAGCGAAAAAGCTAAGATCCTAAAGGCTGCTCTTGATTATCAGATTGGACAAAATTACATTGAAACTGAAGAGCTGAGTACGGGCGAGGAACTCTTTAAAAATTGCATCAATACTCTCGCAGAATATCGCATGGACAAAAGAAGTTGCTCTATACACTTGCATGCTTTGAACGAGCTGGGAATTCTCTGGTCCAAAAGAGGTGACTCTGAAAAAGCGTTGGGATTTCTACAGGATGCAGAGAAGTTGTACTATAGTTACAAAAAAGAAATGGAGGGCTGCTCTCCTTATGACATTCAAGAGTAAGTTAAACATTGACTCAATTTATTCAGATGATTATTAATTCTTCCATCACCCACATGAAAAGTCTTATCCTTTTTTTATACCAAAGTGCTTCGTGTAGTCAAAGGGTACTCGAGGAATTATACTTTGTTGAGTGTTACTTTTTCAGTTTTCAGCAATTCAGGGGGAAGGAGCTTTACCAAATATAAAAATTTGTTGTCTGGTGTTGCGCACGTCAGGATAATCCTGGGTAGTTCTAAAGTGAAACCAGGGTACATGTAGCAACACAAATTTTTTTTTTCCCATGGTTACATACTCATGTACATACACAGAAGGTTGTGCTTGATAATAACACAAAATTTTTCTTTTCATGGGTTACATACTTGATTACTCACACAGAAAGTTTTGGGGGCTGTCCTGGTGTACCGGTACACGGGGGAATTCCTATTGTTTTCATATCCATACATGGAGTTGTGACGCAGTTCGTTAATGTTTCGTTCCTTTGTGTACCAGTACACGAGGACACAACCAAGTTTTGCTTACCAGTCTGGTGAAAATTTTGATGATAAAAAGAGAAAAAAATGGGAGGCTTACTTCACTGGTATCAGTGTGTCTCAGGGAAAACAACACCAAAAGGCTGCCATGATTAATTAGATCTCACAATGATAGTGGTCTTAGAAATCTGAGTCATTCTGATAAAGTAAAACATGAATTTTTAAGGAATAGTTGTCACACAATTTACTCAGTCTTTTTATTAGCAATGTTCTTTGTTGAGCAGAACTGCAAATTTTTTCCAAATTCTTTAATTGTTCTTATCATGAGGTAACCAGAGAATGCATTTCATACTTTTTTACAGTACATTTATAACAGCACATCTCAGTAAACAGAATACATGATGTTGTCATAATCTATTTATCTGTAGACTCTTTTATCCTGAAGACAACTTCCTCTCAGATGCTGAACGGGAAAGGGCTTTCAGTGCGACCTTCACTCATACTTTGTATTACTTAGCACAAGTCAATGCAGCCTTGGGGCATTCTAAAAAAGGGGCAATGTATTGTCACACAACTCTATGTCGCCAGCTGGAGACAGAACAGTATGATCCAGTTGACTGGGCTCTTAACTGCGCAACACTGTCTCAGTACTACATTACACAAGAAAAATATACATTGGCAAGACATTGCCTGGGTAGGTAATCTTGGTTTTTAAGGCTCCTTTCCTCTATTTTATGTCCTCCTTAGTAAGGTTAGTTTGAGGTACAATTTTGGCCAAAACAGGAATTTTCTCCAGGTTTTCATATAGAGCAAATTTAGTGATTTTACTTTCTTTTTTTGTGTAGAATTATAATGTCAGCAAGTTATTTGCATTTTCATTCCTTGCAGTTAACTTTATTCCTCTGTCTATATGTAAAAAAGCACTTACCTGAACTTTTTTTCAATAGATGAAAGTCTTAAGCTTATCCTTGGTGTAATAGGGAAAAAACCAACAAACTCATCAATGAATTTGAAATGAGGCCAAAATGGTCTAGTAAAACAGAAATATATGGCAAACTCACCACTGAGCACAGAGGCCATTGCAAGGTTGCTATTGTGAGGTTCAGTTTGTTTAGAGGGGGTTTAACTTAACTACAAGTCTGATGTAGAAATGCATCAATTAAAGATATTAATCATCAGTGGTCTTTGGGGCAACTTTGTGCTGGCAGTAGTCTCAAGTCAAATATGGCAGGAAAATCATTATAAATGCAAAAAAAGATTTAAAAATCTGCATCAACTGTGTATGGATTTTAGGTATTTCCAATACCAAAGCAAATAGAAACTCTGCAAAAAAACTTTCATGCTCACTGGAGTTGAGGAACTGGAATAATGGAGGTTTAAGGATATCCTCAGCAACAGCCTTGTAGTTAAGTTCCAACCATTCTTAATCAAAGATTGATTGGCAAGATATTTAGCAACTGAACATCAAGTGCAAATGGCTACAAAATTCACCATAGGTAAAATTCTGCTAGGCATGTATGAAGTCATTCATAACCTTTTAACGTGACAATGATGATATTTATAAAATAAGTAACTTCTTTAAACACAGCATGTTCCAGTCGTGTTTTCTCTGAGGCTGAAGAAACTGCTACAGTGGAGGCTGTGAGTGAGGATGACAGTCAGGAAGAAAGAGAAAGAAAAGAAAGAATTCCTCAAAGGAAGGCTGACATCTCTCGCTGTTGGAGTAAATATTGTTTGGATGTGTTGAGAACATCAAGAGATCAGTGTGTACAAGAATTGACCAATGCTGATCAGAATGATGAAGAACAAAAAACAGAGAAAGGTTGGGAAAGTTGTTTTTACTACAGTAACTTAGAATTCAATTCCCTAAATTTAAGGTTTAAGGTAAATTTCTTCTGGTAAACAAACCCTGTGAAGTGATAATTAACCAAGAGTTATCATTTGTAGCAGGTAGCGAGATCTGCTTTGTGTCATTCTCAATAGTGTCTGCTTCAAGAAACCCCTTTGATACGACTTCCAGTGAATTATTCACTTTAGTTATGTAGCTGTCATTATGAATATTATGGTCTTTCTTAAGTAATTTACACAACACTTTACATACCAAGCCAATATGTATGGCAAAAAGGGAGATGATCCTGTGAGTAAGCTGTTTCTGTCTCAGTGGGAGATTTCATGCCTTATGTTTATGAAGACAAGGCTGACCATCTTCTGGAAAAATATCTTTCTTTCATCAGAACTGAAGACAGTTTCTTCTTTCTACATCAAGTTCAAAGTGTGTGTGTGTGTGTTTTTTTTTTTCAGTGTAATCATTATAGCAAAGATGTTGTATATAATCCCTGATTCTGGTATTTAAGTCAATCTAGTTTTTTCAAACCAAGAACCTCTAGATATGGCTCAAGAAATAATGTTGTTAATTTAGAGGAAGTGTAGCTCTTTTGTTCATAATTTATTTTCCTACACTGTCTCTCATTACTGGAATAACTTGAATAACTCAATCAAACAAAGCCAGTCTTTCTCCAAATTTAGTAGGAGATTAAGTCATACTGATTTTAAAGGGTGCTTTTGTCACTCCTCTCTATGAATTTGATTGATCTTTTTTATTATTATGTACTTTTCCTAGACTGATACATCTATATACTCTATTAGGATCCTCGCATATTTTTTTTTATTATCTTATATATTTTAGCTTTACTTTTAACTAGGTATTTTTACCTCTTTTTTTTGTTTTGCTGTCAAATGTTTCATACGCGAGCCTCATAATATTGGGCAACCACTTCCCATTTCAATGACAATAAATATATTACTACCAAACTGTTTTCATTTATAGAGAAGAAAAATCATTCCTAAAGAAGAATGAGCAAGGACAGGTGTAGCAAGAAAACAGAAAGCACAATCTGAAAGGAAAAACTTACAACTTAACCTACAACTCCATAAACATCTATTCAAAAATTTCTCATCAGAAGTTTGGTGTACTGTACTGTAGATATGGGAAGAAACATTTGAGACTGCCTGTTCATACAGGTTTCACTGCATGCAGTGAGTCATGATCGTAAAAAGATGCCAATGAAAAACCTATTTCATACATATCTTTATTTTCCAGTGACTTCTGATGGAAGTGCCAGGAAAGAAGAAAGCACTCAAGAAGGTGACACAGAAGAGCCCCTTAGATTTGAGTCCCTTGAAGTTATTTCCCTAGAACAGTCGGTACCAGACCACTTAATAAAGTCATATGATGAGGTAAAGACTTTTTTCAATCAAATATTTTCTTTATCTTGAGATATTTTTTCAAGATTTGGTAATTACTATTTGGGGATTCATTAAGTATTATTTACTTCCCTACCCCTCAGCTGCATTTTTTATCATTAAAGTTTGCCTGATTCCAACCTTCAGTTTGTAAACTGAGCGCTTCAGTGAAGGGAGAAAAATCAGATCTTGTCGCAAACCTACATCATTTTATTCACTCTGGGTCTCTATGATATCCCATTTTCTGCATGTTGTGTTCACAAATTGAATTCCTGGAACAGGCTGCCATCTAATCAAACTAGTCCTATAATGAGACAATCAAAAAAGGTAATTCAATCATACTTACCTTCTCTCATCTACCAGTCATTATTAAATGCTATATGATCTTTCATTTCTCTCCCACAGGCACGTGTCCTGTTTCTGGAGGGACAAAAATGGCTCAACATCTCCAAACAATTCTATGT